CCGGGCACGCCGCCGCCGTTCCCGATGCCGCGCCCGGGCACGCCGCCGCCGTTCGGCCTCCAACCACCTACTATGCCGCAGCCGGGGTTCCTCTCCCTCCTCTCGTCCCTTTTGGGCTTGCCGCCGCCAGAGCACCAGGGGCTGCCGCCACCTCCCTTTGGCCAACAGCCTCCTCCCTTTGGCCAACAGCCTCCGCCCCCTGGCCAGCCTCCCTTTGGCCAGCCGCCTCCGCCTCCAGGCCAGCCCGGCCTACCGCCCCCGTTTGGCGTGCCGCCGCCGACACGGCAGCCAGGGACGGGGGACGGGGGCGTGTCGTCGCCGTGGGGGCCGCTCCCTCCCTACGCGGCGGCCACCGCCGCCGCGGTGGTGTTCACCTCCCTCCTCTCCATCGCGGTGGCTCTGGGCACGGCCGCCCCGCCAGACGCGGTCCTGTATGACCCTCCGCCCGTGGCTGTCGCCCGCAGCCCGCTGCCCGCCGTGGCGCCGCCCCTCGCGCCGCCCCTCGCGCCGCCCCTCGCGCCGCCCCTCGCGCCGCCCCTCGCGCCGCCCCTCGAACCGCGGTCAGCTGTAGCGCCGCCGCCCAAGACGCAGCCGGCACCACCAAGGCCGGCGCCGGTGGCAGTGCGCCCAGCTGTGGCGTCCTACGAGTCCGCGCCCGGCGTCTTGGTGGCTGCGCTCCTCGCGCCTGCCGCCCTGGTGGTGTACTTTACCAGCGGCGCCCCGCTCGTCCGCGACGACACCGAGGCCCCGATCGACCTTTACGACGAGTACGGGTACGGCCAGGGGCGGGGCCAGCGGCGGGGGGGGCGGGGCGGCTGGGCAGACGGGTACGCCAGCCAGGACGGCTACGGGGGGCAGGGCTTTCGGCGCGACCGGCGTGCGGAGGGGCGGGAGCGTCAAGGGTACGACGACGAAGGCGGGTGGAGGGGGGCGGGGTACAGAGATGGCTACGACAGCAGGGGCGAGGGCGGCTGGATCGGAGACGCGGCGGCGTACGATGGCTACGACGGTAACCGCGAGAACGCCGCGGACCACCGGGGGCGGCGTGACTTTTGAGCAGCGTCAACACATTCTCACTGATCGTTCCGCGGGGAACCAACAAAGCTTAAAGGCTCTCATTATCTTGTACTACGATGATCTAAAAAACAACGCCTCCAAAAAAGCCGGGCGAATTCTCTTTCCGTGAGCGCTCTAGGGACTGGCGCAACCCCTCTAACTTTGAAATGTCGCAACGCCGATGGCGAATGGCATGACGCCTTGGTAGCGCCGTGGTCCTAAAAAAAAAGAGCGGCGAACCCTCGGCAATCAATCCCAGGCCTCCTGGGGGGGGGCGATCGCCGACGGGCACAACGAAACCAAATCATCAGCATGAAGGTGTGCAGTCACAGCGTGAGCATGCTGCGTCGCGTGGCGTCCCGCCTCTAGCCTCACGCCTCTCGCGCACGGGGTGCTGCGGTCGCCACGCACGTTCACAGCGTTCGCACCAGTCTGTGAAAGCCTGTTCACGCACCCTGTGCCACAGCCGCCCTCGTGCGCCTCGCAGATCGTCCTCGCCCTCCTCGCCGCTGGCTCCGCGCACGGCGCGACGCTGGCCGCCCCCAAGGTCAAGTCCACGCTCAAGCTGCGCGGAGGCCTGGACTCGAAGCAGGTCCTCCTCGCCAACGCCGCCGGGCTCGCCGCGTTCGGGAGCGAGTTCGGCAGCGCCCTCGTCGGGTCCAAGTGCGTGCACACTCCCCGCAGATACAGCCCCCCCCGCCGCCGCCTCCGCCGTGACTGCGCGCGGTACCCTCAGGTGGGCTTCGGTCCGCTACTGGGACTGCGAGCCGACGGAGGGCTGGCAGCAGCTGTCAGAGGCGTTTGGGATCGGCCTCCTGACCCTCGCCTACGTGACGTATGACACGGCTCAGAACGGCGACGAGGCGCGCGGGACTCGCGGAGTTCCCTCAGCCACCGGAGTTCCCTCAGCCGCCACCGCATAGCCACCCTCTTTGCTTCCCCACCCAGGCCGCCAAGACCAACCTCGGCAAGAAGCTCTCCTTTGCGTGGATCGGCTGGACCCTCATGCACGTCAAGTGGTGGCAGGCGAGACCCCCGCCTCGCCCCCTCGCCCCCTTCCCCTCCTTTGCGCCATCACCAACCCCCCCGCCGCCGCACCTCCCCGTCCCCCAGATGGGCACCCTCGTCACCACCGGCCCGCTCAAGAGCCAGCTTGGCGGCTGGGTCCCCTGCGCCACCCTCGCCGCCCTCAGCGCAAAGAAGTTCCTCATCAAGTAAGGGCGCGCAACGAAGGACCAAGGCGCCGCGAGCAGGAGCGAGGAGGCGCGATCGTCAAGAGAGATGCAGCGTGCTCTGCAGGTCTGCTAGGCTGTTTGATTCGAGGCCAGCTAGGGGAGGGGAGATAGGAATTATAATTCAGGCGGGGTCGAGGGCGGAGAGAGTCCAGTGTGTGTGCGCGCGGCACTCTGCGCTCTCTTACTCAGAGAGCGCAAACTCTGAATCATAGACGTCAATGCTGTCCAATACTCTTTACTTAGATATTGGCTGTTGCTGTGTGCGCTCTAGTGCGCACCCCCCCGCTGTGCACGCACAACAGTCAACACACACCACAAGAGATGTTCAGAGATGGAACTGGCCTTCCGCGCTTCCATGCGCGCTTCGGAAGAGGGAACTCGCATCAACGAACCAATATGTGGGAAATACTCTTTTTCCGCCCTCCGGCCTCCGCAAAGGGGCCTTGGCCTCTAGCCAGCTCCCCTACCCCTAGCGATGCGCGAGGCCCCCAGAGTGGACGCCGTACGTCCCCAGCGTGCCAAAGCCCGTACTGTAGTCTCGTGCCCTGTAGTTCCTACCCGACTCGGCGCTACTGCCCCCGCTCCCCGCCAGCTGCAGGGCCGCCCTCGGCCGGCGGCCGTGGGGCAGTGAGCGCGTCGCGCAGCGCCGCGCGAGTCGACGGGGTGACCCCGATGGCACTCATGTACCCGTCCACCGAGCCGTACCGCGCCTCGACCCGCCGCCACAGCTCGTGCAGCGTCGCCGGGCTGGCACGGCAAAAGCCGTCCAGGTCGAGCCGCGCAGCAAGCCGGGCGGGCAGCATCGCCTGCGGCCGAGGCGGCGGCGCGGTGGGCGAGGTGAGCGAGGGGAGGGGCAGTGGGCGCGGTGGGCGGGCGGGCTGCCGGCTCGTTACCCCCCCCTCCCCCCTCTTCTTTCTGTGCAGCTCTCTGCAGCTCCCCGCCACCTCTCTGGCACCTCCCTGCTGTCTCTCTGTCACCTCCCGCCCGTGTCCCGCCCGTCTCCCGGCTCGACGTCTCTCTGCCATCTCTCTCTGCGCACCTCCTGCGCCGCCCGCCCCTCTGCTGTGGCGGCCCACGCGTCGGTGCGCGCGTACTCCGCCGCAACCTCCTCTGCAGACGCGCCCGCCTGTTCACAGCCAGAGGTGTGAAGAGACGCTGTTCACACCCCAACCTCCTCTGCAGACGCCAGGGGGGGGGCAGCGGCGAAAGCGGTGGAGGACGAGGGAGGAGCGCTGGACGGCTTGATGCCCGGCCAGCTCTCGGCCAGCTCTCCTAGCTCTTGGCCAGATCTCGGCTAGATCTCGGCCCGCTCTCGGCCAGCTCATCCTTCTCTCGGGCATCTCTCGGCCATGTCTCGGCCATCTCTCGGCCATGTCTCGGCTAGGTCTCGCCGCATGCAGCAGGAGGGAGACGAGGAGCCCGGTGCGGTCCTTGCCGTGTGTGCAGTGGACGAGGACCGGCGCGCGAGGGAGCGCCTCGGCGCACACCTACGCATCTCGCCACGACCTCGCCTCTGCTACTCTCCCCCTCTGCCCGCAGCAGCGCGCGAGCGACGACCTCCAGCGCCCGCCGCACCGCATTGCCGTTTCGCGTGAGAATCCACTCGTACACGTCCGCGAGGGAGAGCTCCGCGAGCAGCGCGGCGACGCGCTCGTCGTACGCCGCCCCCGCCGCCTCGCGAGCCGCTGCGTACCTCGCCACCGCCCGCCAGAGAGAGCGGGAGAGCGCAGGCGCGACACGCGTGCGTGAGAGGCGTGTGCGCGCCAGCAGCTCCGCGTGCTGGTCAGGCGGCGGCGGCATGCTTCGCAGCAGGCGGAGGCCGCCGAGCGCGACCGCAGCGGACGGCGACATGAGGAGCCGCCGCAGCACGCCGTTCCGCACGAGCGACGAGTCCATCAGGTTGACATGGACCGTGAGATGACCGAGCGGGCGCGAGCTGCCCTGAAAGGCCTTGGTGTCGTCAGCGAGCGCCTCGTCCGGCGAACGCAGGTCGAGCACCGTCCCGACGCCGCGCACGCCCACCAGCTCGTGTACCGCCTGCCCATTGGCACAGCAGGGCGATGCGGATCGCAGCAGCACTCCAGGCCGGGTGAAGCGCGCGCCGGCGTCGCACGGGATGCCGCCAACGTCGCGAAAATTGGGCACGCCAGGCAGGTGGCTCAGTGCGGCGGCGGCAAGCATGTAACGCGGCGCGGTGGGCAGGGATGCTCCGCGGGCAGGATCCCGCGAGAGGAAAGTCCGGACGAAGACAAAAAGAATTTTCTCACTCAGAATTTACCTTGCGTGCGCACTTCGCCACCATGCTGCCGCCCGGGAAATTAGTTTCCGTTTGTTAATCAATTAATTAATCAGTTCATTAACTAATTCATTACCCGTCACCATGCTGCCGTCCGGCCTGGCCCTTCAAAGTGAACAACAAACTCTCTCAAAGTGCACACACCTCGGTTTGGGTCTCGGCAGTCAGAGAGAGATTTTTTGAAAACCAACTTGCAGTCAGTGTCTCAAGAAGCTCCCTAGCACAGCACTGGGCACGGGACTGGGCGCGCACTGGCACTAACACAGGTACACCACGGGAGCCGCCTAAGCGACTCCTGCGAGGACGGCGAGGCACTTAGCTCCGTGCACTCGACCGCCCTCGCCGCAGGCAAGCTCATTCACAATCTGCTCTGCGATGGCCGTGTGAAGAACGACCGTGAGATACGGGATACGCTGCTGCTGCAGCCCTAGCCAATTCTAGGTGGTCCAAGTCACCTGCTCACCTCATCGAGCTTCGAGGTACTGACTGGGCCATAGTGCATAGAGCTCTTCATGTACGTTTGCATGAACTGTTGTGCCGACGATTTCTTAGCCCCCAGGCCTCTCAGTTCACGAGGTGAACCGTGAACCCGGTTCATGAACTAGTTCGCGGGCCTTCTCTTCGGTGTTGCCGAAGGCGTAGGAGTGGCCAACGGAGGCGGGCGTGCCGCCACTCGAGGCGTTGCCAACGCCCGGCGAGGAGGTCTTGAGGAGGGGCGTCCAGAGCTTGATGCCCTGTTCACGCGCGCGCGAGACGTGCAGACAGGGTTGCCAGGTGAGGAGGTGAGAGCGAATGGCGCGGTTCACGCCTCGCACAACAGAGAGAGAGATGCGCTCTGCATGGTGGGACATAAAAGAGAGCGAGTACTTGGGCGAGTAGGCCGTGCGGTCGACGCTGCCGCGCGCGACTTTGCGCGCGAGGCGGCGCAGCTTGAGAACGGCGGTGGGCGAGAAGCCGCCGCCGAACGTCTCGTGGAGCAGCAGGTTGAAGTTGTTGCGCTTGACTGTTTGTTGTCGTCTCAGTTGTTGTAAAATTCTTTTTGCGCAGCGGCGCCGCCAGGCGCCCGCCCCGGCGGTGAGCGACGCGTAGCGAGTGAACCTTCACGGTTCGTTCACGGTTCGCGGTTCACGGACTCGGGGCGGGTGCTAGTCGGTTCAGGGCACGCCGGCCGCCTCCATCAGGACCTTAGTAAAGTCGTAAGCAAATGTGGACGCGCCGCAACAGGTCGAGATGAGCGCCAGTGGCGGCTCGCCAGGCAAAGCAAGCGCCCCCATTGCAGAACTACGACTCTACAACTCGATGCGACATCGAATTTACTTCCCCTCGATTCACCTGCCAATACGACTGTAGCTTGAGCACTTGAGCACTTGATAGGGTCGATTCCGCATGGTACGGGACCCCTCGATCGTCTCGCCCTCCCTCACTGGTGTGTTCATAGCCAATAGCTGTCTATCTAATAAACGGATCGCTTCTCATCGATCGCAAACCCAGTCAGCAGTCCTCCTCCGGGAATGTACGTAAGAGCTACATACACTGAGAGAGAGAGTGGTAGGGCCCCCAAGGGCCTAGAAATCGCGCCTGCCTCTCCCTTTTCTCCCAGTAAGCTAAAAGTACAGTACACTGAGAGACTATGGAAAGTTCACGTCATGACGGTTAGCCGCTGTCACGACCGTTAGCCGCTGTCACGACAGCTGGGAGCTGTCATGACAGCAAACGACAGCGACAGTGACACCTACCTGTCACCAGCTGTCACCAGCTGTCACCAGCTGTCACGAGCTGTCACCAGCTGTCGTTGCTGCTGTCGTTGCTGCTGTCATTGCTGCTCTCGTGAGCACCCCCGCAGGACAGTGTCACAATGGGATGTGGTGCCACTAACGAGAGAGACAGGACACTCAAGATATAGATGCATGCGCGCGAGACCGCTCACTCGCACGCCCGACGCCACATGAGAAACCCTCTCAACAGTAGCCACGCACTGTCAGCAGCGGGCGTGAGTCACAGAATCTGCAAAACCCTTGCCCTCCTTCCTCCAGCATGTGCCGTGATGGGCTCCAGCGCTGGTTCATCTGCCGCTCAAAAATCTCACGCGAGCGAACGGCGTCAATCATCAACCGCGAGGATTGGGACCTTGAAATCCACGTCGCAAGCAAACGCGCAGAGCATTGAGCAACACACCTCGGGTATTGAACCTCTTGGCCATTGCCGAGCCACAAGGCGTTGATCAGGAACTCTCATGTAGAGAGCTCGGCTCTGCTACAAGAAAGCAGGCTCGCCCTACACAGAGAAATTCTGAGGTAGAGGAGCAGGAGTTTTGCAAAATGTGTGAGACGTACAAACGCTGCTGTGCATCAAGCGCTGAGAGCTACATTCACGCGCACCGTTATTTTAGTCCATGGGGTGTAATGCACAGATGGGTGGGTGGGCGGTTGGGCCCCTTTGCTGGTGCCTGTCACTAGGGCTATGGCTGCCTCACTGTGGCGCTGGCGCTGCCTCGCTGTCGCTGTCGCTGTCGCTGTCGCTGTCGCTGTCGCTGTCGCTGTCGCTGTCGCTGTCGCTGTCACTCGCAGGGTCCCGCGCTGACATTGTCACCGCCTGTCGCTGGCGTTCACTGGCTTCACTGTCACTGTCACTATGGCTGTCACTGTTCCTGGGTGCCTTTCACTCCTCCCTGGCAGCTAGCTGGCTGTGCTGTCACCAGCTGTCACCAGCTGTCACCAGCTGTCACCAGCTGTCGTTGCTGCTGTCGTTGCTGCTGTCGTTTCGCAGCCGCTGTCACGACATATTGACCACGTCGCGACCGTTAACAGCCGGTTTAACCGTCATGACGTGAACTTTCCAATGTCTCTGAGAGAGAGAGAGTAAATAACAGTTCGAGCTTAAATTACGTACGTACATTCCCGGAGGAGGACTCTGCTGACAGGGTTTGCGAGATTATTGTACGTGGCCACGAACATCCCGGAGGTGGAGTCGACTGCTGATCATGCTAGCACCCCACCGCGCGAGCCGATCTGCGAAACACCTCTCCGACGCGCTCGACTATACTCGTAGTCTGCTTGTTTCGCCGCGCACGAACTTGTTTCGCCGGGAACAAGTAACGGCATCCCTCACAAGAAGATGGGCGAGCCCGAGAGGGTGCGCGTTGTGGCATATCAGAACCACCTCGACCGGACGCCGCTTCCACACGGCGCCAACCGGAACGACCTCTTCATCTCAGGCTGCAAAGTCTCGCAGCCAACCGGCTCCGGCTCTGGCTCTGAGGACCGCGACTTTACGTTTGACGCCGCGTTCGGGCCAGAGACTGTGCCAGTCTCGGTGGTGCGGTCTGAGGTGCCGCTAGCGGTGGACGCATTTCTCGACGGCATCAACGCGGTGCTGCTCGTCCTTGGCGCGAGCGGCTCAGGCAAAGACGAGCTGCTTGCCGGCACGCCCGCCACGGGTGGCGCTGAGCGGTGGGAGGGGCTGGTGGAACACCTAATCAGGTCGGTGTACGCAGCTCTGCGAGAGTCGGGCGAGGGCGGCGTAGCGAGCGGCGCGGCGCGGCTGCAGCTCCAATTCCTGCACATCGACTCTGAGCGCGTGCAGGACTTGCTGGAGCCAGACTGCCACTCGCACAACCTGCAGCTGGCGGATGATGACGAGGCAGGCACTCTTGTACGCGAGGCGCGGCCCGAGTTGCTGAAGGGGGAGGCCCATGCCATCAGCCTCTACCGCCGAGGGGTCCAGTCGGTTCACACCCTCGGGAGGTACCACGCGGTGAGCACCCCCGCCATAATTCGGCCAACAGCCAGCCGCGCCCGGGCAACCTGTCCCTGCCCTGCCCCTGTCCCTGTCCGATGCGAGGAGCTAAGCAGCCACGCGATGGTAAGCCGTAGATTAATACATATAATAGTGCATGTGCGTACGGCTCTAGAAGGGGCACAACAGGTCGGTCAAACAAAGTAACGCGCTCATTAAAGAGGAGAAACTTATGGGTTAAATAAATAAATAAAACGGACACCTCTACTAGGAGATGGGTTTAAAAAGGAACAGAGGTCCCCGCCCTGCGGTCAAACTTATGGGTTATGGGAGTAACCCATACATTTTTACGTACTACGTGCGACTCTTCCCCCCGTACCAGCACACTCTCTCACAAGAGACACCTAAGGTATTAACAGTAAAGAGAAGTACGGTAACTGCACATCAGTCTACCCGTCCCGGGGCGTGTCCGCTCGCTGCTCGAGGTTGAGCTCGAGGTGGAGATCGGGAAGTGGTCGGACCCCCACCCCGATTCCTGTTTCCACATGGGCCCGCCCGCGCGGCTCTGGCCGCCCCAGGCCCCCGGCAGGCGGCGAATGGTCGCGTGATCACGCGTTCCCGGCGCGGTGTGTACTTTCGCGCCCAGCACCTTGACGCGCTCCTCCTTGAGGCTAGCAAAGTCGACCAGGATCCAGTCGATGTAGCGCGCGCTGCCGAAGACGGGCCGCGTGCCCCTCACGACGGCGCGGTGCTCCCCCTCATGCTCCCCCTCATGCTCGCCCTCATGGTAGACGTCGATGCTGTTGGAGCCAGGCCCCTGCGAGTAGACCTGCGCCCTCTGGAAGCCTCTGTAGAGGCCGAACCAGTTGTGGCACGTTGAAGCTCTGCACCCGTTGGCCTGGGTGGTTCCGGCCATTCGCGCCACCTCCCACGTGTCGACCATCACGGGCGGCGGCAGCCGCTCGTCCTCCTCGTAGTCCGAGTTCGGGTCGGCGCCCTGCCACAAGAAGTTGTTCAGGTCGAGCTCTAGCAGCTTCCGGTTGGTGACGTGGGCGGCCTCCACGCTCTCGCCCTCGCCGTAGCTCCGCGCGTGGCTGCCCACCAGCGCGTCGTACGCGCCTACACGCCAGTTGACGCCACCGCCGTTCTTGTTCCTCTTGTCGCTCGACTGGAGCTTGGTCATGTTGAAGTCGCCGCCGCACACCACCGGCGCCTTGAAGCGCTCGCGCAGCAGCCGCAGCAGCGGCGCCAGCACCTCCTGCGCGCCGCGCGTCCGCAGGTCCGGCTTGCGGTCCGTCAGGTGCACCTGTCCACACACCAGCAGCCGTAAAGCGACGCCGGCCCACGGCGTGGCCTCGCAGCCGACCGGCGCGCCGACCGACACACACACGATGTCGACACGCGCGGGCGGCGAGTCGACAAAGCGGAAGGCGGCGTAGGTGGCGCCGCCGGCGCGCCACTCGCCGTCGTCCGGCCAGCAGTGGCACGCGCTGTACGACCACTGGCCGAACTTGCACCTGCACGCGCCTTCGGGGAGGAATTTGTCGGGCGCGGAGCCCAGCACGAAGCGGTCGGCGAAGAGCGGCTGCAGGACGTCCGGGTTGTAGCTGATTGGGCAGCACCACTTGGACTCCACAGGCCGCAGGCGCCAGCCAACGGCGTGGTGCAGCTGCTCCAACTTCTCCGAGTGCAGCTCCTGGTGGAGTATCACGTCTGGCCTCACGGCGCTCCACTGCGCGGCCATCGTCTTCACACGCGCCTGCCACTGCTCGCCGCCGGGGTCCGCTTCCACGCCGGACAGGACCTGCTGACCGTTCTTGACCGCGTTCCTCGCGATCCCTGGCGGCACGTTGGACGAGCAAATCCGGATGCGCTGCGGACTCACCTTGTGCCGCTTGACAGACTCTGACGGCTGCCCGGCGCTCGCAAGCAATGGGCGCTGTGGCAGTGGGCGCTGTGTGTTGACGATTGCAGCGAGCCGATCCTTCGGCAGCCGCAAGTTAGTCGGCTTGACTCCCAGCGTCTCGGTGCTCCCGTCGGCGCGCTGCACCTGGACAGCATGGCGGTCGGCGGCAACCTCCTCATCCTCTTTGGCATAAACGACGCGGCCGCAGGCGCCGTTGAGATCAGCGCGGTCCCGAAGCGAGTGTAGCACGACGAGGTCGCCAGGTTTGTAGGTGCCCATCAGGCGCTCACCGCCGGGCAGGTGCGGCGGGAGCAGCAGTGCAAACGACGGCCTTTTTCACCGACCGAAGCGGCGCAACCAAAAAGAATTCACACAATTCACGCGAGAGGCAAGGTGCGGGCGACGGCTTCCTCAGAAGCTGTCACCCCCACCACAGGAGCAGTCACACCACTCCCACTCTGCTCCCACTCCGGGAAAAAGGCCCGAATCGTAGAAAGGTGAAGAACAGCCAGGCTCGGACTGGACACCAACGCGGTATGGGTGGACGCTAGACAGATGATATATCCGAATCCTTTGAGAAAAAGAACAAAACCGTAGTGCCCCTTCCTGTCCCGGAGCTCGTGCGTCCTTGGGCGGACAGACTGTAACCGCCCCATGTCCACCCTGCGCGACGATGAGGCGGAGACTCTCGAGGAGTCGCGGATGCTGGCCAGCGCAGCAAAGCGGAAGCTCCAGCGCCTGCTCGGCGCCCAGGCGGCCCTTCAGCGCGTGCAACGGGAGGGCGTGGCCGCCCTCCGGCGGGAGGAGGGCGTCGCTGAGGCCAAGGCGGCAGTTGACGCAGCGCAATCATCGCTCATGTCGGTGCTCGAGGCGTGCGATGGTGGCGACGCCTACAAGAGGCTCGATCGCGACTGTGCAGAGGCTGCGGGGGCGGCCGAATACGTCCGTTCGGCTGCGGCGGCCCGACTTTACCGAGCGGCGGTCGAGCGGGAGGAGGCAGCGGCTCTCAGCCGACTGGAGGAGGCGTCAGAGTCACGCGCTGCGCTCAAGGCGGCGAAGGAGCGCCTGGCGTACTCACAGGGTGTCCTCTACGGCCTCGTAGAGACCGACGGCCGCGGCGAGGGCGGAGAAGTCCGCCTTCAGAAGCAGCTCGCCGTGTGGGCCGACGAGGCATGTGCGGCGAAACGTGTGATAGCAGAGCAGCAACCGCACCTCCGGCGGCGCCGCGATGCGCGGCGCCGCTTTTGGCACCAGCAGGGCTGGAGAAAGGCCACTGAGCGCTTCGGGGCAGTGTGTGGTGTCGGGCCGGCGGATGCGCTCAGGCTGAAGCTCGAGGTTTTGGCTGCCGATGCGCGGCAGCTGCGCACGGCAGCTCGCGGATCGCTACGCGCACTGGTTGCGTCGCACGAAGCGCATGCGCAGGCGAGTTGGGAGCTCCAGTGCACTCTTGGCGCAGTCGCCTTCCTGACGGAGGTATGCAATTTGCCCGAGTTGAGCGGCCTGCAGCCGGCGGCCACCCTCCAGGCGCGAGGGCATCCTCGGTCCCCCCCTCCCCCTCCTCCCCCAACTCCACTCCGAGCGGCCGTGCTCCAGACGGCGCTCGCTGCCGAGGAGTACGAGGCGGAGCTCGAGGCTCGTGTCCTTCGTAAGTCACTCAAGGCGCTCGCCCCAAAGCTCGCCGAGGAGACCCGCCTGCGCTTTGCCTGGCACTCGGCGGCGGGGGAGACCGCGGTCGCTCGGGTAATTGGCATGCCGGAGGAGAAGGCCGGGGCCAAGGAGGAGGAGGTCGCCACTAAGGCTCGGGCGGTGGAGGCCGTGCGCCGCGAGCACGCTGTGCTAGAAGGCAAGCTCGGCAAGCTCGAGGGCAAGCTTCAGGCAGCGGCCACCCCTTGCGAAAGCACGCGCTCTGCCTCACAAGAGCGTAACAACTTCGGCACAACCTGCCTCAGGTGCTGTCCGGCCTCCGCTCGTGTGAGAACGATACACGGGCCGCCGCCCCCCGCATGTTGGGGACAGCACGGCTCAAGGCGGCCATGCCGCCGTGGCAGGCAGGTCCATTGAAAGCACCCCTGTTCACTTGGATTGGCCGCTCTAGGCGCTTCGCCTTGGGGCCAAGATGGCCGGACTGCAGCTGTTGCTGATGCGATACGACAAGGCGAGCGGCACACATTCCCTTCCACACCTTCTTCTTGCACCTCCCCTCCTCGCTCCCAGCCCTGCCTCTACCCTGATCAATATGTCGCGTTTCAGGCCAATGCGAATCTGCACGCTGCGGGTGGCGCTCTTATTGCCCTCCGTCGCCTGGAGCGCGACGCGACGCACAAGTCGCTGACCGAGCCAAGACTCTTCGAGCCGCCCATGCGTCAAGACCCGAGCGGTGCGCAGGGACTGCTCACGGCCGCGGGCCTCTCTCCCGAGGCGTGCGCCGCCCGCTCCGCCCATCGCAGCCGCGAGCCGGTTCACAGGCGGGCGACCCGCCACCAGGTGCGCGAGTTCCTCCGCGGCTCCTTCGCGCCGATGCTGCGCGCGGCTTTCAACGCAGCGCTGCAGGCGGCAAGTCCCGACCCCTTTGAGTTTCTCGCCCAGTGGTTTTGGACGCACTCGGAGGCCGCGGCGCAGCCTTCCTCAACCAAGCCGCGCGAGCTGAGCGTCGGCGCTGGCGCGCCCCTGTGGTCCCAGAGCCGCCTGTGCGAGCTGCGTGATGCTGTTGCGCGGCGGCGGCTAGAACTGCTTGGCATCACGCGTGGCATTGGCGCCACGCTTCCCGCCGAGCAGCAACTTCACGCCGCCGAGCAGATGTTCGCGCTCCTCCGATTGCCAGCCGCCGTGGGGCTCACCAACGATCTCGAGTCGTCCCCACTGGCAAGGCATGCAGTCCTCTTCCCGCCGCTGGGCAGCGGCGAGGAGGCGGCTGTGACGCCTACGCAGCCTCTTATGGCCATGCACGCAGCCTCCAATGTGCGTGCCATCGCGCGCTTAAATTACACGTGCGCACTACCGCGAGCTGCCCCTCCTCCCGCGGTCAGGCGAAGCTACTCGACGCGCTCGCCTCGGTGATGCTCCAATACCCGCGCGTGGGGCTCATCGTCTCTGTGCACGAGATCGAACAGCCTAACTCCGAGTCCGACGCGCCGGTGGCCGGTGCGCCAGAGCGCTCGATCATCGCCCGCCGTCGTGCCGACGCCATTGTCGACGCCCTCTTGCGACGCCAAGTGCTCGCTCGCCGCATCGAGTCGCGTACGCTCCCGCAGGCGGCTCCTTCGTCGCAGCTGACTCTCACACTCCTTGCTCCCAACGGTAAGAGTGTGCCGCCGCGGGCACCTGTGCCTGTACCTATGCCATCACCTGGAGAGGCAAAGAGCGAGGCGCGACCTGACACGGCTCTCAAGGCGGTGCGAGAGGAGCTTCAGGCGCTGCGCAAAGCATTCGAGGCGCCGAGTTACGCCGTGGGCTGGTGTACGCAACCGCCCGACCGCCGACATCCCCTCCCCTGCTCGCACAGGCCAGCCTCCGCCTCGAAGCCCCGCTATCCCTCCGCGTGGCGGTACTTGGGGTGAGATTGGCGCCCGAGACCCCTCTGACACATCGCGCGGCCGAGCTGTCGGTCTCGATTTGCTACGGCGCGCACCGCGCCAACCACGCATCAGAGGCCAAATTTCGCGTCGATGACGCGGCCGTCGAGATTGTCGACGCGGAGCTCTGGGACGCTGGCCGCGCCCAGCTCCTGTGCGGCTGCTCCTTATCCGTGGCGCCTCTGCTTAGCGGGTCGCAAGCTACCATCCGGGCAGAGCTGCCAGTCCTCCCGGTGGCCGAGCTGCTGGATGAGGCGCAGCACGGTGCGGGGGGCGCCAGCGGCCCTCTGGGGTGGCTTACGGTGGAAGCAGAGGCTGTTCCGAAAGGGGTGGTGGCTTGATGGCTTTGTTTGCTCTCATATCGATATTAGATCACAGACGTGGGCACCCACGTCTCACGTCGCGCGATCGGCGGTCACACAAAAACGCAATCTGAATTCATCAACCGAGGAACGGGCCCGACGTCTCGCCCGGCCCCGCGCAAATAGGAGGCAAGTTCGTGGTCTCTGCGACGTGCGTGGCCATCGCGTCCATGGCCTTCGCCGCAGCGGGGCAGCCGAACGGGAGGCCGAGCACCACGAACACGTGCCCCATGCTCGGAGCGTGGTGGTGGGTCACTTCCACGCCGGCGCGCTCGAGCTTGTGCTGTAGCCTGCAGATCTGCGAGTAGAAGATCTCGGACTCGCCCGAGACGATAAGCGTGCGGGGGAAACCGTGCAGGTCGACGTTGCACGCCGACGCCTCCATCTCGCTGGCCGCGCCAGCGTAGGCCCGAGCCATCTGCTGCACCAGAGCAGGCGGCAAGAAGTCGCGCTGCGAGCGCCACGATGGGCTCGAGTCGTTGTCGGCCAGGTCAGACCACGGCGAGAGCGCCAGAAGGCCGGCCGGCATGGGCAGCCCTTGGTCGCGGGCGGCGGCGGCGGTCGAGATGGTGAGCGCCCCCCCCGCCTGCAGGACATGTCTCGGACGTGTCATGAGCGTGTCCTGGACATGTTCGAGATGGCGGGCGCGGCCCCCGCCGAGTCGCCGGCAATGACAATGCGCTTGGGAGCGACGGCTTGCGCCTCAACCAGCCAGCGGTACGCGGCGAGGCAGTCGTTGACAGGCACGGGGAAGGTCGCCTGCAGCGTGAGCACAAGAGGGCTGAGGGTGCGGACGCAGTATCGGGCAACGCACGCAACGCGTCTCGCAGGGCGACGAATACTGCGAACCAATGCTGCGAACCACCGCATGAGGCACCGCCGCGTGCCGCCGCATGCAAGCCGCAAGACGGGGGTCTGCACGCCGCATCGAGGTGGTTCATCTAGGGGAGGCGGCCTCGGGCGCGCGCCGGTAGTCGACTGCGAGCAGCACCGCGCCGGTGTGGTGGACGATTCGGCTCATAAAGTCGCGGTGCGAGTGGAGCGTGCAAAAGACGTAGCCGCCCCCGTGCAGGTAGAGGATGATGGGCACCCGCTCGTCCTCCAGCCTGTGTCCCCGACACGCCACGGATGTGCGGTGACCGTGTCGCGGACACGTGATGGATATGTCTCGGAAGCGTCTCGCTCACCACTTGCTCACGCAGCCGCCAGCGGGCCGCCAGCTGCGCGTTGGACCTTCTGCCCGGGGGGAGCGGGGGGGGGGGGGGGCGCCTCGGAGACGTGTGGGCGGTGCCCCGCGCGGTGTAATCTCGGCTGTGTGATGGCGCACCCTCGGAGACGTGTGGGAGTAGCCAGTCGCACGGAGGCACGCCCGCAGCGATGTCCGCATCCATATGGACCGCGTCGACCCAGTTGGCGCAGGAGCAGATGGGCGGCTGACAGCAGCGGGGATAGCCAAGGGGCACGTCCAGGCAAAAGCGAATCAATTGGATGGTGGCGCGGTTGATTCGAATCGCGCCGAGACCGTACCTCGCAACGATACGTCCGATGCTCATGGTCATCTCCATGCGCCGATTGGACCCCTCTGGCGGCGAGGCCATGCAGCATCCGCTGCGGCAGAGTGCGGCCGGAAGAAGGCATAGCGGCACGCCGAGGCATGCGAGCAGGCCCTCAGCGACGCCGACTGTTTGCAAACAGCAGCCGTCGTCGAGTGTGCTGCGAGGAGGACTCGGAATGGTCATGATGAGGGCGTCGTCCGATTGCGGAGACTCCATGCAAGGGCGTCCAACTTCGGACTTGGTACCAACTTCGGCTGCGCATCCCAACCAGCGAAACAGCACAAAAAACGAAAAAAATGTTAAAGGTAGAGGCCGTCCGAATTTCGCACAATGTCTAGTCCACATGAGTCATGACGCCCGCAGTTGCGTTGGTCGGCGCGCGCCGACGCCGACCATCACCACCGACCGACGGCTCGCACGGCCGTGCGGTGAGCAAAAATTTGGGTCGCTGCGCGCCTGCCGGATGCTCTGCGACGTCTGGACGCTCGCCAGAAACGCCAGGAAGCTTGCCTTCCACCCCTGGGCCCGAGGGCGAACGACAGCGCCGGTGGCGGCCCCGCGCAGCGCTGGCGCAGCGGCGGCGGCGCCCTGAGTGAGGCAGACTGCCGCCGTGTACGCCGCCATCGCCTCTCTTCGTCGCCGATCTCGCCGACGCCGCTCGCCGCTCGCCCCCGCCCCGCCCTGCCCTGCCCTGCCCTCGCACAAACAAACCAACACACACACACACACACACACACACACACACACACACACACACACACACACACACACCACACACACCACACACACCACACACACACAACACCAACACACACACACACGTACACACACACAACACACACCCTGCCCCCACCTCGAGCGCCCCGGCCGCGCCCTCCCGCCCCACGCCCTGCGCCTCACGCCTCGCGTCCCACGCACGCCCCGCGCCCCGCGCCCCCACGCCCCTCACCTCACGCCTCACGCCTCCGTCCCCACCCTCTCAGGCATTTCTCCTCCCTGCTGCACGCCGACTCCTCCTCCCCCCGCATGACCGACGACTACCCGTCCTTCAGCGTCTCCTCCCCCCTCGGCGCCAACGTCTACTACCTGGGGACCGTCGCCCTCGGGCGTACTGGCTTGATCCCAGCGGCACACGTCTACAACCCGGCGAGAGGGGGACTCACGGGGAAGAGACCGAACGGCCGGCCGGATTACTAGGACGCCGAGGCCCCGCACGGGGAAGAGTCCGAACGCCCGGCAACTAGGTCATTGAGGCCCCGCCCCTCTCTCCACCCGGCCATTCCAACGGCCAGGCCGCTCGCTTAAGGCTGATTGGCTAGACGAGCGGCCTACCTCCACGGGGTTGTTGGCGCAGGGGGAGGTGTCAATCACGCTCCCGGGACGCCGGAGAGATCGGGTTGGTCTCCCCCGCCTTCAGCCCTGACCCGAGGGGGACGCCACCACCCTCGCCCAGGGATCTACAATGCTGTCCTAAGGTCCGACAGGTTCGGCACCGGGCACCGCCTCGGTATACAAAATGCGCCTGCGGGCGGACCCTCACAGATCACAGATCACAAAAATGTCAGCAGAGTCCTCGACAAAACGACAAAAATGTCAGCAGAGACGCCGCCGATGAGCTTGACGAGTTGCGGGGCAAGCTCCAGAGCCTCGAGCAGAAGATGAACGTGATGCAGCACAACGATGAGGACGACACCAAAGGGCTTGTGGGCCAGGCCAGCCGTAAACGGCGCGGCAACGTTAGAGCGGCCGCACACTGCTCGGTACCCCCCCTGCACACCTAAGCCCATGGCCGACCCCCCCCCCCCCCCCCGCAGCAAAACTCTGCCTGTGGGGGGTGCTGGCATCTCTGTGCAGACAGCTGTATTGCAATAAGTAGCATGCCTTCCAAGTGGCGAGAATTTATGGTCGGCACCAAAATCGGTGGTCTCACACCGGCGGGCCCTCCTACTGCCAGCCGGGCGGTGCGAGACAGAGAGGAGAGAGAGTATCAGAGTATATGCGTGCTTCTGTGTGTGTTGCGACGCGTTACCTGCCCCTGTGTTGCTTATTACACCTCACGCCCCCCACAGCAAATCGGTTTTTGCCCTTAACTAGTGCTGTTTTCGTTGGTCGAATTTTCGCTTGACTGGGTCGGTTTGAGCACTATTCAGCCATTACCCTAGCAAGCCTCTACTGCTTCGTTGTCCGTCGTCTGCTGCTGTACAATTTTGGCCTCTTCTCCTTCGCAAGGGCCCCGCCCCCAGCGAGGGGGGGGCGGGGCCCGCGCAGGGGTCCTCTCGTGTGTGCGAGAGAGTGGCCGGCCGCTTCCCACCGCTTCCAGGGACGCCCACCACGAAGCTTCGACCCGCTCCGAGCACGATAGACATGTATATAGACATGTCGCGTCGCGCTCGGTCCGCGCCCAAGGTGAACGTGTCGCCGAGTGTACGCCTCGGCCTCGAGTCGATTGTCGAGGGCAACGAGACGGCGATCCGGGCGATGCTCTCGCTCGGCAGCGACAAGGTGGTCGTGGAGGGCCTGATCGACTGTATGGGCGTCAACTCGCTGTCGGCAGAGATGCTCATCGCCAACTACTTCAGTGCGAGCATGCTTGGCGCCTACTGCCGCGAGCGCATCGGCAAGTCTGACAAGGGCGGTGCGGCAACGCTCGCGGAGAGAATCGCCCGCGAATGGGCGAAGCCCTCGTTTGCACCGCTGCCCGCGCCTGCCGACTCAAAGAAACGAAAGGAGCCGCAACCGCCTGTGGAGGATGCGGCGGCTAAGCGCGCGGCGGCGCTGGCGGAAGTAGCCGCCAAGCGCGCGAAGCAGGCGGCCCAGAAACAGGCGTCCTCACCGACCGCGCCGGCAGCGGAGCCCAAGGAGAAGGAGGTGGTCGGGCAGCGCGAGAAGGAGGAGGAGGGGGAGGAGGAGGAGGGGGAGGAGGGGGAGGAGGGGGAGGAGGACGTATACGATACGCCGGACGCGCGAGAGATCGCCGCGCTCGAGGCGTGTGAGGACATCGAGGAGGCGGTCGGCGGCCTCGCTCGGCGCAAGCTCCGTTGCGATGCTGTGCTCGCCGGTCTCGTTCGATGGGACAACTGCGCCCGAGCCGCCGAGTTTCTGCGTGCGTGGGAGGAGTCCGAGCCGCTGTTTGGCTGCGACCTCGAGCTCTGCTTTGAGGCCGTGCCGCGCATCAAGCTCAAGAGCCAGGCGGAGATGGCCAAGGCAGGGGCGATCGTCGGCCTGACCTTCCCGGAGGCTGACGAAGAGTACATCCAGACGTATGCTGGCGAGTGGGACCCCGATGAGATCGGGGAGCGCGAGAAGCAGGCCTTCATGGAGGCGCTCGAGGGGGCGAGCATGGGCACGGCGAACGACGACGCGTAAAGCCGCAGCGATGGATGAGAGGATGAGCCTGCTCTATGCGGTGAGGCGGTATTTACCCCTTCGCCTACAACATGTGTAGTAGAAGAGTCGTAAATACATTATCGAGGTGCGTTTGTTTTTATTATTTCGGTGGGGGAGAGACCTGGGACTGGGCGCTGGACGCGGCACGGCTCCTGTCTGCGGAGATTCTGATTTCTGTCTTACGTGGCTGGGTTCACAGCCTTGTTATTGTATATTGAGAAGAAAATACGTCCTATGGCGCTGTGCGCTGGTCTGTGAGAGGTTGAGGTGCGAGCCCTGGAGGCCCTGGGAATGGGGGGAGACTACCCGCGGGCCTCTAGAAGGCCCGCGCGCAGGGGGGTGGGGCATTGAGACCGGTCATGAATGAGTGCGCGACACGCATGTTCACAGCGATTGGGCACCTCCGGAGGCAGGCCGCCGCACGCCGGCGACACAGCTCCAGCTGTCGAACTGACCCGCAGCTCCTCTCAGAGCGGGAACTGTGACGAAAGTTGACTGAGGCGGTTGTCAGGAATCATCATACGGATCACATGGTGGCTCTTTCATGACGGGAGACCGCCCGACCACTCCTGGGTGGCACTGCCACCGGTGTCGCTCGACGTCCTGTCGACAGCGTGCCGACAGCGACACATACCATGTGGGACGCGTCGAGTATCGACCCCTACTGTTTACCCAGCCTTTGAGTGTATCCTGGCTGTGCTCCCACACCCACTGGTGTCCATCTCAGAGACCGCAGGAGGTCATGAGGGTCGATGGGAGTGCCAACCCCACAATGCCTAAAAAAACCCAGCCCAGTGTAGCACACACAGTGAGTCATTCGGAGTCATTCGATGGCCAGAGTGCGATTGTGTGTGTGCGGGAGTTGGTTTGTCGGGAGGGAGGGGCAGGCTGCCCACCCACGTGCACCGGGCCAATGCTTGCACTTTGAATGCCGTGGGGCTCCTAGTCCTACCCGTGTCCGGGTGTGGAGATGCGAGGGTCGCCCCCCCTTGCCCCACCACTTTGTGTGTGTGGAGAAATTTACCTTACCTTGTACCTTACCTTGGACGGGGGGCGTCTCTGGGCCGGTGTGTGGCGTGGACCGTGTGTGGGCGCGGGAGACCATTGCGCATTGGGACATGGTCTATGCCGATGGGACCACTTCTCCACACTCCACTTCTAACCACCACTTCTATAGTTCTACCGACGCTTCACAGACCACTTGTGGAGGCGCGTGCCGCGTGGTCTTTGCTCAGGATACATACCTAGTCGTTTGGAAAAGAACTGCGCCCCACCACATGCCAGCATCGACACTCCCCCTCCCGCACTCGACACCAACACATGTCATCGACACCGGCGCCCTTATCCCTTGCATGTGCATCATTACATGTAGTTCCCTTCCCCGAGAGCGAGACCTGTACGGACTATGGAGGAGAGCGCGTCCGTTCTCCCTCACTGCGCCATCAGCGTCTTGCGTCGGGTGCGCGTCTCGCTGTTAGGCGAGCAAGCGGCAAGCGGCTCGCGCGGCGAGCCCGCGCGCGGCATCAGTGCGGCCTTCTCCTCCGAGACTGGGAAAGGCTCCGCCTTTGCCGGCAGCGGTGCTGCCGCCTTTGGCTCCGGCGCCGGCGTTGCCTCCTCCTGCTGCTTTGCCTGCTGATACGCGGCACTGCCGCCGTGCCAGCTCCAGCTGTACTTTGAGCGCTTCCCGAGCAGCTGGGCAAACCAGACGCACATGAGGGCGTGCAGTAGTCGCAGCGTCCACAGGCAGACGGCCTCGCGCCCCGTGGTGGGTGTGCTGAAGTCGGGAGCGAAGTAGACGAGATGGCCGAGGTAGACGATGCGGTTGAAGAAGTAGCCGACCACGAGCGCAACGTAGCGGCCTCGCGAGGAGCGATCGCGGTTCCAGTGCGCCAGCATCAGAGCAGACCACTCGATGAGCATCACCCGCGAGGCTCCCTTGCCGGCGAGGCCAAGCTGCGGCTCGTTGTAGCCCGCACCAGCGACGAGCAGGGACAGGGCGTGGTGGACAAAGAAGGGCACGTCCCGGTCCATGGCGCACTTGACCAGGTCGACGGCAAAATATGGCCACGACCACGCAACGGTGAGCGCCTCGGGCGTCAGGCCGGAGAGTGAGAGGACGGAGAAGACTGCGGCGCCGGCGCCGTGCAGGTCGGTGATGTACTTGTAGGGGACCACCGCGAAGGACACGAGCCAGATAAGGCTGGTGCCGAGGAGCAAAGGGGCGAGGAGTTCCTGCTCGACGAACATCGCCAGATGAGCCTTCGGACGCTTGCTCCTCGTCCTTGATGGCAACGTCGGCCGAGTTTTTGTTTTTTTATTTTGTGTTACAGTGTTAGTGCCAGTGCGCGCCAGTCCCGTGCCACTGTCGTGCGAGGGAGTTGGGTTGTAAAATTCTTTTTGTATTTTTCGTGGTGGGGGACAACCCCCTCTCTAGTTCATGCTCCCCGTCACACAGAGCTCAGAGGCAAGCTCCCCGGCACTATACGGAGACGGCCATCATCAGACAGACTTGAGAGCGAGAGCCGACGAGTTTTTGGCGGGGGTGCGGGCTAGAACGAGCCGCAGCCACAACGTTTGTCCACCACGCGTGCGCAGAGCCAGCGGCCTCCAGGCGCCCTACGCCGCCTCGGGCGCGAAGGAGACGGTGTGCGCGTCGAGCGTGCGCAGGTTGACCAGGACGATCGAGCGCGTCTCGCGGAAGTCGGGCACCGCGACCAGCCGCACCGGCTCGCCGGCCGGCGTGCGGAAGAGCCGCGTTGCGAACGCGGGCTGGTTGCCGGCAAAGAAGACGGCGGGCGAGGCGTCGAGCAGGAAGGGGTCCTGGTGCGGACGTGTCGCGGGCGCGTCAGCACAGGCGCAAGGTTGGCACGGGCGGGCGGGGGGTGGCGGCGGCGCGAGCAGCGGAGAGGCAGGGGCGTAGGCCGGCGGGGCAGCGGCGACGCGGGGGCTCTCAGACCGATGAGTCAGGGCAGGAGTGACTCCAGCGGGAGATCACATCTCCCCACATCTCCCCACATCTCCCCACATCTCCCCACATCTCCCCACATCTCCCCACATCTCCGCCGTACGACGTGGCAAAGACGCGCGAGGTGCAGCAGCGTGAGATCACATCTCCCCACCTCTCCCCTCCCCTCTCCATATCTCCCTCTCGGGCATACGCCGCGCCGTGTCTTTGAAGGGGTAGCAGCCGAGCGTGTCGGGTGCGGTGGGCGCCACGTGCCGCAGCTCGAGACACATCTCGAGCGCGTCGAGGGCGCGCTCCGGCGCGGCCGCCTGAGGGACGGGGCGAGGGCGTGTGGCGGTCAAGGCGGGGAGCGTGTCGCGGCCGGGAGGCAGCCGCCGCTCCGGCGGGTGAGGAAGAGGGGGGTTAGGGTTTAGGGTTAGGGCTCTCTGGCGGGTGGGGAAGAGTGACGTGAGAGGGTGTGCGGTCGAGAGGAGCGACTGCGGCGGCGGCGCGGCTCGCCTCGTCGGTTGGCGCCGAGTACTTGAGCAGGTCAGTGACGGGCTGGCCCGAGGTGCCTGTGGCCCGTGTCGCGGACGTGTCGCGGGCGTGTCGCGGACGTGTCGCGGGCGTGTCGCGGACGAGCTCGGGCGGGGATCCGAAGTGGGCTGGGTACATGGTGGCGAGGGGGCGCTGCACGCGGGGTGCGCAGTGGGTGTCTGAGGGAGGTGTGTTAGGAGGGGGGGGCAGGGGGTGCCGGGGACGGGGGAGGTGTGTTAGGGGGGGGGGGGGGTGCCGAGGACGGGGACGCCGTCGACGGAGCACGCAAACCTAGGAGGTGAGTACGTCAACATGAGGGCGGGGCGGACGGTCTTGTGCAGCGTCTTCAGAGCACCGCGTGAGAGGGGCTGCGAAGACAGTTGAATACGCCTCCTCTCGAGTGCTGGTTGGGAAGACAAGAACACGCATTCCGCTTCTAGGCTCGCAAACGGGTTGGTTCGCAGAGCCACTGTCGAGAGGCGCGAGCACTGCGGCAGCATGCACGGGTGCATCGGCTGCTGCGGAAGCAGGTGGCCCGCCGGGTCGGTCGCGCCCGGCATCAAGTCGACGGGGACGGCGCCTGCGCAAGTACGTCTTCCATCTCTCTGCCGGCGGCGGTATGGCGGCGGCTTGTGTGCTGGCGACGTGCGGCCGGCGTGTCAGGGGGGCGCACCGGGCGGTGGTGGTGTGCGGGCTTGCTAGAGAGCGGGAGAGGGAGAGAGGGAGAGAGAGGGAGAGGGGGGGGGGGGGAGAGAGAGAGAGAGAGAGAGAGAGAGAGAGAGAGAAGAGAGAAGAGAGAGAGAGAGAGAGAGAGAGAGAGAGAGAGAGAGAGAGAGAGAAGAGAGAGAGAGAGAGAGAGAGAGAGAGAGAGAGAGAGAGAGAGAGAGAGAGAGAGGGAGGGAGGGAGGGAGAGTGAGAGAGAGAGAGCCCACCTCCAAAGCCGGAGAGGGCGGCGTCGAGCGCCGCCATGCCTGCCGCGAGGCTTCGCTGCTGCGGCGCGCCGACTTTCTTCAGCGGGTCCACCTACAGGAAGGTTCAGAGAAGGTTCCACAACCATCCCCCGCAGCCCGCCGACCTTCCTCCCGAGGGTCAGCCATCCTCCGCTGACGGGGATCCCTCGGCGGCGGGGTCGGCGGCGGCGTTGCCCGCGACGACGAACCGTGCGACAGACGCCTGCAGCGCGAGGTCGGCGCCGCCGCCGACGTGCCCCGTGAGCCACTCGCTGAGCAGCGTGAGCGGCAACTCCTCCGCCTAGTCGCGGCGGCTCAGGCTCATCGAACCATCCGGGAGTGTCTAGGCGCACAACAATTTGGTCAGCCTGACGACGCGCGTGACGTCCAGGAAGTGTCCAGGAAGTGTCCAGGAAGTGTCCAGGGAGTGTCTAGGAAGTGTCACTCGCGCCGCAGAAGTGGAACTGCAGGGACGTGGCTCCGCAAGCGCCTCTCCGACGTGTCTCCGACGTGTCTCGGGAGAGTGTCGCGGCGGTGTCGCGGCGGTGTCGCGGCAGTGTCGCGGCAGTGTCGCGGCAGTGTGTCTGCGCAACCTCGTCCCCCTGCCCAACGCGAAGCCCAGACACCAGCGCGAGGTGCTTGTCGTGCGGCGCGGGGGCGTGCGTGCCGGCCGCGTCGTCCTCCGCCGCGGCGCTCGCCGCAGACGGCGCCGCCGGCGGCGCGCCCGGAAAGACGACGTCGCCGACGGTGAGCACGCCGTCCTGGTCAACAACGCCTCGCACGGCGATGACGGCGCCGGTGACGAGGCGGAGGCCGCGGCTCGAGACGAGCTTGTCCACGCCGCCCAGCTGCAGCCGCCCCGACTCGTCCTCCAGGCAGTACGAGTCCGTCCCCTCCTCGCCGCCCACGTAGGCGCCACCGTGCGCCGCCTCGGCGACCTCGAGGCCCTTGTCGATGTCCGGCTTGTTGCTGAGCTCGGCGAAGAGGGTACCCACCACCGCGACCGTCTCGCCATTGGCCGGCGCGTCGAGCGCCTTGACCCACGTCGGAGGACCTCCCCAGGCGGAGGCCGCCGCCTCACGCGCCACCGGCGACAGCATGCCGAGCCGCGTAAAGTAGAGGTTGGCGAACTGGCCGGTCAGACCCTCCGGCTCGACGCGGAAGGGACCAGCGCCGGCGTCGTCGACGGTGGCCGTGGCGCGCGTGAGCACCTTGCGAGGCATCGAGCTGCTGGACGCGGCGATGGTCCCCGTCGGTGTGCTCGCCGCCGCCCGCACCGTCGAGGCAGATTTCCCGCGTCGTCAGGTGGCTATTCATTTTTCTTTTATGCGGCCCTCAAGCTGAAATTCTGCAAAAACCTGGCCGGCCCCTGCCCTGCCCCTACCTACCTACCTACCTACCTACCTTACTTATGGGAAACTAAAAAAGAAATCATATGATGGGTGAAGGTGGGGTACTATACCAACTAGAGTGATTGATGGTTGGTGGTACTCTCCTGCAACCACAGTCCTTCTTGTGACATGGCAGGCCACTCTCAAGCCCTACAAGCATCAGATCACCCATTTGGGGAGGGTTGACATCGTGATTTCCGCGAAAAAATTCTTTTTCTGCTGTGAAAATTCCAGCGTGGAAGAGGGGAAAACCCGACGGGAGGGCCCAGACCTACCCTACCTACCCCGGCATCAGGCCAGCCCAAGCAAAAAGAATCTACACCTGGCGTCGTGGAGAATTTGCGGGCGCCAACCTTCTTTTTTTTGTACACTAGGCTAGGAGCAGCCTCGCTCTCAATCCTAGAAGTCGAAGGATTGTGAGCAGCACTCCTCGCAATCGTAGCATCTCTGTGCGATTGTGAGCGCCTCGCTCGCAATCCTACATCTTCTAGGACTAAGAGCAGCTCCGCTCCCAAGATGAAGACAAGAAATCACGTATCTCACAGTGATTTGGGCTCGGCAGCTTGTCAGCCCTCAGCCGAAGCTGGGGCCGGTCCCGTAGCCGAGAGAGCCCGCGCCGATGAGTTCGACGCGGTCGGGGGGGGCTGCGGAGAGGCCAGCGAGATGGCGATCGCTGTACTTCATGGTGTCATCAAGTGACTAGCTGACTCGCCAGAGGTCGATACTCTGGACGACCCATAGGATGCCACGAATGCCTGGAGGAGAGGGAGGCGAGGCCAGAGGCAGGCTCAGCTACTCTCGGGTGATCTCACTTTGGTGGCTGAAGGACCCGATGGTCCTGTCACATTCGCGTTCCGAGTCGTGGGGGTAGAAGAATTCGAGGTAGAATCGAGTCAGCACTTCCTTGTAGTACAGCGGACCGCCAGGCTCGCCGGCAGCATCCGCAGGGAGGCAGCATATGAGGCACCAATCTTCTGAAGAGCTCAACAGCTGCGGCCGCGATGGTAGAGTCGGCCGCGCTTCGAGCGAGCAGCTTTTGGCTGCGGGATCGAATCGCGGAAGGCTCATGCCCTCGCGGAGCGACGCGGGTCGCGCGGCGCGCGCCTGTGCGAAATGCGACAATAGACGACAGATGACAGACGCCTGAGCGCTGACGACTGAACGACCGTCGCCGCAATCGCCACCGCCGCCATTTTGACGAGCAGCGCGAGCGCGCTCGTCGGCGGCCAGTCGTCGCGGGCCGGGCCGAGCCCGGCCTCGACCGGCCGCGCCGCCGCAGTTTCTAAAATCTCGCGCCCAAGATTACTGGTTGGTGACGCCTACGACTACTACCAGCGCGCTCGCAATCCGAGCAAAGTCTAGGATTGCGAGCAGCGATGCTCACAATCCTAGCAACATGGCTCCGATTGCGAGCAGTAGCGCTCGCAATCCTACATCTTGTAGGACTATGAGCGGCGGTGCTCACAATCCGTACCAAAGATCCAAGGACTGCTAGCAGGTCGCACAGGGGGCGCTCCCAATCGCTCCAGCCGCGAGCGCTTGTGAGTGAGCGCGCCGGGGGGATCTCCTCGCAATCCAAACCGTGATCGCACCGATTGCGAGGGGACCCGCTCGCAATTCCTAGAAGTCGTAGGACTGTGGGCGGTGTCGCTCGCAATCGGCGAAAGTTCTAGGATTGCGAGCGCTCCTGCTCGCAATCGGAGGCATTGTTGCTCGGATTGTGAGCAGTGCTGCTCGCAATCCTAGACTTTGCTCGGATTGCGAGCGCGCTGGTAGTAGTCGTAGGCGTCACCAGTCATCTTGGGAGCGGAGCTGCTCTTAGTCCTAGAAGATGTAGGATTGCGAGCGTAGGTGCTAGCAATCGTACAGAGATGCTACGAGTGCGAGGAGTGCTGCTCACAATCCTTCGACTTCTAGGATTGAGAGCGAGGCTGCTCTCAATCCTAGCGGTCTACAAAAGAAGGTTCACCACAGAAAGAAAGAAAGAAGAAAACGGACAACCCAAGGGCACCAGCAGTTGTAGCATTTCCTTGGAGCACTTGGAGTGCAAAAAAGAAAGAAAGAAAACAGACAACCCAAGGGAGGGATGGGAGGACGGCACGCCGCCACCACACAGGGATTTTAAGGAGAGGTGTGTGGTGCGCTAGCCGTCGCCCACCCTAGGGAGTCTGCCTCTTCCTATCTCTCTTCGCAGTCTCTCGCCGCTTCTCGCTGCAATCTTCATGCCACCTCGCGGTCGTCCCACTCTCGTCGTTCTCTCCCTTGTCATTTCCTCCTCTGTCGCGTCGTTCTCTTCTGCCTCGTCCTGTGACGCCGCCGCCTGCCGGTCCCTTGTTCTCGCGGCTTCTTTCGCCTTTCGGCGCAACTCCGTCCTCCTCGCGGCGTATCCTGGCCCCTCGAGTCTATCGAGCTCCCCTCGCGCAAGGACCACATTACTTGGAGTGCAGTTATTTGCCGCCCGCGCGGCTGGTTTTCTTCATCTGTGAGAGAGAGTTGTTTTGTCTAAATTCTTCATCTCGATGGCCGCGCACCGCATCGGCGCACGGCTCGCGGGCCTCTCGCCGGAGCAGCTCGTCGCCTTCCTCGACGAGCAGGCGCCTCTCTGGAGCGCCGCCGCGCTGCGCGTGGCGGAGGAGCACGCCGCACGGCTCGTGGAGCAGCCCGAGTGGATCCTCTCCGAGGTCCTCCTCTCGCCGGACCTCGCCCCGCACATCCTCGCCCAGCTGCCGACCAAGGAGCACGCCGCCAAGGGGACGTGCCGCGCGTGGCGCCGCGGCTGGAAGGAGACGCTGAAGAAGCGCGAGAGGACGCGCCTGGTCGTGTTCGGCGGCTGTGGCAGCAACGGCGTTTACCTCAGCTCGCTGGAGCGGTACGACCCCTCTACGAATGAGTGGGAGGGGGAGACTGTGGCGCCGATGCGGACGGCACGCAGCTGTTCCGGCATGGCGGTGCTCGATGGCAAGCTCTACGCGGCGGGCGGCAGGGGCGAGGGAGACGAATCTTACAACCTGGTGGAGCGGTACGACTTCGCAACGAATGGGTGGGAGGTTGTGGCGCCGATGGCGGTGGCTCGGAATCAGCCTGGTGTGGCGGTCCTCGACGGCAAGCTATATGCTGTGGGCGGCATGGACAACACCGGCGACGACGGCGTCCCCAACCGCCTCAGCTCGACGGAGCGGTACTGTCCCGCGACAGGCGCGTGGGAAATGGTGGCGCCGATGGGTTCGGTGCGGCAGAGTCCCGCAATGGCGGTGCTCGACGGCAAGCTGTATGCTGTGGGTGGATACGGCATCGAGGAGGAGGAGGAGGAGGAGGAGGGAAACGACGGCCGCCCCCTCAGCTCTGTGGAGCGGTACGATCCCGAGATGAATGCGTGGGAAGCGGTCGCGCCGATGGGGTCGAGCCGAGACGAATGCGGCGTGGCGGTGCTCGACGACAAGCTGTATGCTGTGGGCGGGGAAGGTTCGGAGCCCGACTCCGACGACGGCGACGGTGCCCTCAGGTCGGTGATTCGGTATGATCTCGCGACGAACACGTGGGAGACGGTGGCGCCGATGTCGACAGAGAGGAAAGCGCTCGGCGTGACGGTGCTCGACGGCATGCTCTACGCTGTGGGCGGCGAAAACCTCGAGGTAGTGGCGGACGACGACTACGAGGGTCCATTCATGAAGAGTGCAGAGCGTTTCAACCCGGCGACGAGCGCTTGGGAGGAGGTGGCGCCGATGGCGGCGGCGCGGGCCTTTGCCGGCGCGCTCTCGATGTAGAGGGTGCTACTCACACCTCGCCGCAGGGCAGCTCTCCGATGAGGAGCTGCTGTGCGCAAGGCGCCCCAGCTACCGCCCGTGCCCATGTTCTTCTCGTAAAGCACGTCTGTGTGAGAGGTCCGTGGTTGTGTTTTTGTGTGAGAGAGAGTGAGAGAGTTTGACTTGCACTTTTAAATTCTTTTTGATAGCTTTTGTCGCGCCCCCAGGAAACCTTGGAGAGACGCTTCCTTACTTCAGACCTCGTTTTTTTTCGCCCTTCGCCCGATTGCCAGCATGAAGGCGCGACGGCTTCCGACATTCACGCTCCTCGTGTCGCTCGCGAGCTCCCTCGCCTTCACTCCTGTTTTCCCCCACCGCGTCGCCCCCTTTCCTCGCTGTCCCGCGTGCTCCGCCTCCTTCTCCGCTCCCGCCCTTGCCACGCTGCGCCGAGTCTCCGCACGGCGCGGCGAGGTGGTCGTCGTCAAGTACGGTGGGCACGCGATGACAAATGACGCGCGGGCGGCCGAGTTCGCGGAGGACATCGCGCTGCTGCAGTCTCTCGGGATGCGTCCCGTCGTCGTGCATGGTGGCGGCCCGCAGATCAACGACATGCTCGAGCGGCTCGACGTGACGTCGTCGTTCGTGCGCGGGCTGCGCGTGACGTCGCCAGAGGTGATGGAGGTGGTCGAGATGGTGCTGTGCGGGAAGCTGAACAAGGGGATCTCCGCCGCCATCAACGTCGCCGGCGGCCGCGCTGTCGGCCTCTCCGGCAAGGACGACTCGCTGGTGCTCGCGACGCAAAAGGACGAGGAGCTCGGCCTGGTGGGGTCGATCCAGGCGCCCGAGGCCTCGCCGAGAGAGGGCGGCGGAGGAGGGGCGGGCGAGAGGGGCCCGGGATGCGACGCTCGCGGGCCACCCTTGCCCGAAGACAGCCGAGCCCTTTGGCCGCAGGCGGTGCGGGCGCCGCTGCTGCAACTCCTTCTCGACAAGGGGGTGGTGCCTGTGATCGCGCCGGTCGCGACCGGCGCCGACGGCACCTCGTACAACGTCAACGCCGACACGATGGCGGGCGCAATCGCGAGCGCCCTCGGCGCAGCCAACCTGCTGCTGCTCACAGACGTGGAGGGTGTGCTGGACGCGGCGCCGCCCGAGGGGAAGCTCGTGCCTCTGCTGACGCCCGGCCAGGCGCAAGCGTTCTGCGACGAGGGCGTCGCCGTCGGCGGGATGATCCCGAAGCTCGGCACCGCCATAGCCGCCGTTCACGGCGGCTGCGAGACGGCCGTGGTGATGGACGGGCGCGTCCCCCACTGCGCGCTCGAGTTCCTCTTTGGCGACGCTCCCGTCGGCACCGCCATCAGCGAGACGAGCGAGCGGGGATGGGACGGGCCCTAAAGGGGCGCAGGAGGGGGTGGCCGGAGCGAGGCTGAGGCCACTTTTGTAGGCATGCGGTCGGCACATGAGAGAAACAAGCCTCCCCGCCTAAAACCCAAGAGTGCAGGAGATCGAGCGCACATATACGATATACAATGTGTTCAGTGTAGAACACGGTGATTTTCGTACGGCTCTAAAGTAAGGCACTCTCAAATAAATACGGAAGTAATAAATAAATAGAGCAGTCATCTCCAGGAGAGATGGGCGACGCACGAACACAGAGGCACAGTGCGCACCCCGCCCCGCTCACACCGTCGCACAGGGCGTGCATCGTCACACACAGGCGTGGTCCGTGGACTGTGTGACTCCTCGGGTTTCTGGGACTCGACAGAGGTGTGCTAGTCGCTACAGTCGGACGGCTCCGGCACGTCTGATAGGCAGTTCGGGCTCGAGTGAGGGCCGCGGTCGCGGTCGCGGCCAGCGCGCGGGGCCTGGCGCCGGGGCTGCCGGGGTGAATCTCGATCCACGCGCCGGAGAGCGCGCGTGGTGCTTGAGCAGCCGGGCGGTCGCCGCAGCCACCTCGATCGGCAGCTCGTCGAGCCACTCGGCAAAGGTTCCCTCGTCTTGCGCCGCAGTGTTGAACTGTTCGCCTAGGCCGTACGCACGGCAAGCCCGGAAGAGCGCCTTGAGCGCCTCAATACGGAAGTATACCGACACGGAGGAAAAAGAGGTCCTCTTTTGCCTCGGTCAGCTCGGGAGGCTCGGTGCTCCCTCCCTCTCAGTGTCCTCTTCGCTCTTGGCCTCGCGACCACACCTCGATCTTCTTGGGCAACAGCTGTCGTGACACGTCCTCTCCGTGGCCTAGGCAGCCGGTCTCTCCCTTACCCCAGGTAAAGACTGCACCGTCGGCGGCGAGGGCGAGGCTGTGGTCTTCCCCTGCCGACAAAGTGACGACCCGCCGGCCAGCGAAGGCCTCGACCGCCTTCGGCAGCAGCTGGTCCTGCTCGTCGCCGTGGCCCAGCTGGCCACAACGCCCGTCGCCCCAGCTCCAGACGGCGCCATCGGCGGTGGCGGCGAGGCTGTGGAATGATCCAGCCGACACGGCGACGACGCGCTGCCCAGCTAAGGCCTCGATCTTCTTGGGCAGCAGCTGGTGCTGCCCGTCGCCGTGGCCCAGCCGGCCAAAGTATCCCTCACCCCAGCTCCAGACGCTGCCGTCGGCGGTGATGGCGAGGCTGTGGCCGCCTCTCCCGTCGACACAGCGACGACGCGCTGGCCAGCTAGGGCCTCGACCGCCTTCGGCAGCAGCTGGTCCTGCTCGTCGCCGCGGCCCAGCCGGCCTAACAGTCCGCTGCCCCAGCTCCAGACGGCGCCGTCGGCAGTGATGGCGAGGCTGTGGTATCCTCCAGCCGACACAGCGACGACGCGCTGGCCAGCGAAGGCCTCGACCTGCTTTGGCTGCCACTGGTCGCCTTGTCCCAGCTCGCCCTGCCCGCCGAGGCCCCAGGACCAAACGGCGCCGTCCGCGGTGAGAGCGAGGCTGAAGAATCCTGACGCCGCCACACCAATCGCGCGCTCGCCTCCGAGGAGCGACGGGAGACGGGTCGGCGCGTCTTCAGCTGCAGCACGCCCTCGCCGTGGCCGAGAAGGCCTGGAAACTCCTCCCCGTCCTCCTCCTCGCCCTCCTCGCCCTCCTCGCCCTCCTCGCCCTCCTCGCCCTCCTTTCCCCTGCCGCACGACGAGAGCCGCCCCTCGCCGTCAATGAAAACGCTGTGATACCACAGAGCCTGCCGCCGCCCTCGCCGGCGGCGGCGCGGCGGGTTGGACTCGCGCAGCAAGGCATAGACGCACAGCCACCGCACGGCGCAGCTCTTGCCCTCTGGCTGCGCCGGCGGCTCGTAGCCGACCTCTTGCAGGCGCAAGTGGATGCTCTCCTCTGCGAGCGAGCTGGTGTGGTGTGGAAGAGCAGCGCCGCAGAAGACGGCCGCAACGGTTGACGGTGACGCCCAAACAACTCCGTGCGTGCTCTCTGCCTCTGGGGCCCGCTCTGGGCATCTCTGCCCTCTTTGTACGTAGATTTTACCAGGGATGCGACTCTCTGGCTACACGAGTAGCAAGTCCCTCGGCGCCGGGTAGAAATCGTCTCCCGGCAGCTGCACCCGCAGCTGGGGTGGCGCCATGCTCTGCGCGTACACGTGTGTCGACAGCTGCCGGCGCGTCGGGCTGCCGCTCGCTACGTGGCGGTCGAAAAAGGCGATCAGCTGCTCGCGCGTTAGGCGCTTGACCTTCTCGGCGCTGCGCCACGGCCGCTCAAAGTCGTATCTCCGCCGCGTGCACTCGGCCCACAGCCGCCCCGCCTGCTTGGAGAGCCCCGCCGTGTGAAACAGCCGAGGTGCAGCCGAGGTGCAGCCGAGGCACGCCGCCTGCTGGTCGAGCCGGCCATCCACGTCGGTGAACTGCGCGGCGATGGAGGCGGCGTATGACTGCACCTCCGCCTCGCCGAGCAGGAGGAGGGTGCCTGCGAGCGGCGCGCAGAGAGTGGGAGGCGGTGGAGGCACGCATCGAAACTCGTGCGCGCGTGGCGGGGACAACTCCTCTACGGGGCATCTATTCCGCATCTAGGGCAGCGCACCGCGGAAGAGCCGCAGGAACGCCTCGATGCGCTCCTCCACGGCCTCGGGCGCGGCAACCTTGCTCTGCACGAGGAAGGAGAGCCCTCGCACGCCGTCAATCTCGTTGGCGCTGCACTGCACGATGTAGCCCAGCTGCTGCCTACGCGCGGCACTGGTACCATACCTCCAGAGCCTGAATCCAGTGGTTCGGTCCCGTGGCCGTAGGGTGCCTATGCGCGGGACTCGAAGCGCGTAAGCGGGATCTCGCTAGAGCGCCGCGCAGCGCGGCAGTCAGGCGCTGCTTGGTGCGAAGCTCCGAGTAGAAAGCCTAGCAGCAACACCTCCCCGAGTGAGACGGGACGTTGTGCATGTCGGTCGCTCGAGAATGGCCACGGTCGTCCGAGAATGACCACGGTCATCCGAGCAGAGGGCAGCGTACCTTGGACATCAACTGGCTCAGCAGCGTGAGCAGCACCCAGTCGTCGGCCTCGTCGCCGCCAACCTGGAAGTAGACCTCCGTCGCAGAGTTGACCTCGGCCTGACTCGCCGCGACGAACTGCTGCAGCGTGCGCTCCCCAGCGGGCAGCACGCGCACGCGGCGCACGGGGCGGCGCGCCACCGGCAGCGGCCGCGAGCCCAGTGCGTTCAGCAGCTTCAGCACGAGCTGTGTCGCCTGTCCCTCCGCGACGTTGCCGCAGAGCAGCGCCTGCGGCGCGAGCCGCCCGGGTGGGGGTGAGTGGCGGGCGAGATATGGGGAGATATGGGGAGATATGGGTGAGAGAAGGGAGAAGATGGGGGGCGTTGGGGCCGCACCTCGACCTCAACCTCGGGCAGCAGCCGCCTTTGCAGGCCGAGGACCTGCGGCAGCGTCGCCTTCTCGAGCCCGGCGGCGAGCTGCTCGTTGGTGTAGCGCGGCGTCTCGAGAGCGAGGTTGCGCCGGTACGCCGCCTGCTCGACGGGCTGCCGCTTGTCCGCGCCTCTCAGCTGGCGGAGCAAGCCGTCGCGCTGCCGCTCGAACGCGAGCGGCGCCACGTCAAACGTGCGGAGCGAGTCGGCCACGAGCGCCGCCAACTCGGGCAGCCGCTGGTCGTACCCCGAGAGGGAGAGAGACAGGCCCTGCCAACCGACGGAGGCGCCCGCGGAGAGCCCTGCGCGTGCCGCCTGGTACGTCACGTCTTGCAGCGCGTCGGAGAGGAGCGCCGCGTAGAGCTCGGCCTGAGCCGCGGCGGCGGCACTCTCGTACAGCTGCGGCGTGCGCAGCGAGACGAAGGCGAACGCCTTGGGCCTCCCAAACCGTTCGTCCTACTCGAGAGCAGCCTTGGGTCGGGTCACGCCCTGCAGCCCCGTCGCGCGGGGAGGAGAGTGCCACGCCGCCGAGAGTACCCGAGAGTATCCGAGAGGACCCGAGAGGACCCGAGAGTACCCGAGAGTACCCGAGAGGACCCGAGAGGACCCGAGAGGACCCGAGAGGACCCGAGAGGACCCGAGAGGACCCGAGAGTACCCGAGATTCCCGAGATTAGGCATAGGGTGCCACGCCGCCTGCAGGAAGTGGAGCCGAACAGAGTCTGTGTTGAGCAGCAGCGCCGGCTTGACGCGCCGCGCCGCGCCGCCGCCGCCCTGGGCAGTCGACGCGCCCCGCGCCTTGATGCTCAGCGCCTTGATGCTCAGGTCTGTGGGGATGAACCGGTTGGGCGGCGGCACCGCCAGGCCATCGAGGCGCGGGGCTGCCGACCACGCGGCCACCTCCCTGCCGATCGGCATCTCGCCGTAGCTCGCGCTGTAGACGGGCTCGACTCGTGTTGCCAGCGGGGCCAGCTCGCGCGCAGTCAGCTTGACGACCGCCGCCTGCGGCGTGAGCCCCTCGAGGATTGACCTCACGAGCGGCTCCGCCCCCTCGCCCGCAAGCAGCGGGCCGCGCAGCCACTCCCGAGGCGGGAAGAGGAAGAGGTTGCCGGAGGCGCTCTGCACAAAGCTGCTCGGCGGCGCGGGCTCGGCGAACGCGAAGGCCAACTCGCGCATCCGCCGCTCCTCGGCGTAGACGTGAGGCGGCACTCCCTCCTCGCGCAGCAGCGCGAGGTACGAAAAGAGGGCAGAGACCACCTCGGGCCAGCGCTGCAGCCCCTGCGGCGTGAGGCCGATGTACGCCGTCAGGACGACGAAGGAGCGCGTGAACTCGTCGATAGAGCCGTCGACGGAGCTCGCCAGTCCCTTTGCCTTGAGAAGCTGCGTGAGGCCACCTACGTCGTGGAGACGAGGGGCTGCGAAGACAGTGAGTACAGCGGAAGACGGCTGAACACAGTTGAAACGGCCTCCTCTCGAGCGCTGGGTGGGAGACAAGAATACGCATTCCGCTTCTAGGCGAGGGAGCCCTGCGCGCGGCTGGAGAGGAGGCTCACCACGGTTGAGTCGGGCTTGGCGCGCCACCACTCGTCCGGGTCCTCCACGGGCAGGCACCACGTCACCGTCACCGAGCGCTGCTCTCGCACGGGAACCAGCACCGTCGCCACCGGCGGCTCCGCCTGCGGCTGCGTGTCAAACGGCGGAGGCAACGCGTCGTACGCGGCGCTCGCGGGAGGCGCCGGCCCAGGCGGGAGCGCGCCGAAGTTTGCCTGCACAAGCCGCTGTAGCGCGTCGAGCGACTGCGGCCCCGCGACGGCGAGCGCCATCTGCGGAGCGCGGTAGAAGGCCCGGTGGAAGGCGAAGAGTGCGGCACGCGCGTCGGCGTCGCCTCCCCGCAGAGTCTGCCGGTTGCCGGTGAAGAAGCGCGAGTATGGGTGGTCTGGCCGCGCGCGGAGGCGCAGCACGGCGTCCGAGCGCCAAAAGTCTGACTGCAGGTTCTTTGCGTGCTCTGCGTCGATGGCGTCCACCTCGCGAGTGGTGCCGCTCTCGCTGAAGAGCGGCGCGGTGAAGAAGTCGGCGAAGCGTGTTAGCGCACCAGGCAACGCGTCGCCGTTCACCGAGAAGAAGTAGTTTGTCTCCTCGGAGCCGGTGAAGGCATTGTTCGATCCAGCGTTGGCCGCAATGAACCTCTCAAATTCGCCCTCGCCCGGGAAGCGCTTGGTGCCGAGAAAGAGCATGTGCTCGCAGAAGTGCGCCAGCCCCGGCCACTCCACCGGGTTTGACATGGAGCCGACCGCCACGTTCATCGAGGCGGCCGCTTTGCCCGCCTCGGGGTCTGAGCACAGCAGCACCCGCAGTCCGTTGCTGAGCTGCATGCCACGGAAGCTGCGGCGGTCGAGATCCGAGGCGGCGATGTCAAAGGTCTGCAGCCCGCGTGCCGCTGCAGCCGCGGCCGCCGCTGCGGCAGGGCTTGGCGTGGGAGTCGCCAGCAGAGCGGAGCAGAGCGACAGCAGCGCGCGGCGAGAGGCACTCTCCGTAGCCGCACGCATGCTTGGCGAGCTGCACCGTGGCCTGGAAGGCGGCGAGAGTACTGGCGTGCGCATAACGTATATCTGCGACCTCAAAGTCGTCAATGGGATGCTGTCGCACGCAATGGTTGCCGAGGGCCGACACCACCCCCAATACAAGCGTACGAGGTGGCGAACCTCGTACAGGCCGGAGGGCCTGCGAGTTCAGGTGCCGGAGAAAAAACTTTTCAGCGCGCGCCTGGTGATGCCCGACTGATGAACCCTCGGCACGTCAGAGTGCTCCTCTTCGCGCTTTGGTTGCAAAGGGCCGACACGCTTTGGTTGCAAAGGCCGACACCACCACTGGGTTCCGGCTCCTAGCCGGATAGGGTCTGATCCCACTGGCTGCCCCTCCCAGATAGTAGGTAGGTTGGTCTTGTTTCGCCCAAAAGGGCCCTGCAATAGGTAGGTACCCCCCATTTTCATCTTTTTCGCTTCGCTGCGCGGCCTGGGGATAGGTAGGTAGGTAGGGCGTTTTGGCGCGAGTCAGTGGGAACAGACCCCCTATCCGGCTAGGAGCCGGAACCCTGGTGCCCCTTGGGTCGTTCAGGTGCCGGAAAAAAGGAACCGATCCTACGGTGTGGGGGCGCGGAGGGCTTGTTGGCGAGCCAAAATGGTGATGTCCGAGGCGCTGCGCTAGGCTCAGAGCGAGTTCGCGCTGCGCTAGGCTCAGACGGCGAGTTCGCGCTGCGCTAGGCTCACAGATGGCGAGTGCGCTGCGACTCTAGATTTGCGCTGCGATAAAAAGACCCCGTAGGAGCCGATAACCCAAGGGAGGAATGACAAGCACATTCGCGATCTCCGCGACGCCGGCCTCGTCGCTGACCTCGACCGCCTCGAACATCGCTCTTAGGAGCCCGAACGCTGCCGAATGCGAAACTTCATAGTACTTCATACGGTTGTTCGCGCGCGCGAGGGCTAAGACGCAGCACGTTGTGTGCTTGGTGCAATGACGCGCCACACGATCGTGTGCGAGGCATGCAAGACGGCCAAGGCGAGGTGCTCGCTGGCAGCAGATGCAGACACTCGCGACACAACCTACGAGCCGTGCGAGCGCTGCGTCCGGCTCGGCCTCGTCTGCGTGAAAGCGACGCCGCCCCCGGCGGCGGCGGCACCGAGGCCATTGGCAATCACTGCAACTCCTGCGGACCTGGAAAGGTGTGTGCAGTGGTGGGGCGGGGACAGCCTGCGCGGAGCACCGCCGTTGTGGACACCAGCGCCCACAAGCGCGCCAGAGGCTTCCGCAAAACCCTGTTGGGGCATCGCACTGTCGGGCCGACCCTGCCTTGCGAGAGACCTGAATGCTGTAACCACTAGCCGCTCCTCGCTGAGCAGCCGCTTCTGCCCAAGCTGCCAGCACAGTGGCGTGCACGTGCCGATCGAGCGCGTCCGGCGGGTTCCCGCACACCTCAGCCTGAGCAACGGCCCGTCGAATGGCGTGTGGACCAACCATGAGCGCCTGCCGCCCTACCGTGTGGTCAACCAAACCAAGCGCTGCAGCGGCGGCCAACTGGTCCGCCACAGACATGCACCTACGAACGCCACACACCATTTATGTGACGCCCACCGTATGTCATGCACAGGTGGTCTTCCAGTCCCCGCCCGAGCCCGAGCCCCCGTTCGCTGCGGGCGTCGTGCCCTCATTGAGTTGGCATCTCGATGTCATCTCGGAGGAGATGTCGGCCGCAGCCGGCGCGCTCATCCAACGCGGCCGCCCGAGCCTAGAGCCACTGCCCAAGCCTCCGGAAACCTATGCACAGGCGCGTCGGTAGAGCTGCTGGCGCTTGAGCGTGCCGTCGTAGTCCGCAGAGCTGTACCACACCTCGTCGCTGACTGCGACCGTGGCGCCGAAGTTGGTCAGCCAGGTGCCGTCCAGCGGCATCGGCACCGACGTCATGACGGTGTGGGGGTGGCCGCTGCAGCCGTTGTCGGCGTCTGCGGCGTCGTAGGCCGCGGCTTCGGCCGTCAGCGCCTCCGCCGCCGACGTCGCGTTGAAGACGACCATGCAGTACGCCCACCCGCCCCCCTCGGCCGCGTGCCACATCACCTTGGTGAAGAGGGACGGGTTGTACTCGTCGTCGGCCGGGTTGTGCAGGACGGCGAGGGTGGGCGTGTACAGCTCGACCGTGTAGGCGCTCTCGTAGAGCTCGCCCGTGCCGTCGTAGTCCGCAGAGCTGAACCACACCTCGTCGCTGACTGCGACCGTGGCGCCGAAGTTGGTCAGCCAGGTGCCGTCCAGCGGCATCGGCACCGACGTCATGACGGTGTGGGGGTGGCCGCTGCAGCCGGTGGCGGCGTCCTCAGAGGCGTAGGCCGCGGCTTCGGCCGTCAGCGCCTCCGCCGCCGACGTCGCGTTGAAGACGACCATGCAGTACGCCCACCCGCCCCCCTCGGCCGCGTGCCACATCACCTTGGTGAAGAGGGACGGGTTGTACTCGTCGTCGGCCGGGTTGTGCAGGACGGCGAAGGTGGGCGTGTACAGCTCGACGGTGTACGCGCTCCTGCCGTTGTCGGAAGAGATGTACCACACGTCGTCGCTGATTGCGACGGTCTCGTCGTAGTCCGTCAGCCACGTGCCTCCCACTGCGATGCTTGGACTGCCCTTCGTGAACCCATCTTGCGTTACCGTTGACGCCTCCGCCACCTCGGTGCCATAGAAGTCGGATGCAGCCTCAGGTGTGCGTGTCAAGTCCTGAATAGCGGCAGCAATCGCAGATGCAATGTCCCCCGTAGGTGCCGAGATGGTTGCGGACATCTTGACGAGCAAGTCTCGTATGCCGAGCTGCCGCCGCCTCCGCGTTTCGCACTCTTCGCCGTCTGCGTCTTGAAAGCTCAAGTCGCACGCCAGTGCCTCTGCAGCCTCCCCGCATACAGCAGCACGGATCTTCTCCTTGAATGCGTCGTCTACTTCCGAGCAAGCCAAAGGAAAGTTCTGTTCCACTGTCACAGTACCCGGCTCCGCTGAGGGCAGCGCCGGCGGCCGCGGTGGCGCGGGTGGCGGTGGCAGCGTTGGCGATTGATCCTGCGAGGGGCTGGCTGCACGGCCGATGCCAACACCAATGCCGATACCAATGCCGACGCCCAGAAGAAGCATCACCAAGGCGAACATCGCAAGGCGGAACTTGGTCAGCTTGAGCGGCTCTGGTCCTGTGGATGCTGCAACCCCAGCTCCGCTCACCGGAAGCTCGTCATCATCGTCCACGTGGATCCCGCTGCTGGTGCTCCGAGCCGACAAAGGCGGCGGGGTCTCGTTGGGCGGCAGGTCGACCTCCACCACTTGCGATTTGCGTTGCGAGGACGGAATGAGACTCTCCCGGGCCTCGGAGCTCTCGGGTGGCGGCGCCTCCTCGTCCGGCCCGTCGTTGCCAGGGGGGCCTGTCTCCATGTGGCCCCGGGGCACCGGGGCACGGCGTCGGCGATATCCGCCGAAATAGATCGAAATGGACGCGAATGCTCCTGTGGATCTCGGTCGCGACACGGTTCCGTGAGTCGTCAAGGCACCCTGCTGCGTGGGCGGCGGGCGGGCGGCGGGCAAGCGGGCATTAGGAAAATTTAAATGAATTCGGGGGCACGGGACGCGGCACAAACGGGGCACAAACGCCAGGCAGGCCCACAAAGACAGGGAGGCACGTAGTGCATTAAAGGAACCACCCATTTATCGTAACCAACCATTTATCGTAAACAGGCAGGACAATCCGGTTCAAACTGTTTTAACTCGTTCGCTCGACCCTCAGTTCCCAGACAATTCTCCTCGGGAAAAGAAAACCCTTCGCGCGCCGCTCGTCAGTCGGCGACGAATTCTTGCTGGCGAATTCCTGTCAATGCCCGACGCCAGCAGCTTCACCGCCGCGCTAGTCATCGCCGATCCCCATCTCCTCCCTTCCTCGCTCGCGCGATGTGCCGCCATCAGCAGCGCCTGCCGAGCCGCTGTTTCGACACTGCTTGATCGGCGGCGGCTGGACCTGAGCGGCGGCAGCGAGCACGTCACCGTGCCGCTGCTTCCAGAGCAGCCGGACGGGCCGCCGCCGCAGGCTCTCCCCGACTTTCTCTACCACCGAGACTCTATCGGCTTCGACGCATCCAGCCGTGAGCGCATCGGCCGGCTGGCGGCGGCTCCGTGCACGTGCCGCGACGGCGCATGTGACGACGACTGCCCCTGCCTGCGCGCTGGCGGTGCATACGACTCGAGCGGCCGGCTGCTCTGCCTGCTCGGCGGGCGTGAGCAGCGCGCCGAGGTGCCGATCGTCGAGTGCTCGCCCGCTTGCGTCTGCTCGGCGCGCTGCGCGAGCGCGGTGGTCTCGTCGGGCATGCGCGTCCGGCTGGGCGTCTTTCGCACGCCGTCGCGCGGCTGGGGCGTGCGTGCGCTCGAGCCTCTGCCGCGCGGCTCCTTTGTGTGCGAGTACGCCGGCGAGCAAATTCTTTGGCGAGAACGCCGCACCGACCCCAACCCCAACCCCAACCCCGACCCCGACCCTAGGCGAGTACCTCTCGACGCAAGAGGCTGCGCGCAGACGCGCGGCGCGCGGCGGCGCGCCAAACTACGCCATCTGCCTGCGCGAGCACAGCGCGGCGCGCGTGCTGCGCACCTGGATCGACCCCGCGGCGCGCGGCAACGTCGGCCGCTTCGTCAACCACAGCTGCGAGCCGAACCTGTCGGCACACGCGGTGCGGGCCGGCTCACTGGTGCCGCGGCTCGCGCTCTTTGCACGGCGCGACATCGCGGCCGGCGAGGAGCTGACAATGACATACGGCGACGGCGCCGAGGCGGCCGGCGGCGGAGAGAGCGCGGCGCTCGGCGCGGGTCGGCGCCCGTGCTTGTGCGGTGCGGCCACCTGCGGAGGATGGCTCCCCTTTGAGCCCCTCCCGGGGGACGCGTGAGTTGTCTTGCACACACACACACACACACACACACACACACACACACACACACACACACACACACACACACACACACACACACACACACACACACAGGATCATCCACACACACACACACACACACACATCCCGCGAGAGCCCGCTCTCGCTGCGTCGCTCGTGCGCCCCCAGTGAGCAGTGTCGTGCCTCTGCGACAAAGAATGCGGCAACGACAAAGAATGTTCTCGCCGACGACCCCTGTCCGAAGAGGCTACCGGCCAAAAGCGCATGTCTTGAAGGTCGATACTGGAAGCCCATGTAGGCCTTACAGCCCCGCACGAAAAGAAACCCGACGCCGCGCCGACGGCGGCACACGCAGGTGATGGCAGGCTTGCTCCAGCTTGCCGTCTCGCTCACCAGCCTCGTCGCCCCGAAAAGGCTCCCTCCGCCGCCGGCCGCCCGGTGCTCGCTCTACGCGTCGTCTTCTTTCCCGCCGTCGGCGCTTCAGGCGCCGGAGGAGGCGCTGGCACTGATGCGGCGCTCGCTGCGAGATGCGATGGACGGCGGCCTCTCTCGAATCCACATCGACGTCGCCGTGCCGGAGTGTGACGCCGCCTCGCGCGGCTTTCAGCCCGAGCGGCACGCTTCCTTTGCCATCGCCGCCGCGGAAGAGATTGCCGCCGTCTGCAGCGGGCCGCCGCTGGTGCTCGTCCACGACCTGCCTTCTTCCGAGCCGCTGGGGAGCTTGGCTGCCGCGGCGGGGCTGCGTCTGCGCAGCCTCGAGGCGAGCGGCGCCCCGCGACTCGGCGACGCCGACCTGTCGCGCCCTCTGCTCGTGCTGGGCCCAGCCGGCGCGGCCGAGCACCCGCAGGCGGCCCACGCCCGCACCGCAGGCGAGGATGTGGTGGTGCTGTTCAACCACCGGCCTTTGGGCAGCCCGCCCGCTGCGCCGCCCGTGCTGGCCACCGTGCCGCCATCCTTCACCACCGCCTTTGAGCTCGTGCCCTTGGCGCTGCGGCCCGTCCTCCAGAGCGGCAGCCAAGGCGGCGGCGGCAGCCCAGGCGGCAGTGGCAGCTCAAGCGGCGGCGCTGCCGCTGTCAAGGCGGTTCTGGCGCGCGCCCATCCCTCGCCGTGGGTGCTGCTCGTGGACGCCGGCGGAGGGTACTCCGAGGCGGGCCGTTTCGCTCTCCGGCCAACGTTCGCAAGCCTCGTCGCAGAGGTCGGCGCTGCAGCCTTTGGGAGCGCGGCCGCGGCGGTGCCGGTCGGTGGGGCGGCGGAGCCTGATGACGCCGCGGCGCTGCGGGCAGAGGCGGTGGCGAGGCGGGCGGTCGCTTGGTTCGACGAGCTCAGCCTGCTCGAGGTTGTCTTTGGCGACGCGCTGCAGCACTCGCCTGGCGGCTCGAGCGCCGCCGACATCGAGGATGCCATCGCGCGGAGCGGAGGGAACGTGTCGCGCCTCCTCCCGCCCGAGGAGCGGCGGCCGCCCGACGGGCACGGCGAGGCGCTCTCCCGCCTCGCGGTGAGCTTCTCGGTCGTGCTGGACGAGGGCGGCGGCGAGGGCGGCGGCGAGCCGGCGCGCGCGCTGGTCCAGTTCCCGGACGCCTTCCCGCTGGACGGCGTCCCTCCGGGCTTCGAGCTGCAGCAGCTGGTGGGCGGCGGGCCGCCACCCGCCGACGTGGCGCAGGCGGTGGCCGCCGCCGCCGCCGCGGCGGCGGTGGAGGCGGTCGCGGCGGAAGAGGGCTCGCCTGTGTATGCTGCGGTCGGGGCGGCGCGGGAGGCGCTGAGCTCGCGAGGGGGAGGGGGAGGCGAGGCGAGGGTTGAGCAGCTTGGGGGCGAGGCCAGCGCTGCGGGGGGCGAGGTCGCGTCGGGCGGGGCGTGGGCGGTGCTGAGCGATCACGGCGCCGGACTGCATGCGGTGCTGCCGGGGAGGAGTCCTGGACACGTGACACGTCCCCGGCCTGTTCGCTGCCTGTTCCGCAGGCGCCGAGCTGCACGCGGTGCTGAGCGCGTGGGACGTCGGGCGGTCGCTCTCCGCCTCGTCGGCCGCCTTTCGGCAGGCGGTGCAGGCGCTCGCTGCCCTCGGCTTGTGCGCGCGCGAGCCGTCGCGCGCCGAGCTCGACGCCATGTTCGCGGTGCTGGGAAGGGGTGCGGAGCGGCTGCCGCTCGCGAGGCTGCCCGAGCCACTCGGTCTCCCCGCACCCTCCCCGGACCCGCCCCCGACCCTTCTCGGAGCCTTCCCGCAGGCTGCTCGAGCCGCTCGACGCCGTCAACGAGATGGTCGCGCGGCGGCTGAGAGGCCTCGAGGCGCGCACGTGGCTCGAGATCGACAAGCTGGCCGACCAGTCGTATGACTGGTACTGCGCGGCGCGCGCGATGCGGCGGAGCGCGGCGACGTGGCGCGACGCGCCGGCCGCACGCGGCGAGGACTTGTACGCCGACGACCGGCGGCCGAGCGCCCTCCATCTCTTCGCGGCGGAGGAGGGCGGGTGGGGAGAGGGAGGCCACCTCGTGTCGCTCTCGGCTTGCGCCGTGCTGCTGCTCGACCGGCAGGGCCGCGGCGCCGCCCGGCTGACACAGCTGTGCGTGAGCGCGCCCGAATCCGGGTTCGAGTGGGAGTGGCGCGTGCTCGACGCCGCCGACCTGCTGGCGGAGCGGAGGGGCCACTTGTGGCTGAGCGTCAGCGCGACCGAGGGCAGCAGTTGGTGCGAGGCGCTGATCGAGAGAGGGTACCGGCCGCAGGCTGCTCCTCCCGGAGAGCGAGCCGACGGCGTCTTGTGGCTCATCAGGGAGACGCCGCTCCGTGACCAGCAGGGATGACACGCCATAGAATGAGTTGTCCACGTTCTTTTATTTTGTTTACGGCGCTCTCCCCTGTCTCATCGTGGAGGTCGCGCTGGAGTAAATTCGCCGGCTCACACTCACAGTGACTATCTGCCAGGAGTGTGAGAAGAGATACACGAGACTCTCTCTTCGCGAGAGACCGAGAGCGAGACGCGAGAGACGCAGACGGCCGCGCGTGACACAGAGATGTGTCTATTGTGTGTGAAGCGTGTGGTCACACCGTCGCGCTCTCCAGCGCCGCCGTGGCTTCGAGAGCCCGCTTTTTGGCTGCAATGATGCACGACTGGTGCAGCACCTTGTCCTCCACCGTCAGGTCCGAGGGCTTCCAGCGTGCTGCGGTGCCAAAGCTAGCGACCGGCTCCTTCTTCAGTCCCTGTCTGCCGATGGCGTACGCCGGTCCGGGTGTATCGCGCCCCATCTGTGCCAGGTGCTTGCGGCCGCTCCGCTCGCCGGTGCCAATGACGTGGGTGGGCGCGGATTTTAGTTGGGGGTTCTTGCCGCCGATGGAAGGCGGCAGGGTGTATTGGCCTGGACCCGGCTGCTTGACGACACGGTCAGAGTAGAAGCGGGGGGCGCCACCCCAGCCCTTTTTGTGAAGCGCCACATTAGCCTGGTCCTTTAGCTTGCGGCGCTGGACCTCCTTCCCCTCGTGGTCGTACGCACCTGGCCCAACATCTCCAGTAGATGTTGGGAGGGCGCCCATCGTTATCCGCTTTGAGGTGCTGAATCTGACGATGGGCTGTTGTCGAAAGGTGGACTCTACCTGCCGCCCAACCGACTGAGGAGTTGTGTATTTTGGTCCGGGAGCTGAGTCCTGCGTGGTCTTCTTCTCCTGAATGCGCACGTGAAATGTTCGAGGCGGGATCGAATACTCGGGACCACGACCATTTGGACCCTTGCCAGCGAATTTGAGATTTGGTCGATAGATCGGGCCTGGAGAGCAGCCTCCGACGTCGAGCGGCATGCGCGACGATCGCCGAACGTGACACCTTCTATAGCACTCGCAGGTACTCTTCACCTACACCTACTTCGCCGGCCGCCCCCCGCGCGAAGCCGAAACGGACACACAGGGAGAAACACGGTCACACTCGTCGACCGCCAAGACAGCACGTTCTGCGCGCACTACTCAGAGATTGTCGTGGCGCGAATCGCTCGTCCCACTGCTGTAGAGTAGTGCGCTTGATTGTGTGTGGCACCCCGCAATGTGTGCTGCCCCGCATGAGCGCGGCCCCGGCCCCCGCTCGATACGTGCGCAAAGACCCAACACTCCAGGGGCTATTGCACCATCTCCGCTCACGGCTTTAGTAGTTTAGACCTTATCTAGTGTCCACGCCGCACGCGTACGACTTATTAGTTTGATTTTGGCGTTACCGCGTGTGAGCCCCGGCCTGACAGCCGGGGGATGGGCGACGTGGCATAGTGGGAAATGACACATATCTACCGTCGCCAACTGCAAAACCACACTCCCCGGGTCGCGGAACATGTGTCCGGTTTGCCGGCGTCAATACAGGGTCGTTGGTGCTCTTCACCTCAACAAGCAACACCACAAACGTGCGTGGTCCCGCCACTCGCACGGGCAGATCTCTCCAAGGAGCGCAGCAGGAAACAGCGCAGTCGCTCATGGTGAAGAAGGCAAGGGCGGCGCAGCACCATGCCGCCCCCACTGTCCGGCCGCCTCCAAGAGCGATGGACCCTGAAAAGGAGCTTCAAACAAGATGGGAAGTGGAGAACGCACGAAGGGAGTTCAGCGAAGGCAGTCTGGTCCCAACGGTTTGCGACGACTTTCTTGGATGCGCCTCCAGCAGCTCACGGCAGAGCACCCTGAGCACCGCGAGGAGCTGCCTTCAGGCGCACCTTCTCAAGAATGCACACTCAAATTTGCACTCTCGCTGCGGCGGGGCGCAGCTCTGGTCTCCGCCAGCCGCGTCGCGTGACAAGCCTGCGGAGAAGGAGCACGCAGAGCCATACTGCGGCTATCGTAGTGCTGCAGCGATCCGATGGCTGAGTCGTGTGCACAATGCGAGCAAAGACTGTGAGCGCGTCGTCTTCACCGTCATCACCGACGCATACGACGTGCCGAAGCGTGTGCCGGGGTGCTCACAGCTCACAGCGTCTAGTCCCGTGTGCCGCTGCCTCTTTGCTCTCGTGGACCAGCCGACGCACAACAGTTTCTGGTCGGAGAACTCGACCATGGGTTGGTCGCCGTGGACGCCGCTTCTGGTGCCGCCCATTTTCGCAGGCCAGCCCAGTGGTACGGCAAGAGCCGCGCATATGCTCAAGCTGAGCGCGCATCGCCTTTTTCCCCTTGCAAATTCGACCATGTACATCGACGGCAAGATGTCGTTCAATCATCCGCCTGCCACTGTATTTGATCGCATCGCAGAAATCACACCGTTGCCACTGGTGATGGTGGAGAATAATGTTAGGCGCGGTTCGCTCGACTTCCAATCAGAGTACATCGAGACGATAGGTGCGCTCAGGCGCAAGGAGCGCGGCGCGGTGCTTGAGAAAGACCTGGCCGATCTGGATCGACAGCGCCAGTTCTACTGCCAACACGATCAGGCCTGCAATAATCAAGCAGGGCGGATCGACGCGTCCTTCATTGTGCAGCAGCGGTGGGCACGACCTCGAAGCGTTCTGGACCCACCAGCAGCTATGTTGCTCCGGTGGTTCGAATGCACATGGTTCGAAGAGGTACAGCTCTTCAGCCACCGTGAGCAAACAGCCTACTCGTACGTCATTGATCAGCTTGGCGTGCGAAACCTGGTCCACAACATTTACCGTGATCAAATTAACGAGATGATCAAGATCAACCGTCATCGCGTTGCGGCAGGAATGGGATGAACCGTGCGGGTGAACGGAAGATGCGAACACACCAACCTGTTGCCCCCTCACGCTCCACGCTTCCAGTGTTATCTTGCAATACAATATTCTGGGGACCTTTGGTTCTCAGCTCTGACCCACGGTACTTCGGCGTCCGTCCGTCTGTGAACCAGGCTTTTTTCGTAACAAACAAGCACTTTTCACATTTTCAGTGGCGACGGAGTCCGCTCGCATGTTACAGGCTGTATACGAAAAACTAAGAGCAAAGTGCGGACTGCGGTGCAGGGTCAGGAGCAGTAGGAGATTCGAGATTGCTCGGCTCTGCGGGGGGGGGTGTACATCTAAATTCACCACCACCCCCCTGTCCCTCAGCATGTGGCGCAAGCTCTTGGGGGGTCAGACACCCCCGTCCCCCGGAGGATGCAGCAGCCGTTACACGACCGTTACATAGTGAAATAGGGTGATGTCTAGGGGGTTGGACCCCCCCCCCTCAGCAAGTGACGCAAGCTCTTCGGGGGTTGAGACCCCCTCCCCCAGGAGCGGAGGTGCTCTGAATTTAGATGTACACCCCCCCCGCAAAGCAATCTCCTACCGCTCCAGGGTGATGGGTGTGTCCAGAAGAGTGCTCGCATGTTAATATAATAATTTTTAACGTGATTGTGTTGCGTAACGGCTCCCACGCGCCGAATTACACAGGGAATCGTCCACATGCAGCTCCCCATCGATTGGAAATAGCTCAAAGCTCGAACACTGACCGCCACGAGACGCGCAAAATTCGCCGCACCCCGAGATCGCCACGAGATCGCGCGAGATACACCCGATTCGAAATCTCGCGTGACCATCGAAAAGTTGAGCTCCCGGGCCAGATGCATGCCCAAGGATTCGTCAAAATTCGTTAAAATGACGCCGAACGGCGCCCCCAGAGAGGCTGCCTTTTTAAAGCCGTACGACAAAGAGCAGTGAGGCGTGTCCCGTGTCCAGATGTCCAGTAGTCCAGAAGAGTGCTCGCATGTTACGAAAAAGCGAAGATTTGACGACCACCTCGTCGCACCCCCAACCATCTCTAGTTTATCTGGAATATGTTCTACACGCTTCTGTGCAGTGTTAGAAGCTCTCAAGTGTTAGAGCTCGCTCGCATGTAATTTGGCCGCCGCAAACTTTCGATGGTAGCGCCATAGCCACAACGCCCAAGTCTCGATCCGATCGTCGCCTCTCCCCCGAGGCTGAGTCGCTGCGCTCGACGAACTGAGGGCCCGGTGTAGTTCCCGTTCGAGCCCAAGGGCGCGAGTGGGCGGGCTCGCCTTTTTGAATTTTGGCGGGGCGGATCGTCCACAAGGCCCAACAGCTACTTTGACGTCTACCAGCGGCACTTTGTAGAGCTGGTTACCGGCCGGGATGCGGTCGATCGGTGGACTCCTTAGAGCACTTGGAGGAATTCATTTTTTCGACCGTCGGACTGGGATTCGAACTGGCGACCCAGTGTGGTTTAGTCTCTGGGGGGAGGCGGGGGCCCCCGGAGGCACCGTGCGCCGCGCCGCAGTGCGGAAACGGGGCCCCCCGGCTCTACTAGTCTCTATTAGCACCGACTTCCCGAAGGGTTACGGTTGGTTAGAGGGCAGATTTGGAGAGATCTCGAGGAGTACATACAGATAGACCCTCCAACCATCAGAAACCTCCAACCTGATCGGTCGTACTGACCGCCGACTGATCACTCCAGATAGCAGACAGGCCGACGTCTGCACGTGGCCGGCCGGGCGAGAGGCTTGACACGATCCGACCCTGCGACCCTGACGCTGCTGCTCTAGCTATCAGCCATGCGCTGCTGACTGCTGCCACAATGTGCGACGGTGCTGACCCACTTGGCGGCCTTCCCGGTCAGTGGTGAGGCGCAGTTCAGAGCTGTCGATGGCGCGATGCCGCACTGGTCCCACATCGGTGACACGAGACCACCAAGTTTGCCGGTCCAAGAGAGAGGCACCGGCGCTGTCCTGAGAAGGTGCATGGTCCCTCTTGACTGCCCATGCGCGCGAGGCTGTGTAGGCATAGCCTCGAGAGTGCCAGCAGCCAATCCGAGGCAGTTTGTGACGCGCATTGCGTCAGAAGCGTGCACGCGCTGGAAGGACACCTTCCTACTGGCCGTACGATCAGGTCGTCACTGAATGCCGAAGACTAAGGCCGCGAGCTATGCAGGCGGTCAGTTGAGCAGCATGGCACGGTCAGCAGCGCCGAAAGGATGTCGCAAGGCGTGATAGCATGGCCCAAGTACGCCGAATTCCCATGTGCCATGAAAAAACACGGCGACCCCACACCACGTCTCGAGCCAGAGCCGGATGGCGTCAATTAGCCGGCAAAGGACGATGCAAACAGCGATGGTGGTAGAGGAGGCGGGTGTCCAGGCAAAGGAGACGATGCCGCAGAGAGCGTATGAGCAGCCAGTGAGGATGGCGATAGGGGCGTAAAGGCAGGTGCAGATGAAGACGGCCCCGATGACATCTCCGGCAACTCGAAGGGCGGTAAAGAGGCAGGCCTCCCAGTCGTCCCGGTTGTAGTTCAGAACACGGCCGACAGAGTCTAAAAGATTCCAGTATCCAACCAGGATCGTCCAGCCGCCAGTGTGGCGCGCAAAGGAGCGGCGAGGAGGGTGAGTACGACGCCGCTGCTGGTCAACGTTTGTGGCGGCGTGATCGAACACGAGGCGGGGGATGTAGAACCCGGCGCGGGGGGAGCCAGCGGTGAAATTGCTGGAGGAGGCGCAGGTGGCAAGGGCCCTCGGCGCGCCGGTGAGAGAGACAAGGTCGATCTGCGAGACGTTGTTGGTGGCCTCAGCGGGTACGAGCACGAGTCGAGTCCCAGTTGACGCTACGTCGGAGAGAGGCGTGCTGGAAGTGAAGCCGTGGAGGAGCTCAGAGCCAGATGCCACAGGCGAGGGTGTCGTCGTCATCGAGGAGCGAGACGATGGACAGGTGCGTGAAGTCGCCCACGTAGTCGAGGAGAGCGTGGGCGGCTCGAGGATCGGATTGCCGGTAGTGCGACGGTGCGTCAGCGGCACGTTGGAGCCGATGCTGCTGTCGGCGATCCGAGAAGCGTAGGGCGTGCCAGCGGCGGATGCAGAGCACGTCGAGAGGGTCGACTCACTCTCGTAGAAGAGCGAGAGCGAGTCGAAGGCGAGGTTTGCGAGATCAACATTCACCTCGTAGGACACGGTGAGGTCCGGAGGAGCGTAAGACTCGGCACTTGCGGGCTCAGTGAGCACGAATTCCGCGGGAGGGGAAGCCATGAACGATGCCATCGGCAGAGAGGACGCGCGCGCGAGGCAATGGAGCGCGGCGAACGCCAGCATCGAGGGGAACGAGAGCGTGATGGAGCGAAACGACATAAAATCAAGCAGTTACAACAGACACAGGTCCAGGACCAACAAGACAAGTCTTGGACGGGCAGTCTTGGACGGGCACTGTGGGTGTGGAAGTGTGAACGTCTGCGCTGTGGGGGAGTTATGCCCCCGGGAACATTCAGTAACCCGTTCCACGTGCAGACGAGAACTGCACGCAAAGAAGCGCATGTTTTTTGCATCGACGCGACGACCGGACAGCAGGGACGACGGAGGGCACACCCGCACAGCCACACCAGCACTGGCTTTACTACAAAGGTCACTCAACCCGCCACTGTGCGCTCTCACAGAGTCCGTCCGGCCAAGGCCCGCCCCCCAGCCGGCGCTCTCCGGGCGACGCTCACAAGGCGCGACGCTTACAAGGCGCCGAGGCCGACGACGGCGCCGCCCGCGAGGCCGATCGACCCGCCGACGACGGCGCCGACGATGCCCATCGCGGTGCCCTTGGCCTGTGGCGGGCAGCGAGTGCGGGTCAGGGGGCGGCGAGCGCGGAGGCGAGGGCAGCGGCTCTCGAAGCAGCGGAGGGATGCTGCGGGGAGCAGAGAGGGCAGGGCTCTGGGCGCCTTGCCGCCAGCGCCCTTGCCGCCCGCCGCCGAGAGGGCCGGGCCGAGCACGATGGCGCCGCCGATCAGGCCGAGGCCAGCGCCCGCAACGGCGGAGCCGGAGGCGAGCGTCGCGTCCGCGAGCAGCGTCGAGGTCTGCAGCGCCGGCATCACATCCGCCAGCTGCTCCGGGGCCATCATGGTGGCGCCGACCGGCTTGACGACGGCCGGGCGGTGCAGGGGAGCTGCGCCGATGGTGAGGGCGTTGGCCGAGGGCGCAAAGATGGCAAGCATGTCTTCGGAGCGGCTGCAGACACGGGTGGCGAGAAGGGAGGTGGGCCAAGAGTGGAGAGCGCGCGATAGCCTCGGCACTGCTTGTGCGCGCGCGGGCGGGAGAGAGAGCGAAAATTGGGCGGCCAGGCGGGGAGGCGTCGCACCGCAGCGGTGTGTGGGTGCGGGCGGGGCCGCAACTTTTTTCGCGAGGCGGGGAGCGAGGGGCGACAGAGCATCTATCTTCTATCTGCGAACCTCGGAGAGGGAGGGAGATGCTCAGGCCTGAAGAGAGAAAAAAACGCTTGCCCCGCGACCATACCCGCCCCCGCCACAACCGCCTCCGCCACCACCGCTGGAGCGGCCGCTGGGTCGAGGGGCCGCCTCTGAGGCCCTGTACCGAGCGATGCGACCGCCGGTGCCGCCACCGTACCCACCCCCCCCTCCGCCGCCTCTCCGCCCCCGCCGCCGACGTGCGTGGTCGTCACCGCACCGACCCGCGCGGAACCTGGGGGGGCCGGAACCGCCCCGTCGGAGGCTGGTCGTGGTAAAGTTCTGCCGAACCTCATGAAAATCACTGTAATTATGGTAATCGATGTGTAACGTAATCACTGTATCTCGATGCACCTCGCTGTCGGTTTTCTAGTGAATCAGTGAATCTCCAGTGAGTCTCGCCGTATATCTCTCCCGCCACGAGCGATGCGTCGGAGAGAAGCGCCGGCACACGGCGGAGTGAAGCGCCGCCGCCCCGAGTAGGCACGCGCGGCCAACCGTGTGGCGTGTGCCCCCGTGCTGCGCCGCGCCCAAGATGCCGGTTTTTGGCTGTCAGTCCAGCGGCTGGGGACTAGCCCCGTGCCTCAAAGTGCCTGCCCGGCCCTCGACCTGACAGCAACGACGGCGTCGCGGCCCTCCACTGCCCGAAACGTGCCCTTCCCGTGACCGCGCGCGGCGTGGCCCGCCGCGCGCGGCACGCCGAAAGTGGGCTTCGCGGTCAGTGCAGGGCGTGGGGAGGCTGTTCTCGGCTTCCCCGTCCCAGCACGGCGCTCCGCTGACAGCCAACGCCCCGTCCTGGTGCTGTACACGCTACTTTCTATGCCCTCAACTTCAAATACGGTAAACCACGGCCGGCCACCGCGACGCCAGCGCCGCCCCCCCCGCGCACCGCCACACCCCGCCCAGCCCGCCCAACCAGGCCCTCACTGCACGCTGTCTGGGATTGAGCGCGAGCAGAAGCGGCGCCGCAAGCGAGGGTGGTGGGAAGGCGGGATCGCCGACTTGCCTGGCTGGCACGCCGCTCCGGCCGACTTGCCTTCGCCCAAGCGCGTCTCGCACGCGGCCTCCGCACGCTGCCTCGCCTCTCCCACACTCATTACGGAGTGCGAGCGCGTCCGCGCAGAGGCCCTGAAGGCCGGACGGCGGTTCAAACCGATTGACAGCCCCGACTAGTCTTCTCTAGTGATGCGCCTGTGGTGCCTAGATAAGCCACAGGTGCTGGCCATGTGTTGTAGGGTAGCTTTTTGTTGCATGCGCGCCCCCAGGAAACCATACTGTCCAAGCCAAAAGTCTGCCCAGGTTGTCGGGGACACGATCCCGGCGTGAACACGACTAACTGACGGATCCGCTCCTGACAGTGGCACGCACCGCGCTGCGGCGCGTGCCACTGTCTTTGTTTGAAGTCAAAAGTCGAAAAAAAAAGAAAGAAAGAAAACAGACAACCCAAGGGAGGGATGGGAGGACGGCACGCCGCCACCACACAGGGATTTTAAGGAGAGGTGTTGGTGTGTGGTGCGCTAGCCGTCGCCCACCCTAGGGAGTCTGCCTCAAAAGTCGAATCAGAGCGGCGTCGGCGCTGTCCTCCATTTTCATCCCACGACCGCCCGTCCGGCACCGCTCCGGGACGCACGCCGGCGAAACACCATAAAGCTGCTGTACGGCCCCGGCATCGCCTCTCCTGGCTTAGCTAGCTAGACTGAGAGATATTGTGAATATGGTTAGTCTCTACAATATATACACTGACACTGAACCTCCCAGAGCTCGTCCCGGTCCGTCACGGCCATCCTTGGCCTCCGGAGGGCCCCCGGCCGCGGCGCGGTGCGGCGGCGTCACAAATCCGACCACAGAGCACCGGGACGCGGTCGGGCGATCTGAGGCCCAACTAGGCGTATGCATTGCCCATCCAGAACTATCACCTGGACCCATCAACAGGCGCCTGCGGCGCCGTGCTCAGGAGCTGCTGCTCCAACCTGTTCACACTTTCATAGTAGTAAGAGCCTTCACAGCCTTGTTATTGAGAAGAAAATACCTCCTATGGCGCTGTGCGTTCACACGCAACTTGCCCAACCATTCGTGCAGCACAACCGAGGCCGATTCCTGTTATTCGCCCGGCATGGACAGCGCTGGTCCAATCGACTGGAGCACCGCGCTCCGCGGCTGGACGTTCGCCGACGTGCTCACGGCCTTCGAGGCGCTGCCCGAATCGCTGCAGCAGCCGCTCCACGCAGCTCTGACCACCGCTCCGAAGCCAGTGCCGCCGCCTGCACCGTGGGCCGTCGCGGGTGGCTCAGTGTCGTGGCTGCTTGACGAGCTTGGCCTGAGCGGCCTGTATGGCTCGACCTTTGCAGAGTACGGCGTGGAGACCGTCGCCCAGATGCTGGGGCCGGAAGGCGGCGACCCATCCGCTCTGATCGCCAGCCTCCGCGAGCTGGGCGTCACCCGCGACCACCGCGACAAGATCGAGCGCCTCGCCCGCTCTCCGCGGCCGTGCGGCGCGAGCGGCGGCTGCTTTGACCGGGCGTTTCTCGCCGCGTGCCGACCGCTGCACGCGCAGCACATGGGCTGCGAGAACATGGGCCCGCTGCTCTACTCGCTCGTCCGCTTCACAAAGGCGCAGGGCGGCGGGAGGGCGGGAGGGCGGGCTGTGCCCTTCGCGCGGCGCGATGACTCACGGAAGAGGTTGCGCGCTGCCGCAGGCGCGACACGTGCTCGAGGTGGGCGCCGGCTACACGTCCGTATGGATTCTGCAGGCAGCCCTCCCCGCCAAGCCTCGCACGCCAAGCCGCACTCGCCCGAGGTGGCTCCCGGACAGAGCGCGCTGCGAGGTGACGCCGCCGGGTCCTCCAGGCCCTCGCCGACAACGACGCGGAGCTCGCAGCTTGTGCCGCCGCGGTGGCAACAGACGGCTACACAGTCGCGCAGGCCGACTGGATGGCCGATGCCGGCGCGGCGACCGAGGCGGCGGCGGCCGAAGCGGCGGCCGGCGGCGGTGCTTGCGGCGGCGGCGGCAGCGACGGAGGCGACGGTGCCGGCGGCGGCGGGAGCCGCTTCTGGGTCTCGGCCGCGTGTGAGCGCGGCGCGAGCATGCTGCATGCGATAGACGACATGGGTGCGGCTGAGGGCGGCAACCGCGGCAGCGCGCACCTCATCGAGGAGGCGGCGGAGCGGCTCGGGCTGCGGTGCGTCGCTCCCCACGTCGCTTCCACTGCAGCCCCGCCCGACTGTGTGTGTGTGCGTGCTTCGGAGCAGGCGGCACCTCAGACTGCACCAAGGCGACGCCTACGAGATGGCGGGGGCGCCGCTCTCGGACGGCGACGGCGACGCGAGCCAAGCAGAGGGAGACGGCAGCCCTGCTGCCGCCGCCGCCGACCTCGACGTGCTCTGGCTCGACTTTGGCCTCGGCGGCTCGACGCGCATCGGCGCTCTCGCCAGCCACTTCTCCCCGACATCACCAGCACGCTCCGCCGCCGTCCCTCGTCGTGTCCGTCGCCGACGCCCCCCCCCCCCCCCCGCCCTCAGGCGCATTTCTCGACGCGTGGTGGCCGAGGCTGCGGCGCGGAGGGTTCCTGTTGATGCACTCTACGCTGACGAATGCCGTGACACGCGCGTGGCTCGAGGCGCGTGGCCAACGCCATCCCCGCACCGCACGACCACTGCATTAGCCACTCTGCCTTTCCTGGCCCTCCCGTGCATCCAGGCGCAGCGAGAGCGGCGATCCGAGGCAGCCTCCGACGTCGCGGCCACGAGATGCGGCCACTTGTGCGAGTTTGAGACGCTCTCGCTGCTCGAGCCTCACAAGCGCTACCAAAATTCGGTCTCCATCTTCCAGAAACGCGACGGCGGCTGGGCTGAGCCGCTGCACACAATGTACCCGTGAGCAGTCATGTTCTTCTCCTGAGGCTCAGATACAGAGTCTGGGAGAATGGCACAGAGCGCAACCACACAGGGAAAGAAAAGGAGGTAAGCCGACTGGTTGAAGGTCGGGCAGAAGCCCAGCCCGTGTCGCGCCCAGCGTGCAGCGAGCGCCCGAGCGCCTTGTCCCCTTGACTCCAAGTGCTTGACTTTGCCCTGCTGCGCACGCCACCTCGACGGCGTTCTCGGCGAGGTACTTTCGAGTTCGTAGATCTACTTTTTCGTGTTTACCCACATTATCACGCATCAACGATTTTTTTTTACGACGAGCGTCACAAGTCATCCCGATGCATGGACATGGTCGGCGCGACGGCGACTAAAAATGCCCAGATCCTCTAATAGACTCCAGCCTTCGGCGAGACCCTGTCTCCCTTTGTTCGATCATGCTGGCTCTCTCTATGCTGGCTCCAGCATAGACCAGCCGTGGAGGGTGGAGCGCTGAGGAGGACGCCCTCCTGCACAGCTTCGTCCAAACGCTCGGCCACCAGTGAAAGAAGATCGCCGAGCTGCTGCCCGGCCGCTCGAAGAGCTCGACCAGAAACCGCTGGATCCGCATCAGCAAGGCCACTTCACTTCACCGCCGGCAGCAAAATTCTCTCGAGCCAAGCGGCGAGGTCCTTGAGCTCCGCCTTCCCAATTTCGTGCGCCAGGCCTGGTTCAAGTGCTGAGACGACGCTTACGCCCGCCGCGCTCAGCCGGGCGGCCGTCGCGTCGCCCCAGTCCGGCAGGATGTAGCCTGTTCTCAGCGGGAGCATGTCAAGGCGGCGGTGCCCTTGAGTCGCCCGGCCCCGTCATGGCCCAGCGTAGCTGTCAGACGAGCCATGCCGCCGGAAGAGCGGCGGGCGGCGCCTGTCCGGCTGCGCCCGCAGCGCCTCCCACATCGGCGAGTCGTCGCCTAGTTTGTGAGCACACAATCGTCGAAACACTTTCCTCGACAAGTCGCCCCGCCCAAGAGCATGTCACAGGCGTATGAAGAGAGGGAGAAGACGCCGGCGAGAGCGGCGCCTGACGGAACACGCCCGTGTTTATGACCGCGTCAAGGAGGCGCGCAGAGTGCGCCGCCCAAGGGCCGCTCGCCGAGCGGCGACCCTCGGTAGGCGAGCTGCAGCGCGATACCGCCACCTTGCGAGAAGCCGCCCACCTGACAGTATGCCCCGCCCAAATGTGCCCTGGGCGACGCGTGCCCTGGGCGACAGTAGGCTTCCGCAAGTAGCGTCCGACCACCACGACACGACTCGCGGGTATCCCTTCCGCCTCGAGAGTGCGCAGCTTGTCCTCCAGCCGCCGCACCTGCTTATAGCGGAACGGGTAAAGAGGTGCCGCTGTTCGTGGCTCCCTCACCACGAGCCGGCCCACCGAGTTCTCGACGGATGTCGTCTCCTCTGCCGCAGTTGGAGGCAGCTCAGTGCGGTCATACCACGCGGTGGTGGTGCTGCCGCCTGTGAACGTGCGTGTGTGCGCGTCATGGATGCAACGCGTTGCACGTACGCAGCCGTGTCCGACCGCCTCTGAGACGGTACGCGATGGGCTCCGCACTGGGAAAAAGGACGCGCACGCCAGCGCGTTCCATACTGCTCGCAAAACCTCCAGCGTCGCTGCGCAAGAGCCAGTCAGAGAGCGCCTGAAGGGTGGTGCGACCCCTCGCCTTTCTGTGAACACAGCCCACAGCCCACAGGCAACCGGGCGTTCCAGCGGCACATGACAGAGCAGAGACGCGGTGGCTGAGAACAGAAGCGCAGCAGTGAAATGGGAAGTGGGACCTTCCCGCTGTCTCCAAGGCCGTGGAGGAAGAGGACGGCTGAAGTAGCGGTGGGTGATCCGATCGCAGGGCAAGCTTGCGGCGGCGCCGGGCCGCCGCAGCTGAGGATGCTGAGCTGTGCAAGAATGGAGGCGATGGTCGCTCTGGGTGGGGACGGACGAGCCCGAACCGAATTTGTGAACGTTCGTCTCTCGCGCCCGGCGAGAGAGAGATTACGCTAAAAGTACGTAGCGTGAGGGTTTCTTGAGCACTTGAGCACTAAGAGGTTCCTCTTTTCCGCGCCCCCCCCGCAAGGCGCGCGATACACACTTGATTGATAGGGTCGATTCCGCATGGTACGGGACCCCTCGATCGTCTCGCCCACCCTCACTGGTGTGTTCATTGGGTGGGGGGGGGGTCATAACAAACACGGTACAGGATCGAGGTGCACGCTGCCAGAGCAGTGTCGACTGTCGTCCCCCCTCTCCCCGACGGCGATGGCGGTGTGACCGATCGAGCTACAAGAGGAGCTGGTTCAGCTCCCTTGCTTGTCTGTTTTCTTTCTTTCTTTCTTTTCGAGTAGAGGGGGCGCTAGGGAGTCTCACGCCAAGGCTGCTCAACACTCAAGCAAGGTCAAGCCTAGGGTCAAGCAAGCCCGACAGCGACGCGCGGACGACGACATCGAGGAGGACGTGGCGAGCAGACGTATGGGAATCGCGTGCGGTGCAGTTGTTGCTCCCCGTGCGTGGCTGTGCCTCGGCGCGCGCTAGGGCGCGCGCCCACCGCTCCCACGCAAACGCCATGCCCAGCCCGTCCGGGAACAGAAGCCCGTCGCGCCAGCCAGCGCCTCGCGCGCGGCGCAATATCGCGGCACGATCGCGCCGACGCCGTCGCTAGTCGTCGGATAGAGGTCAAGGTGCCACTTTGTGTTTTTTCGGCGAGGGCGGTCGAGTGCACGGAGCTCAAGTGCCTCGCCGTGCGCGGGATGTTTAGTGTGCTGTGAACGAGAGTTTTAAGAATTCTTCAGGGCAAGTTTCTTGGCGCGGCTTGTGTTGAGGCAGCATGGACTGCCAGCGCTGTCGCCAGCCGCTGCTAGAGGCATCACCGGGCCCGGGCGGGCGAGGACTGGCGCCGCTCGGCGAGTCATACGTGGTGCTGCCGCAGTCGCGCCGCGCGAGCGCGCTGCACGCAAGCCTGAACGAGAGCCTGTCGCAGCCCGTTGGCGGCGGCGTGCTGCAGGCCTCGTCGATCCACGACCAGCTCCAGACCGTGGACCGGCTTGTCGGGCTCGCCGAGCGGTGCGCCTCGCTGCCATGTGGCGTGCCACTCTGCGAGGACTGCGCGTCCGGCGTGGTGCGCGACCTCAACGCGCGGCTGCGGGATGCGCGCGAGGAGCGGGACCGGCTCCAGGCCGCCTTCGCGGAGCTCGAGGCGGGCGACGGCGGCCCGTCGCACGGCGCTCTCTCCGACGCCGAGTTTGCGGCGGAGGAGGCGGCGAGGGAGCTCGAGGTGAGCGAGCTGCGGGCGGCGCTCGCCTCGGCGCGGCGCGAGCGGAGTGCGCTCGCCGACGAGGCGGTGCGGCTGCGGGCGCAGCGCGCCGAGCAGGAGGCGGAGGAGGAGGCGTGGCACGCCGTCATCAACGGCAACACACTGCGCGCTCAGGCCGAGCAGGAGGAGGCGACCAGGGAGAGGCAGCTCGTCCAGTTTTGCCGCCGCGAGCTGGTGCAAACCCCTCGCCCGCCCTGCTCCCCCGACCCTTGCCCCCCGCCCTCCCGGCCCTGCCGCCGTGCTCGCACGCCTCCCGCCGGTGCGCACTCCGCCGACGCATCCGCCCCGCGCCGCCACTTCCCGCCCCCGCGGCTCCGCAGAGGCGGTCGACAGACTGCCTCTGCTGCTTGGCGCAGCCTGTGCTTGGCGCAGCCTCCGCTGCATCGACCGACGCCCCTTGGTGAACGAGTAGGCGCGGCTCGGGCGCGTCGACGTCGTGAGCGACGTCTTCCGCATCAGCTCCACCGGCAGCTTCGGCACCCTCAACTCGCTCCGCCTAGGCGCGCGCACCCCTCGTGGCTCTAGCGGTCGCTAGCCCTTGCGGCTCTAGCGGTCGCTAGCCCTCGCGGCTCTACCCCTCGCGGCTTCCCCGGGAGCGGACCCGCCCGCGCGCTTGCCCGCCCCCCCCGACCCAGCCTCTGCGCCGCCCCGCCGCCCCGCCGCAGGCCGCTTGCCGGGCGTCTCTGTCGACTGGGCAGAGATCAACGCGGCGCTCGGGCAGGCGCGGCGCCATTCCCCTCTCCCTCTTCCCCCCCCTCTCCCGCGCCCTCTCCCGCGCCTCCCCTCCTCTCCCCTCTCCCTCCCTACGGCACGTCCACGGCACGTCCACGGCACGTCCAACCCAACCGCAGGTCGCGCTGCTCCTCGTCGCCGTCGCGCGCGAGTCGGGCGCGCGCTTCAGCTCGCACGCGCTGCTGCCGATGGGGTCGTACTCCAAGGCGTACAAGCTTGACGAGCCGCGCGCGCTGTACGAGCTCCACGGCTCCGGCTCGCCGCACCTCGGCCGCATCTTCGGCTCGTCGCGCTTCGACAAGGGGCTCACCATGCTCCTCGCCTGCGCCTCGGACCTCCTCGCCTTCGCCGGCGCGCGCCCCCGCGCCGGCGTCGCGCCCGCGCCGCCGCACCCGATCGAGGCGGACGCGGTGGGCGGCTTCTGCATCCGGCTGCAGGCGAGCGGCGGCGAGGAGCGGTGGACGCGTGCCCTCCGCTGCTTGCTCGAGGACCTGTCGTGGCTGCTCACTTGGCGCCGCGCGGGGGCCGCAGCAGCCGCCACCGGCACCGCGCTGCACGCCGCGTAACACCTAGGCGAGACAGTGGGGGGGGAGAGTCAGATGCCGCTAGGAGCCGGTTGTACAGCGGATGATGTTCTTGATAGATAGAAAGAAAGAAAACAATACACAAATATGTATGTATGTAGGAATCGGTGGAGAACACCAGGGCAGACGCGAAAAGAAATCATCACCTGCGAGAGCGGAGCTTGAGGTCGGAGCTTGTCGGCCCATGCTGCTGCGTGGCGTTGCACAGAGCGGGAGAAGAGGGCTGGTGGCGCGGCCTGTTCGGGTGTCCGCTCGCGGCCTCGCCGCCGCCGCCGCCGGCGGCCAGCGCATCCTCTACCGCTCCACGCGTGGCGGCCAGTCGGACCTGACGTTCAGTGAGGCGGTGCTGCAGGGCCTCGGGACGGACAAGGGTCTGCTGGTGCCGCAGGCGATCCCGCGGTTCGACGCGGCGACGCTCGAGTCGTGGCGCGGCCTGCCCTTCCACGCCCTCGCCGCCGAGGTGATGTCGCTCTACCTGACGGATGACGACCTCTCGCGTTCGGAGCTCGAGGCGTCCCAGCAGCCCCTCCCCTCACGGCTGCCGCGCCCAGCATGGCGGGCCTTGCCAGACTTCACCGCCACCGCCCTCACCGCCACTGCCATCACCGCCACTGCCCTCACCGCCACCGCCCTCGCTGCCACCGCCCTCGCTGCCGCCGCTACCCTCGCCGCCGCGACCCTCACCGCCGCCGCAAGCACCCCAGGCGCTCACCGCGGCGAGCTACGGGGCGCAGTGGCGCGACGAGGCGGTGACACCGGTAACCACGCTGCCCGGCGGGATGCGGCTGCTCGAGCTGCACCACGGCCCGACCTTCGCCTTTAAGGACGTCGCGCTGCAGTTTCTCGGAAACCTCTTCGAGCTGCTGCTGGCGAAGCGGGAGGCGGCGGGGCTGTCGCACACCCTGACGGTGGCGGGGGCGACGTCGGGCGACACGGGCTCGTCCGCCATCCACGGCTTGCGCGGCAAGCGTGGCGTGGAGGCCTTCGCCTCTCCGCGAGGCGGCGTCGTGTCTTGTCTCTCCGCCTCGTACCTCGCCCAGGGCGTGCTCCGTAGGTCTTCATGATGTACCCAGAGGGGCGCACCTCGCCGACGCAGGAGCTGCAGATGATCTCCGTCCTCGACGCAAACATCCACAACATCGCCCTCGCGGGCACCTTCGACGACTGCCAAAACATCGTCAAGGCTCTGCCGACGAGTCCGCGCGCCGTGGCTGTGAACGCACCCTCCCCACACGGTGTGAGCGGGTGTGAGCAGGCGCTCTTCAACGACCACGCCTTCCGGGACAGCGTCGGCCTGGCCGCGGTCAACTCGATCAACTGGGCGCGGATCCTCGCACAGACCGTCTACTACGTCCACGCCTACCACGAGGCGACCTCGCCCGGCGCTGCACTCGAGGGCACGCAGGTCTCGTACTCTGTGCCGACGGGCAACTTTGGGGACATCCTCGCGGGCTGGTACGCAAAGCAGATGGGGCTGCCCGTCCGCAAGCTCATCGTCGCGACCAACGAGAACGACATCCTCCACCGCTTCTTCCAGGCTGGCGACTACTCCCAGCTCGGCGTGCGCGAGACGCTCTCGCCGTCGATGGCGCGCAGACGCCCCGCGGCCGCAGACCTGCGCCCGCAGACCTGCGCCCGCAGAGCCGCGCCTCAGAGCCGCGGCCCCGATCACCCCCCCGACCCCTCCCCCCCCCCTTTCGACCCGTCCCTCCCGTCCCGTCCCCCGCGCAGGACATCCAAATCTCGTCCAACTTCGAGCGCTTCCTCTTCCACGCGGGCGGCGACGACGCGCCCGCGCTCAAGTCGCTGATGGACGGCCTGGAGGACACGAAGCGGCTTACGCCGCCCCCCTCGCTGCTCGCCGCCTGCCGGGAAGAGATGGACTCGGAGCGCGTGGATGACGCCGAGGTGTGGCTGCGCCCACCGCACCCCTCCTCTGCTAACCCCTCTGCAGACGATCACGCGCCCGCCGTGAGCCGCGGCCCCGCTGCCGCCGCCGCTGGTGAGGAAGCCGTCGCGCCGCGCGGCAGGTGCTCGCCACGATCGCCGACGTGCACACCGCTTCGGCTGGCGACCATACCCTCGACCCGCACTCGGCCATCGCCTAATTAATGATTAGTTATTATTGATTAATTAATCATAGGCGAGCATACCCTCGACCCGCACTCGGCCATCGCCGTGGCGGGCGCTCGTCGCTACTTGCAGCGCGCGCCCGAGGAGGAACTTCGCCACCACCGCCCACCGCAACCCCCAACCCCCACCAACGCCCACGCCACCACCGCCCACACCACCACCACCATCGCCCCTGACCTCCCCACCCCTCGCCACGCCACGCCTCGCCACCGCGTTCTCTTCCTGGTGACCGCCGCCGCCGCCTCCCCCCCCCAGGCTGGCGTGCCGATGGTTGCCCTCGCCTGCGCCCATTGGGCGAAGTTTGCGTCGGCGGTGGGCCGCGCCATCGGGCCAGAGGAGGCGGCCAAGCTCGAGATGCCCGAGCCGCTCGCGTCGCTGCACGGCAAGCCCACCCGCGTCGCGCCTCTGCCGAACGATGTGTCGGCCGTGCGGCAGCACATCCACGCCACACTCGCCCAGGCGCACGAGTCGTCGGACCAGGAGGCGGTCGGCGCTTGAGCCGCTCATGGCGCCGCCGCCGCCGCCTTTGTGCAGGCCCCAGTGGCTCATCCGCTCTCACGCTCCAATCGAGCACGCGCAAAGCTATGGCGCGCGGCTCGAGGTCGGTCCCAGTCCCTGTGTGCGGTCGCACCGCACCACGCGCACACCACGATATACGGCATGTTCGACACTCACTAGGAACAAAAAACCGATCAATCGGTTCTTCACAGAAAACTGCGGCCGCCAGCGACAGAGCGTCTCGCTGGCGGACGGCGAGAGGAACACGACAAAGGGACGTCCGGACGTCCATCCACTGGGATGAGACGTAACTGGAGATCTAAGGTCGAATCTCCCGATTCCACAGCCGCCCACAGGAGCGCCGCCTCAACACGGGGTCTCGGCTCTATCGAGCCATGCTAGCTCCAGCCGCAGCCCCACCCGGCCGCCCGAGGGTGTTCCCGCAGGCAGAGAAGACCAATCCTGGGGGAAGTAACCTTATAACACACCGGTCTGCAAAATAAAGCATGAAACTCATAGCACAGACAACTCTCTCTCACCTGCGTGTGGTCACCCGGCCCAACACACCTTGGCAATCGAGTCTCCTCTCGTCAGTCATAAAGGCGTTCGCTCCTCGCACCGCGCGTGTGTCTTTGCTCTGACCTCTGTCAGACACGTCAACATCTGTGGTGATGTGCGATCGCAGCCTCTGGCGGCGACTAGCTCCGCCCCCGGCGACCGGGATACGCACGTTGCAGCGGCGGCGCACCTCCACGCATGCATGCGCGCCAGCCGGAGGGCATGGAAGGAGCCCACCACGAGCGCGAGGAGCCTATGTGGCGAGAAAGTCGCGGTCCAGGCGACGCGCCGCGAGAATGTGCCCATCCTCTCCGCCCCAGGCTTAGCGCCCCGCGTGGATGGCGCCCGCCCAGGGCAGTGACGGGCGCAGAAATTCATAGACGGGCGTTCCGCCCGCAGCGAGCCACGCCCAGTGGAAGGGGAGGTAGAATGCGGCGAAGAGGACAGGCCAGAGCCAGAGGTTTGCGGTGGGAGCGGCGGCTTGCTTCGGAGACAGCAACGTGCAGTCAGCGATCAGGAGGGGCACCTGTTCACCGCGGACACTGTGAAGCGAAGATATCGTTACACGTTGGTCGGCGAGCGGGAGAGGCACGGAGAGCGCGTGCATCGTCAGCTCGTCGAACCTGCTCACACATCCAGCACAATGGTGGTACGTCGCTTCAACAATGTCGAGCAGTCTGGACTCTAACACACCGGAACGCGTGGCGCTGGAGGTAGGGTGGCAGCGACGGGAAGATGACGAGCCAGAAGACGGCGGCGGTCAGCAGCGAGGGCGGTGCCACCGTGCAAAAGAGCGTCACCTCTTGCACCGCCTCCATTCGCCGTGCCGCGCCAAGAGCGAAGAACGCAGTGACACCGGAAAAGCACCACACAGTGAAAAAGCGCGCTGCGCGGAGGCCTACAGCGGAGCAGTTAACCTGCGCCGCTGGAGGAGACCAGATGATGCGGCGGGACATATACCCTCAAAATCGGCGCCATCTGGGTGCGGCAAGATGAAATGGCCCACGAGCGCCACCGCTGGGCCCAGAGATAAAACTTCTGTGATGCCATGCGTGACCTAGTAGTGTCCCCAGCTATGGGCGTGTCCACGTTGGAGCCAGGTGTGGTGTGGGCGCGAGAATAGCTCCGCCGTTCATGGAGGCAACCGATGCGAGTCGACTGGTGTGTGTCGTCGTGGTTTCGTATCAAGAATTCTCTCTCTCTCTCACAAGCTCAGACAGTCGAGAAAGGGATAGACAGCAACGACAGTCAGAAGTCGGCGCTTTCACACACACACACACACACACACACACACACACACACACACACACACACACACACACACACACACACACACACACGCGCGCGCGCGCGCGCGCGGAGGGTTCCCTAAAGGCAGGGAGCCCGAACCCAGTCTCGGAGGCGGGTGGGTGGGGTGAGGTGGGGTGAGGTGGGGCGAGTTGTCGGCGTTGGCGTCGGTGCGAGCAGAGAGAGGTGCCGTGTCTCCTCGTCCGCTCCGTCGCACTCTCCTCGCACGCCGGCGAAGCACCATCAAGCTGCTGTACGGCCCCGGCATCGCCTCCCCTGGCTTAGCTAGAGTGAGAGATATTGTGCACATGGTCAGTTTCTACAATATACTCGCTGACACCTTACCTCCCAGAGCTCGTCCCGGTCCGCCACGGCCATCCTCGGCCTCCGGAGGGCCCCCGGCCGCGGCGCGGTGCGGCGGCGTGCGTCACAAATCCGACCACAGAGCACCGGGACGCGGTCGGGCGATCTGAGGTCCAACTAGGCGTATGCATTGCCCATCCAGGGCTATCACCTGGACCCATCAACAGGCGCCTGCGGCGCCGTGGTCACGAGGTGTTGTTCACACCTGGGCAAGCATTCATGCAGCACAGTACCTGGGCAACCATTCAGGGCGACGAGTAGGCTCCCCAGCACCGGCAGGGCGCCTGCTAAACCGAGGGCTCTCGGTCGGGTTGACTCGGCAGAAATGCTGACGCTGGCGCCGCTTCTCGCCAGCCATGTTGTTTCAGGCCATCCGTTGCTGCTCCAGCTCGCGTTGCCGCGGCTCTCGTTGCCTCTTGCGTCAGCGCCGCCGCGGGTGCCGCTCGCCGCTGCTTGCCTGGCGCCAGCCTCGACGCTGCACCCTCGCTGGGTAAACACGCTCAACGTGGCGCTTGAGGCGTCGGCGATGTCAACGCTGCTCGCCTACATGCTGGTTGACGTCGCAGCCACCTTCTCGGTGCTCGGCGCGCTCACCATTCTGCGCGTGGCGGTGCCGGCCGACTTTGCGCTCGCCCTGGCGCTCTCAAAGGCGCTGCGCGGACCGCGGCTCGCGCTGGACGCCAGCCTGGCCGCCTGGCTGACGAGGCGCTTCCCCGCCCTCCGCGCCGTCAAGGTGTCGCTCTGTTTCGACGAGTTTGCAGCCTCGCTGCACTCGGTGGGAAGCAGCTTTGACGAGGGCCGGCAGGCTGCTGGCGGCGCTCCTCCGCACGCGAACGCGCCGCCGCGCGCGAGCGCTCCGCCGCGGGCGAAGCTGGCGACCGCCGCGCAGGCTGCGCGCCAGATGACCTCGCAGTACGGCCTTGCGTACATGGCGGCGAAGAATGCCGTCGCCCTCGCCTCGATGCTCATCACGCTCGCCGCCCTCCGGACGGCGAGATCGGCGACGGCGGCGCTCATCGCCCGGCTCGGCGTCAGCTCGGCGGCGGGTGAGCTCGCGGGCCGAGCCGCCCTCGCTGTAACGATCCACTACGCGTTGTTTCCTGCGGTGTGTCTGACGGCGGCGGCGCTCGGTCCACGCCTCCACAACGCCACCCAGCGACGACTCGGGGAGCGGCGGCCGTGAATTCATTTCGTCGACCTTGTGTAACCGTCTCATGTTTGGTTTGTCCTGCCGCGCACATTGTCATCGACTTGTATCCGACTTGGTGGTTGGTGGCTGTGGTGATGTAGCGATGGTGTGGGTCTCTAGTCGCCTAACGCGTAACGGCTCCTAAAAAGAAAGAAAGAAAACAGACAACCCAAGGGAGGGATGGGAGGACGGCACCACGCCGCCACCACACAGGGATTTTAAGGAGAGGTGTGTGGTGCGCTAGCCGTCGCCCACCCTAGGGAGTCTGCCTCTTCCTATCTCTCTTCGCAGTCTCTCGCCGCTTCTCGCTGCAACCTTCATGCCACCTCGCGGTCGTCCCCTTAGGTATATTGTTGGCAAATCAAGACACAGAGCTCACACAGAATCACAGCGGGAGGAAAGCGGCGAGTCGCAATTCCTGGGGTCCTTGTGGCCCCACTCTCGTCGTTCTCTCCCTTGTCATTTCCTCCTCTGTCGCGTCGTTCTCTTCTGCCTCGTCCTGTGACGCCGGCTTCCGTGTTCCGTCTCGCGCCACGAATTCTTCAAAACGCTGCCTGACACTGCCCTCCTGGCGTTGCCGTTCCACTTAGAAGCGCGCGCGGCGCTGTTTGGCGAGGACGGGAGCGAGAGCCATCCTTGCAGCCGGTTGTTTAACGCCCAGTGCGGCGACGGCAGCCGATGGCATACATGAAGGCGCGCTGCTCCCAGTCGAAGGGCGCCAGCCAGACCGACCCGTTGGGAGCACAGTCGGCCGGTGTCGCCTCCTCACTTGCGGCGCAGCCCGTCGACACATTGCTCGACGCGGTCTCGGCTGCGGGCGTCGGCCGGCTGGACTGTCTGCGCGACCTGGCGGAGCCGCGGCAGGCCGTGCCAGAGTCCGCCGCTCTGATAGAGGCGCTCCTTCGACCTGGGAAGCCCATCCTCACTCCTCAGGAGGCAGAGGTGCTGCGCGCGTGCAGTGTTGCGGCCGCGCCGGGGGAGATGTCGCCCACCCACTCGCAGCTCGAGCGCGCCGCGCGCTCCTTTGCAGACGTCCGGCCACTGCCCGCATCGGTGTGCAGCCGGCTCGTCTCTCTACTCCGGCCGAGCGGTGCGGCGTCGGCCGCGGACGACGCCGTGGCCGCCGCGCTGCTCGCTCCGCTGCTCGTGGGCAAGACCCTTGGCGCGACTCTCGGCGGCTGGGGCGCTGCGCATGTGCTGCTGCTCCTGCTCGGCGACCGTTCTCCTGCCTCTGCCGCCACAACCACGGTGCTCCCCACACCGCGCCGCACCAGAGGCGATCCGTCGGAGGCGTGAGGGAGGGTGCCGCTCGCACTGCCGCAGGTGGTTCGGATGCCGCTCGAGGCGGCGGCAGCGCGCGTGCAGCTCGTCCCTCTCCCTCCGGCCTGGCGGGTCGGTGCTGCCTCGCACGCGCTGCAGGCGGCGGTGCATGCCGTGGCCGACTCGCGCGAGGATGACCCGCGCCGGCTTGTGGACGGGGACCTCGTCCTCGCCCTCGACGGCGAGCTCCTCTCTGAGACGTCGCAGCTCACCGTCCTGCGCGACACCGCCCGCGCGGCCAGCAGTGCCGCGCCGCACCGGCCCACCAGCAGGCCAGACGCTAAGGTGCCTGGCGGCAGAGGCACGCACGCAGCAGCTGAGCTGCTCCTTCCAGGAGCCTTCCAGGAGCCTTCCGGGAGCCTTCCGGGAGCCTTCCAGGAGCCCTCCTGTAGGCCGGCACGCAGTGCGCGAGCTGCTCGTCGTGCGGCGGGTGGCGCCGGAAGGAGAGGGCGGCGCGCCGGCCCGGCTGCCGCTGGCCTCAGCTGGCGCGGCCCCCGCGCCTCTACCCGCCTCCGAGCTGACGCGATCCGAAGGGCGGGGCGCGTCGCTGGGGCGGGGCGCGCCGGAGCCTCCGTCGAGCGAGCGGCGGCCGCTCGTTGCGCGGCTTGAGCGGCGCGAGGCGAGATGCAGCCGAGATGCAGCCGAGATGCAGCCGAGATGCAGCCGAGATGCAGCCGAGATGCAGCCGAGCCGTGGACGAGGTAGCAGAGGTGCAGGAGAGGTGCAGGAGAGGCGCAGGAGAGGCGCAGCAGAGGCGCAGCGATGCTCGAGCGTCGGGGGGAGATGATGCGCCTCGGGTGCACTTCCCTCGTCCCCGAGCCCTGCCCGAGCCGTCCCCCAGGCGGGCGCGCTAAAGGAGACGTCGCGCGCGGCGGAGGTGCGGCGAGAGGCGAGAGCGCCCTCCCCCCCTTTCCGTGGGTCCGCGGTTCAGCAGCGGCGGTGGGTCAGGTGCGGCGCGAGCAGGTCGCCCTCATCCACGCGCGGGCTGAGGAGGCGGCCGAGGCACGCGCAAGTGAGCTGGTCGCTGCGGGCGGTGCCGCCGCAGAGGCGCGGATCGAGGAGGTGAAGAGGGAGGCGGAGGCGGAGCGAGAGGCGGCGCTGCAGCGCGAGCGAGAGCGGCTGCAGCGGCTCCACCTCGAGGAGATGGCCTCGCTCCGCAAGCAGCTCGGCGCGGGCGGCGGCGCGGCGGGCGCGGGGGTGGCGGGCGGCGGCGCGGCGGGCGGCGGGCTCGAGGAAGCCGCCGGCTCGGGGCAGGGAGGGAGGGGAGGGGAGGGGTCGGAGGCGCGGGGAGAGTTCGGGGCGGGAGAGCCAGGCGAGGCGTTGTTCGGAAGCCGGCTGCAGCGAGCGGCGCACGGGCTTGTCCGATCTGCGGCCGAGAGACTGGACCCGAGGATCGACCCGACGGGTGGACCCGACGGTAGGCGCGCGAGCTGACCGAGCTCGCGCGGCTAGCGGGCGGCAACGGCGTGCTCAACGCGGCGGCGCTCGCCCTCGGAGCAGAGGCGAGCTCGAGCTCGCGATATGAGGAGATATGGGGAGATATGGGGGGAGCAGAGGCAAGCTCGAGCTCGAGCGGCGAGCGGCGGCGGGAGAGGGCGGAGCGCGAGGCCCGCTCGCAAGGGCCGCAGGAAGAGGCGTCGTTCGAGGTGCGCGCGGGCGACGTCCTCATCCGTTACTACCCGGAGAAGCGCTCTGCAGACTGCACGCCGCCCGGAGCCGGCGCTGTGGCAGCGGCCGCCCCTCCGCCGCCCTTCTCCCGCCCGCCGCCCGCCTCGCCCCCAAGGCCCTCGCTCTACCCGCCGCCAAGCGGCAGCACGCCTCCGCGCCGGCCCCTGCAGAGGCCTCCCGCCCCGGGACTTGCCGTGCCGGGACTTGCCGTGCCGGCGGAGGCAGCGGCGGCGGAGGCAGCGGCGGCGGAGGCAGCGGCGGCGGAGGCAGCGGTGCCGCGCGCGGCGGAGGCAGCGGTGCCGCGGCGCGACCCGGCGCCGCCGCCGTTTGAGGCGCCGCTTCCCGCCTCGCCGCTTACTCTGCCGCCCGCACAGCCGTCCCCGTCCGCCTCGCCGCCCGCACGGCTGCTCCTCTCGCCCGCGCTCCCCCCCCCACAACGGGCGCCGTTGCCGCCTCCCGTATTCGGCTTGGCGCCCGAGTTGGCCGACCCCCGGCAGCCGGTCTCCGAGTGGCCGGGCTGGGCCCAGCTTCGCGCGGAGATCTCGCCCAGCACGCAGCCAGGGCCCGCGTGCGAGTCCTTGCCGCGGCGGCCAGTGTCAGCTGCACGGGCCCTCTCCGCCACCACCTCGCCCGGCCGCAACCCTGCGTCTCCGCCAGGGCTGGCACAAATGCGTCTCGGTGCGGAGGCGCTGCAGGCACGGCTCGACGCGTTGCGCAGACGGCCGGTTGGGTTTGGACAGCCGGTTGGGTTTGGAGAGAGGCGACCCTTCTGTGTCTCTTAGCGCGGACAGACGCTCTCGCTGGCGTCCCTTGTCCCATGCCTGTCTCCGCTGTGTGCTCCGCCGGGTAGAGCCATACAAGTAGAGAGAGTGTCTCCCAGTAAGCTAAAAGTACGTACAAGTAGCGACACACTTATGCGCGCGCCAGTCGTTAGATAACAATGTTGTATATGGTTTTGGCCTTTTGCGCGGCGACGGATGCGCATGGGGGCATCCCCTGTCGCCTGACGCGTACTGTAGTCAGACTGTACACACACCCCCCGCGCCCCGCGGCTACCGCAGCTCGCGCGCAGCCCGCCCTGAGCTGAGCCACGTCCGTCGAAGTTGCCTGATTTTGCACGTAAAACACATGGGGGCGAAGCCTGATTAGCATCACACACAATACGCGAGACACGCCTGACGGAAAGTACGTGTACGACTTGTCAATCATAATCTCTAGAGACGGGCCACGCTCGCGGCGGCCGGCGCCAGCGACGCTGTCCCCTGGCTCTAGGCGAATGAGGCGTCCTCGCTAATCGATCGTGTGTGCACCCGCTCAAGCGAGCCGTATCTCGCATGCTTGATGACGCGCTGCGCGTAGAGGTCGCCTGAGGCAAGGTGGCGGCAGCCTCAGAGTGCGCGAGCAGGCCTCATCAGATCGAGGGCACCGCCCTCACCAATCCAAAGAGTCGCGGGGATGGCGAGGAAGACGAGGAGAAATATGATGAAGGGCGCGCCGTTCGCGTACCTAGAGCGCGGAGAACCACGCCTCGAGGCGACCCTGCGACCGCTTCCCCGATGAGGGCGACGCACTTTCCCTTTGAGCGCCGGCAGTGCTCGCCGCAGCCGCCGGCACCGACAAAGGTGTCGTCGTCGTCGTGCCGGTGAGATCTCCCCGTGGCGTGCGCGTCGCCGGAGGTATTGCTCCCGTGCGGGTCCGGATCCAGCGCTGCCGTGCTGGCACCTGCCGTGCTGGTCGAGGACGCGTCTCTGCTGGCGCTTCGTGCTGCCCGCGGGCGCCGATACAGAAGTGGCGGCAGCGGCGGCGGCGGCGGCGCTGCCACCAGAGCCGACCAGAGCCACATCGGTGGCGGCGGCGGCGGCGGCAAGCGCGGCGGCGGCGGTGACCTGCGGCTGAATATCGCAATGGGTCTTGCCTGTGCCCCGAGAAGAGCGAAAATCACGGCGAGCGGTGGCCGCCAAGCTGCGAGGCCAGTCATACGCAGGTGTTCTGCGACGTTCAAAAGGGGCGCCACGTGGCGATCACGCGATTACTGTGGTGGTGCCACCAGGAAGCGAGCAGTGCTTGCGCCCTCGCGCGCCGCCTGCAAAGTTGAGATATAAAAAAAGCGTGCCTCACCACGTACGGATCATGTAGTCCCCACAATCGCGGTCGTGGGATCACTTGTCATGTGAGAGAGTGCGTTGTGTTCTTGTTTTCTATCCGCTTTCCCTCTTTCTTCAGACCGACCTCTCCTGCCCGCCTTTAGCGCGAGCCGGCTAGCCTCCAACGCTGCGGCTGGCAACGAGAGCCCCGCGCAGTCAGCAGGCTGCCGCTTCGGTCGGAACCCCTCCTGACCTCTCCTGCGCGCCAAATTCTTTCGTGCGGCTCTGGGCCGGCGCGGGGGCCCCCGGAGGAACCGTGCGCCGCTCTATTAGTCTCTATTAGCACCGAATTCCCGAATAAAGGTTAAATAGAGGGCAGATTTGGAGAGATCTCGAGGAGTACATACAGATAGACCCTCCAACCATCAGAAAACTCCGACCTGATCGGTCGTACTGACCGCCGACAGATCACTCCAGACAGCAGACACTCAGGCCGACGTCTGCACACGGCCGGCCCGTCGAGAGGCTTGACACGATCCGACCCTGCGACCCTGACGCTGCTGCTCTAGCTATGAGCCATGCACTGCTGACTGCTGCCACAATGTGCGACCTGTGCTGGCCCACTTGGCGGCCTTCCCGGTCAGTGGTGAGGCGCAGTTCAGAGCTGTCGATGGCGCAATGCCGCACTGGTCCCACATTGGTGACACGATACCACCACGTTTGCCGGTCCAAGAGAGAGGCACCGGCGCTGTCCTGAGAAGTGCGTGGTCCCTCTTGACTGCCCATGCGCGCGAGGCTGTGTAGGCATAGCCTCGAGAGTGCCAGCAGCCAATCCGAGGCAGTTTGTGACGCCATTGCATTGCGTCAGAAGCGTGCACGCGCTGGAAGGACACCTTCCTTCTGGCCGTACGATCAGGTCGTCACTGAATGCCGAAGACTAAGGCCGCGAGCTATGCAGGCGGTCAGTTGAGCAGCATGGCACGGTCAGCAGCGCCGACAGGCTGTCGCAAGGCGTGATAGCATGGCCGCAAGTATACGGGCCCCGAATTCCCATAAAGTGGAAAACAAGTAAAACATCGCAAAAAAGAAACCCCAAAAATCGGCGCTTGCGGCGAACCATGGGACCCCATCTCACCCCGCATGGACACCCTCTGGGGCCCCGCGCCGGCCCAGAGTCGTGCGGCCTGCGGGCCGCTTTTTTTTGTTCGCATCCCGCCATCCGTCCCTGGGTCCCTCGTGTCGGAAACTTTTTGTTTCTTTTTCGTCTCCTTTCCTCACACTGCGTCGCGACACGGCGGCGGGTGCCCCCGCGCGGCCTCGGCCTCGAGGTGGCGGCCGAGCTCGGTGAGGCGCACGCTCCCGTCCGCGGCCACGAGCAGGCGGCTCTGGTAGCCCGAGATGGTGGGCGCGATGTGCTCCTCGAAAAAGGAGGCGCGGTCCGACCCGAAGGTGAAGCACAGGTACACGTGCGGCGCCGCCGCGCCGCCCGCAGACGCGCCGGGCTCCGTCGAGTGATAGAAGTGCGATCCGAAAACGATCGCCTCGCCGAGCCTGTATCGGTACTGCGCGAGCCCCCCGTCGCCGCCGCCCACTCCACCCGCGACCGCCTCGCGCGCCGCGGAGGCCTCGTACAGCAGCTGGAAGTCGTCGACGCCAGAGTAATCCTCGAGCGGCGCGAGCAGCGTGAAGGCATTCGTGCCCACGCCGTCGCCCCAGTCGACGTGCAGGTTGGCCGACGCGCAGCGCGAGCGAACGACGTAGAAGGACGAGTAGAGCCGGATGCCCTCGTCGCAGTCCACCAGAGGCCGGACCGCGTCGGCGACGCCCGACAGGTCAAAGATCTTCCGGAAGGCCTCCCACGTCGGCATGTCGTCGACGCTGATCCACGCCAGGTCGGAGGAGTGCCTCTTATTCTCGTCAGTCGAAGAGCCTCCACGCATCACGAAGAAGTTGCCGTACGCAGAGCGAAGCTGCGAGCACGGCACGGGCTGCGCCTCGAGATCCTCGATCAAATTGCGCTCCAGGTGTGGGCGGATCGCGCCGTCGAAGGCAGCACGCGCCGCGTCCAGCGCCGCCGCCGGCATGGGCAGCCGGACCACGTTCGGTGCGGCGATGCGGCGGTCAAGATGGAGAACTCTGGGCGCATCGCGGAGTGCTGAGCAAACTGCGGGACACGGCGCGAGCGGCGGCGCTGGCCGTCGCGCGGCGACGAGCGAGAGCATATGTGTGTGTATATGACAGCCAGTATGACAGGCAGGACAGACAGGCGTCGCCAGGGTGCGGATACTCGAGTGCCAAACAAGAAGCGCTGAACAAGAACAAAACCTTCAAACATTTTTTCACGCCTCTGGAGGATGGCTGCAATCTCTATGACGCAGCCATAGTAGATGGCTGAAATGGCTGAAATGGCTGTCCCCCAGCCATCTTTCCCAAGATGGCTGCAATGCAGCCAGGTCAGCCAAGCGGGCTCACCTCGAGGCGGGCGGTGTGGCTGCGGTAGTGCGTCTCCAGCCATGTCTACTAAGGATGGCTGCTGTGTGTGTGTTGCAGCCATCGGGCTGAAGGATGTGGCTGCACTGCAGCTAGCTCAGCCATCCTTAGGTAAGATGGCTGTGAAGGAGCCAATGCAGCCCTTCTGGTGTTCATTCCGGCCGTGCCGCACTGTGGCAGTGCCAGCTCTAAGCCGCTCACACATCAGGATTGTTCGAGGAAGATCCGCTTGCCGGCCTCCGTCACAACACTCCTCACCGCCATTCATGGCGAACCTCCCGCTCACTCTGCCCGAGCTGTCGCCTCCGCTGCCGCCCAGCTGGTACGAGGCGCCGTTTGTCATCCGCTCAGAGCCGGCCTCATTGCCCGGTGCCTCGCTCGAAGTCCTCGAGCACCTCTCCTCCAGCTGGCGCGCCCATGCCGAGTTTTACCCTCGCGGTGCGCGCTCCGCAGCCGCGTCCGCGCTGCGGCTCGCGCCGCGCAGATCGCTGCGCCGGCTGAGGCAGGGCGATGCGTCGGGTGCATACGCGCTGCTGCCGGTGCCGCCACGCCGCTGGCCGCAGCTCCTCGCCGCCGCGGGCGTGGAAGAGCCGCCCTTTGTGGCCGAGGCGCGCCGCCGGCCGGAGGAGGAGTGCGCGTCGGCGGTCGGCCACGCCAACGTGAGCGCGCGGTTCGAGCGCGAGCTGCGGTGGCGGCTGCTTATCGTCGGCGGCGGGCCGGGCGCGGGGATGCATCTGCATGCCGACCACCCTCCCGCGTCGGCGTGGCACGTGCAGCTGCGCGGCCGAAAGGCGTGGACGCTCTGCCCGCCGAACCAGACGCGAGGCGGCGGCTGTCTCGAGGCGACGCTCGGCCCTCGCGACCAGCTCTTCTTCCCGCGCGGCTGGAGACATGCGACCGCCACCCTCGACGCTGGGTCCGCCTCCGCGTCACGCCTCCTCGTCACGCCACCGGACGCGCCCCTCTTCGGAGCCGCCGTGCAGGACCACTGCACGCGCGGGCTCGCGCTGAGCCGCGGCTCGTACGAGGTGTTGTGCGCCGCGCTTGCGCCCTGCCTAAGGCGGCTCATGGCGGGGCAGTGGACGCAGGATGGCCTCGACTCGCAACGGGCCGACAGCGCGAGGATACTTGCCTGATGACGATTGACGTTTGAGAGACTTGCCTGATGACGATTGACGTTTGAGCTAGGAGTGGCCAGTCAATTTCCTGCCAGTCTCCGCCAGCGGCGCAGCGCCACTATCAATCGTGTTTCATCCTTCATGCATCAAGGCGTCGGCGCTTGGTGGGGGTGTCCCCGCAGTTTGGTGTTTGCCGGCCTCGCCCGGCCTGGGCCATACACGCCCCCATGCCCTCTCCACGCTGACGGTAACGGCTAACGCTCCAGCCCCACCTCTTCCTAAGTCTCTTCCTCTACCCTGTCTACGCGACTCGTGAACGTGATATGTATTATTGCCCTCCAAACGTAATTTTGGCATGCGTCCCATGCGTGTCGACCATCGCGAGATGTGAGACGAGGGCCTGGCGCCTTCTCAGCCCGGCACATCTCTCGCCCGCCCGCGCGGCGCCGCGGCTTGTACACCGCAACGCGCTACATCTTTGCAGGGTCAAAATTGGCCTGCTTGCGGATGGTGCCCGGCCGGAACCACTCGGTGAGCTCAAAGACGTCCTTCCACTCGAGCTTCTCCTTGGACGCCTCGGCCGCGGAGACGCCCGCGCTCGTCGCGTCCGCGGGGCACGAGTTGTCGATCTGCGCGAGCTGCGCCGGATCGAGCTTGGCGCTCCGCATCGCCGCGTCGATCTCGGCGCGCATCTTCTGCCCGCCCGGCCGCTCGAGCGCGTCCGCCTGCTCGCAGCCAGGGGCGTGAAGAGCGCGCCGCCCCCCCGGCTCTGCAGCGCCCCCGCTCGACCTGCTGCGTAAAGACGAATGCGCCGTCGTACGGCCCCTGCTGCGTGTCGCCGCGGTACGCGACGACGCGGTAGCCGTCGCCCTTGCCGATGAGGTACCAGTCCTCGTGGAAGGTGAGGCCGAACATCTTGCCCTCCACCACCAGGTTGGCGCCGCCCGAGCGGCCCGCCCCCGCCACGAGCTTCTCCTTGAAGTTGTTTTGCCACGAGCCGGCGCCGCTCGGCTTAGGGACGCGAAAGAGGATGTCGTTGTCGAGCGAGCCTGCGGGGGGGGGGGGGGGGGGTTGTCGAAGGGGCGAAGTCTCCTCTACATCTCGACTCAATCTCGACTCAATCTCGACTCAATCTCGGTTGTGCGCGCGCCGTCGGCGGCGGCGGTAAAGGTGTTGGACTGGCACGGGTAGTTGTCGTACTTTGGGTTGTAGCCGAGCACCTGGGTAGAGGGAGAGGGCCGGAGGGGGAGTGCCGGCCTGGCGCTGCAGCAGGCTGCGGTGAGGCTGTGGAGTCTCGAGGGGCGCGGAGCGAAGAGGGCGACGCGTCCGCGCCTTGAAGCACGTGCGCAGGTCGGAGCGTCTGTGGAGTCTGTGGGGTCTGTGGGGAGCCTGTGCGGTGTCTGTGGAGGTGTGTCCAGTCTCAGAGACGTGCTGCGCCTTGAACCACTTGCCCTGGAGGTCGGAGGGCTTGAACGAGCCGACGACGGGCGGCGGGTTGGCGTAGAAGGCCTGGCCAGGCGGCAGGCGGGCGGTCAACGGCGGGCGGGCGCCCGGGCGGGGAAGGGGGTGCAGGGTCGGGTGGCGGGGTTGGGGCGGCCTGCGTGTCCTGCTGGACGCCGGTGGAGACGCACTCCTCCTCCTACGCGAGGCAAGACCCGAGAGGGCTCAAGGGGGGGGGGGGGGCTCGCCGCCCGACGGCGCACTCGCCCTACTCGAGCGTGCACGCGATGCTAACAAAGACCACGACTAGTATCGAGGTCTCTGAGTAGTATGGAGGCCTCGAGTGTGCACGCGAGCCAGGCGTTGAGCTTCTCCGACCCAAACCTCGCAAAGCACTGCGTCGCGCAGAGCTGCTCGCCGCGGCAGTTGCCGAGGCAGGTGATGCCCTTGAGGCAGGCGGGGTTGGTGAAGCACGCCTGGGTCGGCTCCTTGCACTGGTTGAAGAAGCACGAGGGGTCCGCCTTCATCTTGCCGCCCTGCTCCGCAAACTCCTCAAACCCGGCGGTCGAGGAGAACTCCGCCGCGGTCCGGGTGGCGACGTCGGCGGCGAGCGCCGCGGGCGCCGGAGGCAGCAGCAGCGAAGAGGAGGCGATGGCGAGCGTCGCGGCAGCGTTCGGAAGCCACGGCGTGGCTCTCCGCCTGCTGCTGCCGTGACCAACGCTGCTGCCGACGCTGCTGCCGACGCTGCTGGCGACGCTGCTGCCGACGCTGCTGCCGCTGCTGCTGCTGCAAGGCGACGGACGATGGTGTGCGGACGCGGCTGCGCCTTGCAACGCGATTGCACCTCGCGCGAACGCGAGGCAGAGGAGCAGGACGCGATGCCGTGGTGAGAATTTCAGCATGGGCATCCCAAGCAAGAAGTGGGATTGCACAGCAGTACCACAAACTGGGGTGAGCAACCTCGGAGAGGCCCAGTGCCTAGGCGCAGAGATGAACACAAAAAAAGAAGAAAGCACGCGGGCAAGGGAGAACAGAAAAACAGGTGGGGACCCTGTCCTTCTCCCACCCCTCGTTTGGCGTGCCCGTTTTATTTATTTATTTATGAACAAACAGAGGAGAGCGAAGAAAAAAATCTTTTTATAGGGGCGCGGGTGAGAGAGATTTTTATTAATTAATTAACTTCCTTCTTCTTCGCGGGTGCGGAGTGTGCGGTGCGGTGCGGGTGTGTGCGTGTCAAGTGGCTACAGCAAGTGACCATCCGGCTGTATTTATTAAGGTCCGACAGGTTCGGCACCGGGCACCGCCTCGGTAGGATTCCTACACAAAATGCGCGCCGCCGCCTGCGCGCGGAATATTACAGATCACAGATCACTACACAACAAACACAAAAACCTGCTAAAAATGTTCGTAAGAGCTACATACACTGAAAATCTCTCTCTCTACACAAAGGCCGCACCCGTAATCTGTTCTCAGGAGGTGTTGTTCACACCTACCCAACCTTGCAGAAGAAGAAAAACAAGCGTTCTTCAGAGCGCACCGTAATCTATCTGTGTGTTGCCGATGCTTTGCCGCAGCCATAGCCATGCCTAGGCTGATTGTGCTGTCGGCGAGGCAGCGGGCGCTTGCGTGCGTGTACACGGCACGAATGGAAGATGCCGCGCACACACCCTAGCCATAGGATACACGTGATGCGGGTTGCCGCTCTACTAGAAGATGCCGTGCACACAGCCTAGCCATTAGGATGCACGTGATGCGGGTCACCGCTCATACTAGTGGCCAAGAGTGAGGCTGTCCGTCTCGACCGAAATGTGAGTGCCCCCGCAGGTTGTCTTGATCGACATGCTTGGTCAGGCGCTAACCCTCCCCGTCATGCCGTTCTACGCACAGCAGCTGGGCGCCCGGCCGCACGAACTGGGAAGCATTTTTGCGGCATTCGCCATTACGCAGGCCTTGCCGCCAGGCGCCAAGTTGCTCCACCTGGCAAGTGAGGTTTCTGCCGCGTGTCGTAGGTGCTATCTCAGGCGTGGATGGGGTGGGCAGGCGACCGTTTCGGTCGGCGGGTCGTACTCATCGCAGCCGCCGTTGGGCCGGCCATCGGCTTTGCCGTCTCTGCCTTCTCATGGTCCTATTACTCCCTGATCCTGGCGCGCGAGGAGTGATTGAGGGCAACACCGCCATTGCCCGACATGGCTGGCTGTTCTTATAGGCTCGTGCACTCCACGGCCTCGTCTCGGGCTGCATGGCGACCGCCAACGCCTACGTTGCGGAGATCGTGCTCGGCGCCACCCGCAGGCCCTCGCACCTGTGACCACAGCGCCGATTCACGCCAATCTGAACAGGTGCCGCCCGACCAGCGCGCGCATCTGATGGCGGGGCTAGGCGCGATGACGGGCGTCTCGTTTCTCTTCGGGCCGCCCATCGGCGCAGGCCTCGCCAACTTGGGCGGCGTCACCGCCCCGTTCCTCGTTGGCAGCGCCACCTCCGTCTGTGCGGCCGCCGTCGCCTTCTTCAACCTTCTGTCGCCCTCGCGGCTCAAGGAGGTGAATAGGATTTTAGCGCCTTCCTTCTTCTGGCCAAGAAGGTGCTCAAGCGCTCCTCTAACTACTAAGTACCGGAGCTGCCCATCATTAGGTCGAGAAGCTGGCTGAGACCTCCCGGGCGGCAGGTCTCCGGCTGCGCATGTCCTCGTTGCTGCTTGGTGGGGAGGCTCGGAAGGGCGCCAAGGGCGGCGGCGCCCTCACGAAGCTCCTCGAGCACAACGAGGAGGCGGCCGAGCGGCCGTCGGGGACCGTGGTGGACAAGCGGACGGGGTGGGGCGGCTGGCGGTAGAGCGACTCCCGCCGAGGAGGGCTGAGTGGGCGCGACGAATATTGGCTATTGACTCAATTCTCAGGCAGAGCGACGCCAAGGAGGCCGAGTGGCGCGCGATCTGGCTCATCTCCGCCACGGTTACCTTCTCGCGGTTCGCTGTCCATGACCCGACCACGACACGTCCACGACACGTCGTGCAAGTCCACAGGCAGCCTTCCTCACGATGAGCGGATCGACGATGATGACCTGCACGGCGCTCTTCCTGCAGGAGCGGCTCAGCGCGAGACTGTGGCTAGATGTCGGATACATCGGCCACATTTGGGCTGGATCTCGGCCATAAGCTGCCCGGCTACCTCTACAGGAGCGGCTTGGCTGGGGCAACCTCGAGATGGGATTCGTCATGGGTGTTTCGTCGGGGAGGCCGCGCCCCTTCGCCCCCTCGTCAGGGTCGGAGAGGCCAGAGTAATGGAAGTAGGCGCGCAGGGCGTGGTTGGCGTTGGCGTGCAGGTCATCGCCTTCCCGCGCTGTCAGACCCACTTTGGCGTGCAGGGCACTGCCGTGCTCTCGTCCGTCGTCCTGGCGCTCGGTCAGTTCTCCCTCTCCCTCCTCCACCTGCTGCCGCTCGACGGACGGCGGACCTTGGGGTACTGCTGCGCGCAGACCCTGTTTGCCCTCGGCTGCTCTCACGAGATCGATCGCCTCTTTGTGAACAGCGGCCCTTCACACGGCCGTGCCGTCATTTCTTTAGGCTACATCCTCTCTTGCTCGATCGTCTCGCCCGCCCTCGCGGAGCGCGCAGGCAGCAGCAATTTGGGCCAGGTCTGTGTGGCCCAACTCGGCGTCCCGATTCGGTTCAAGTTGTCAAAGATTGCCCGCTGGCAGGTGGTCTCGCTCGGCGCCGTCTGCATGGGAGTCGGCCGCGTTATCGGGCCGATTCTGCTCGGAGGCCTGTTTGAGCTGTCGCCGGACCTCCCATACTTCGTCGCGGGCATCCTCGCCACCGTCGCGGGCGCAGCCGGCTCGCCCACCTCCTAAAGTGGAATGTTTCCAGAGCTTTCTAGAGCCTCCTTGCAGGTGCCGGCTGGCTCGCCAGCTTCCTCCTCTATGGCCGGAGCCGCGATCTGGCCTCGCGCCGGCCCTGTTTCGGGGCCTGTTCTGAATCTGCAGCAACTTTCCTGTAGGAAGCGCGACACGGTCATCTCGAATCGATCGAAGCGCGCGCGCAAGGAAAAGCGGGCCCAGGTCATCCAAATCGCTGTGGTGGGGCATTCTCGGGTGTCTATGCGAGGAGCTCCGTTTCCCGTTGTGTTGCGGAGGGCCCGAGGAGGAGGCACCGTTCGTGGACGTCACGATTCGGATACAAGGCGGGCGTCAGCACAAGCCAGTCCACCGCATCCACCGGTGGTTCGGCACGCCGCGCACGTTCCTCACCACCAACGGTCAGTTCAAGTTCGCCTTCTCCATCGAGGAGGAAGGGCTCGTATCCGTCACTCTCAAGATGGGCAAGGGTGCGCTTTAGCACCACAGAGCTCGAACGTTGCCATCAAGGTAGCCTCCCTAGGCCGCTCGAATCCACACCGGCCATGGCTTCTGCCAGCAAACGTAGCTCACCCGCTCGTCGTCGCCTCCAGACGAGGACCTCTGGGGCAGAGTCATCGGCGGGACGGTGCGCAACATACCCCACCGTTTCTGCGGTGACACACCTCCGTGTCTCCAGCTTCCCTGATGTAGCGCCACTGTTGAATTCTCAACGTTGTCCTCCCGCATGACACCACCAGTCTCGTCCCCTCGCTCGGCCCTGCAGGGGGCGGCAAACGCCACAGGGCGGGCGCGGTTTGTCACCGGAGGAGTGGAGGGGTTCCATGTCGTCGGCGTGGAGAAGAACCGGAAAGAGACACCGGAAGGAGGCAGGCCGACGCCGGGTGCCGAAATCGCTGACTATACCTGGGGCCGCGCAAATACCCCCGTGCTGAAATGCGACGCTCCGGGCTGCAGAACGGCCACCCAAGTGCGCCGACTTACCTCGCTCTCACTTCCGCGCGCACGCAGCAGCCTCCGGTCAGGTTTCGCGGCGAGCTGCGAATAGGTGATGGCGTTTGGGCGGGAGGAGCCGTTCACGATGGTGCATGCCTCCCGCCCCCCGCCTCCCCTGGCCCCCTCAGTATGCGATCCTTCCCCACCGTCCTCGTCGCCGCCGCCGCCCAATCGGGCGCGCTTCACACCAAGACTAGCAATAGGTGTATGTTGGGATGGATGGGGTCGCCCGCGGCGTGCGGAAAAAGGAGGAGGAGGAGGCAAAGTCAACCTTGATATGGGAGCTTCCGCTCGCCGACCTACTAGCGTCGACCAGGGGCGGCAAGGCGGGCAGCAAGGAGGGCCAGGAGGGCGGCGACGAGGGTGGCAACGAGGGTGGCAACACTTCGGAGCGGACAGAGCAACACGGAGGCTCCGCGCAGCCCAAGTCCGCCTCAGACCCCGAGGAGGCTTCTCCACTCTCTGCTTCCAAGCACAACATCTTGCGCGAGCAGGAGGGGGCGGCGAAGGCAGCTGCGAGCAAGGAGGAGCTGTGAGGGAGAGAGGTAAGCTCTCTCCAGCTACTGTCCGCACGCGACTCGGCTCTGCTTGCTGCTCCGCTCGCGGGTTGGTTGAGTTTTGGGAAAGGGCCTCGGCGGGCCCGGGTCGACGGGGTGCTGTGGCCGACAGTGTGCCGCGCGCTCCCGGCGCACCGCGGCAGCGCCAGCGTAAGAGCGCATGCGCCAGCGTCACCCCTCCACAAGTCGCCCGCGCCCGCCCGGCCGGTCCCGGTCCCGCGTGCGACCGTGCAGACCGCTGTAAAGCCGTAAAGCCGTTTGCGGTATTCTATACACGATAATCATGTAGGGGGAGAGGCGACACTTTTCATCCGCTAGAGCCAAGAGCGGAGGGCCGGACTCTTGAGTCTGACCTGTGACCTGAGAAATGCCACGTGCCATCGTCGCCGCCTCGCCGCCGCGGCGCACGCCGCACGCCACCCTCAGCGCAAGCCGTTGCGCTTGACGTACTCCTCAAAGGAGCCGAACTCCTCCTCGTCCTGCCGCAGCTCCTCGGTCGTAAACACCTTTCCGCCACACCCGCTGTAACGAGGCGCTGTTCACGGCCGCGTGCGGCGACGGTGCGTGAAGCCCTTTTCCCGAGATCGGCATCTCGGGCAGTCTCTGTCCCTCTCGGGTGGTCTAGGGTGGCGTCACCTCGCCCGACTTGGTGGTGACGATGTGCTCGCGAGTCAGCTTGATGATGTGCCTGATCAGTCCATTCGCTCATCCTCATGAGCCACCCTGACGCCACATCTCGGCCGCATCTCGGCCGCATCTCGGCCGCATCTCGGCCGCATCTCGCCTCCACGCGCTGGTGCCCTCAATCCACTCCTTGTCGGCGCGCAGCGCGCGAATGTTTGCGTTGTAGTCCTCTCGCTCCTTCTCGAGGCCGGCCACCTGAGGGGCGTGTCGCGGACGTGTCCCGGACGTGTCCTGGCCATGTCCCTCCACACCCTCGCCGCCCGCCTGGTTGCTGTAGGCGGTGCCGCGCCGGTGGCGGATGAGCAAGCGCTTGCTGCGGACGGAGAGGTCGTGGCACTGCACGTCGAGCTTGTCGGACTGCTCCTGGAACCACTTCCAGTGCTCGACGATCACGTCGAGGTCGAGCTCGTTGTGGCACGCCTTGTTCCGGATGGCCTTGCGCCGCTCCTTGAGCTCCTCGATCAGAGGCGTCGAGTAGTCGATCGCGACGGGCGGCGGCAGTCTGTCGCACAAATACCCGCCCTCCGCCTGCTCACGCGCAGCTGCTGTCAAGGGCGGTGCCGCTCGCAGACCGCCGCACCAGCTGCCCCGTCCTCTCGCCTCGGAGGGAGAGAGTGGCGGAGGAGGAGCGGCCGTCGGCTTGAGCGAGAGGGAGGGAGGCGTCACCTCGATCCTCCTCCACCCCTCGCTCCCGTCCGCCCTCCGCCTGCGGCAGTGCCGGCCCGCCTCGCGGGGGCGCGGGAAGGGGTGGCGGCGGCGGGCAGCGAGCACCTCGTGATGCAGCGGGAGGGGTCCTCCCCCCCAGCCTCGCCGCCGCCTCCGCCTCCGCCTCCGCCTCCGCCGCCTCCGCCTCCGCCGCCGCCGCCGCCTCCTTCGCCTGTCCGCTCGAGGCGGAAGTCGATCTGACCGAAGCCGCCCAGCCGCGCAACGCCCGCGCGCAGGTCCCTCGCCTGCAAGAGGGAGGGGCGGGGGACTGGAAGAGGGAGGGGCGGGGGACTGGAAGAGCGAGGGGCGGGGGATTGGGCCGGCACGGTGGACTGGGAGAGAGGGGCGAGGGGCGAGGAGGCACACTTCGCCACACGGCAGTGTGCGGCTCGGTGCGTATGTGTGTGTGTGTGTCTGCCTGTCTGTCTGTCTGTCTGTGTGTGTGTGTGTGTGTGTGTGTGTGTGTGTGTGTGTGTGTGTGTGTGTGTGTGTGTGTGTGTGTGTGTGTGTGTGTGTGTGTGTGTGTGTGTGTGTGTGTGTGTGTGACGCGAGAGACGCGAGAGAGAAGAGAGACGCGAGAGATGCGAGAGATGCGAGGTCAGTTCGCCTGCGCGAGAGCGCTCTGCAGCGCAAAGGTGTCACCGCGAGGGAGGGTGCCCTTGGGCGCATGCAACCTCGCCTGGTGTCGCTGAGCCGCATCCCGGAGCGCCGCGACCCCCTCCCCCTCCCCCTCGGCACTGGACCACTCGTGCCAGTCGCGATGAGCCGCCGCCGCCGCCACCGCCGCCCTAGCCTTTGCCCCCGCCGCCGGGTCCTCTCGCTCGACTCGCTCGACCTCATCCAAGACCTGCTGCTGTAACCGTGCCAGCTGATTCTGCAGCTGCCCGCGCGTCGCCTGCTCTCCCGCCGATGCAGAGGCAGCCCCGGTTGCCAGCGCGTCCGTGGTGTGCTCGGCACCATCCGAGGCAGCGGCGAGCCTGCTGATCAGGATGAAGCCCGCCTTGACTGCGAGCAGGTTGAGGGGCAGCGCCACCAGCAGAAACGCGCCCGCCGCAAAGAGTGACGCCGAAGCGAAGGCGGTGTAGCACGCCGGGAGCACGGCGCCGAGGACGATGATGGCGTTGAGCCCGGCGTCGAGCCGCTGGTCAAGCGTATCCATTGCCCGCCTTGTTGTTGATGTGCTGCTTAGGCTGTGCAAAAGAAAACTTTCGTCCCAGGGAGTGAGCGGGGTTTTTGTCGGCCCGAGAGCGGTACCCTCGTTTGCTTCATAAGATCGAAGGCTAGCTGAAAGAAAAAGCCTCCCTGTTTTTCAGTGTACGTACGTACTTTTAGCTTACTGGGAGAAAAGAGAGAGGGGGTTGTGTTCTCTAGGCCCCTAGGGGCCCTACGCGCGGCGTGAGAGCTCGGAAGCGAGCTTAGCACGGCGATCGAGGATGGCACGGTTCACCCCCTTCACCGAAGCGATGGAGATGCGTTCCGCGTGGTGTGACACAAATGAGAGGCGGGAGTGGGGAGGGTACGCGGTGCGGTCAACGCCCGAGCGTTGAGCCTTGCGCGCAAGGCGGTTGATCTTTGCAACTGCAGGCGGCGAGAAGCCGCCGCCGAATGTCTCGTGGAGAAGCAGGTTGAACTTCTCTCTCTCTCAGTGTATGTAGCTCTTACGTAAATTTTTTTTGAGAGAGTCGCCATCGCAAAGTCGGCGCCCACAAACTTGGCGTCAACCGGCGAACCGGGCGTGTGCATACACACACACACGGGTGTATATGCTGTCGCCCTCCACACTCGTCGTTGCGGCCAATGACGGCCTGGCTTACGCAAAGCATCCATGCGTCGTCCTTATTCTCCTGCTCGGCACCTCCGCGACGGGAGCCTCCTTCTCGCTCGCGTGCTCGCTGTTTTGTGGCTGGGCGTGGCTGCAGGCTCTGGTGGGCTTCACTCCGTCCCTCTGCCGTGGCGGCGGTGGCTGTGCTGCCACCATGTTACTTACTTCTGTGCTACTCAGTGCCACCGCGCCGCCGCCTCCGCGCGCGGGGACCCTCTACTTTGAGCTTTCGGCGACGGCGGACTTCAACATCTCGATCGGCGCGAGCCGAGTAGAGCCTTCGACGCCCCAGCCCGCCCCAGCCGCTCGTAGCTCCACGCCGCGCCTCGCGTGCCCGGCGGAACGCCAAGTCGGGCATGCTGGTCGGCACATTCTCAACGCCGTCCCGGTTCCACCTCTCCTCCATAGGCGAGGCGGATGGAGTGGCCGGGGGGGAGGAGTACTCGCCGGTGCTTCTGCTGCCGCAGGGCAGCTACGCGCGCCTCACCATCTCGGCCGTTGACCGCCTCGGCCACTCGCTCGTCAGTCCCGCTACGTTCGAGCTCGGGCCAGACGATGCCTTCCCGTGGGCAGCGGCTGCCAGGTCACACCCCGCTTGCTGCGACAGCGAGATATGCACGGCCACACCCCGCGGGCGACGCGGCTCTCACACATCGCATCCGCCGCCAATCGTAATATGTTGCCCGCCTCGCGCCAGGCTCGCCCTGCCTGGCGCTGCCGCCGCCGCCGACAACACGAGCCCGGCTGCGAGCTCGAGCGGCGCGACTGGCGGCCTACTGCCCGCGACGGTGCTGCCTGCCGCCAACCGCCGCCGGCTCCGCGAGCCCTACGCCATCGCCGCCGCCGCCACCGCCGCCTCCACCAACATCGTCAACGCCTCCCAGCCGGCGCCGCCGCTCTCCGCCAACCGCCGACGGCTGCGCGGGCGTGTCATGCGAGGGATGCTCGGGTCGAGGCCACTCACCCGCGGCGTCGGCTCCTTTGGATCTCCGCACAGAGGTGTCCCCTCCGCGGCGGCGCACGGAACGTCGCCACGCGGCTCCTTCTCGGCTCCGCACCGCGCCGGCTACGGCGGGCCGCTCCCACCACGCTCGGGAGGCTATGGAGGGCTCGGCGGACACGAAGGCTTCTTCCGGCCGCCGATGTACCGCTCCGTCTTTGCCGATCCCTTCATCTCGGGCGCGCTGAGATGTAGTTGAGATCTAGCCGAGATGCCCGAGGCGTGGCCGCGGCATCGCCGTGGAATTGGCGGGGTTTTTCACTGACCTCGGCCCGTCCTCCACTTCAGGCATGGTCGTCGCGCACGTTCTGCGGTCGCCCCACCATCACCACCGCAGCGGGGGAGGCAGTCTCGGCGGCGTGCCGCCTCCGCCCGGCGTAGCCCCCCCCGAGTACTACTACGGCGCCGCCGCTGTCCCAAACGGCACTCGTCTGAGGGTCGTGCCGGCGGCACACCACCGTGCGCTTCCAGCACAGGCCGCGGCCGACGCTGGTGGGTCGTCCAGCCCACCCCTCCCGTGCCCCCATCCTCAGCCCCTCACCGCCACCCGACTCTTGCCCTTGCCCTCTCGGCGTCCGGAACCCCGAAGCAACCCACCACTACCCACAGGCGGCTCCAGCTGCTCCTCGCGCGTCGAGTGCGGTCTCACCGCCGAGCGGCTGCTGCTGACGCCACACGACCGATACGTCCTCGTCTCGGCCGTGCTACGCCTGCCGCCACCCTCCTCCACCGGCCTCGCCCCCGGCTGGCCAATAGCATTGCGTGTGCAACATCTGCATTTGGCCGGCGGCGCCACTGCTCCGGGCGGCTTCGCTGCACCGCTGCTTGGGCTGCAGGAGCCGCGTCCAACGCCCGCTCCGCCGCCGCCCGCTTGTCTTCGCCTCCTCTCCACTTTCCCGTCTCCCTCCTTCGGCGCTCCCTCGACGCACCACCAGCTCTTGCACCTTCGCTCTGGGACTGCAGGTGTCTCGGCCGGGCTTGCCGAGCGGCCGACAGGTGCTGACCACGTTCCTGTTGCGACTCGCCATCGGAGGCGCACTCCCCCCCATCGCGCGCAACGACGGCCCCGAGCCGTGCCCCTCCCGCCGTCCGCCAAGCGTCGCGAGCTTTTGTGTCTGCCTTGTGTAGTGTGGCTGCTGCTCCTCGCCGCAACGCTGTTTGGCCTCTACCGCGGTAGTCAGCCCTCTTCCACCGCACCGGCTGTCTGTGCCGACGGCGAACTGGTGCAGGCTTGCGCAGTCCCCGATTCCTGCACCGCCCCTCTCCACTCACTCGCTCACACGCCTGGTCGCCTTCGCCCCTGTGTCCTTCGCCGACGCCGCCAGCACTTCGTGAGGAGGGGGCCACGGGTGGGGCAGGCGATGGATGGTCGCGGAGGGAGGAGGCCCTTCCCTGCGAGCAGGTTGGCTCGCGGGTGCAGACCGAGTGGACCGTCGAGGAGGGCGGCGACGGCCAGTGGTACGCCGGCACCGTCGTCGCCCTCTACCCCGGAGGAGGCGCCGCAGTCGAGCACGACGATGGTGAGCTATGGACCGGCGCGCGGCTCCACCGCCATTATCCGCCGCCCACAACATCTCGCCACCGTCCCCGACATGCCCGCGAGCGTCACCTCACAATCACCGCCGCCACCACCCTTAGCTCCGAGACCACTAACTACAGCAACAGCGCCCATCGCCGCCACCACGGTGTGTGTGCTGACCGGGGGTGGCCGCCTCCCTCATCCGACGGCGCAGGCAGCCTCTCGAGCGTGTACACTCTGCGTGGGGAGAGCGACGACGAGGAGCGCGGCTTGGGCGGGCTCCGAGGGCTACCTGTCGCCGCGCCGGTGGCGGCGCACGGGGGAGGTGCGGGAGCGTACCCCGGTGTGCAGGTTGCCGTGCCGGTAGCCCAAATCCCGACGACGGTGGGCGTGCCGGTCGCGGCTGCGTCTCGCTGTGGGCTGCCGCAGGCGGTGGCGCGGCCGGTGTGAAAAGAAAGTGGACGGGCGCAACGCAAAAGTGCGGCGTGTGGAGAGCGATAGTGGATGTAGGGCTCATGGGGGCGTCGACGTGTAGGCTTGACGTGATGGCTTAAAAGAAAAAAGCCGCGAGGTTCATCATGCCAACAACCTCCGTGCACTGACGGTCGGCCGTCAGAAAACACGCCTGCGTGGATCGCGTCACACCAAGTTGGTACTCGAGCAGCGCCGACGGAGGTCAGCGCCGCCGCGAAGTAATGAACAACATGCAGACGAGGCGGAGCTGATATGGTAGCCGACTTTCTCTCTCCCCGTCCACCGAAGGGGAGTTGGGAGAGAGAGAGATTTTTAGCAATACCAAACAACTCTAACACTCACACGTCATTTGGGGCCTGGAGCCCTGTTCACGCGCGCGCGAGACGTGCAGACAGGGTTGCCAGGTGAGAGCGAATGGCGCGGTTCACGCCTCGCACAACAGAGAGAGAGATGCGCTCTGCATGGTGGGACATAAAAGAAAGCGAGTACTTGGGCGAGTAGGCCGTGCGGTCGACGCTGCCGCGCGCGGCTTTGCGCGCGAGGCGGCGCAGCTTGAGAACGGCGGTGGGCGAGAAGCCGCCGCCGAACGTCTCGTGGAGCAGCAGGTTGAAGTTGTTGCGCTTGACAAAGATCGCGTCGTGGTAGAAACCGCGATGCGCCTTGACGTAGCCGTGGCCGTTCTTGAGGTCGAAGGGTTGGCCGGGTTGCCCGCGCGCCTTGCAGCCCATGTTTAGGCGGCGGGCCTTCTCTTCGGTGTTGCCGAAGGCGTAGGAGTGGCCAACGGAGGCGGGCGTGCCGCCGCTCGAGGCGTTGCCAACGCCCGCCGAGGAGGTCTTGAGGAGGGGCGTCCAGAGCTTGACTTCATTCACCTCATCGCATCCTCCCGGGCCAGCGTGGGGTTCCGCGAGGTCGACCTTGTACCCCTCGTTGTACTGCCGGGTGAGCTCTGGTTTCTCCTTGTCACCGTGCACGACCGGCGCGTTGGCCGGGGCGCGCATCGCGTCCGCCCAGGCGGCGAGGACGCCGTCGTGGGGCCGCCGGTGGTGGGCCTTGTTGTAAAGGTAGTCGCCGAAGAAATCGACTGGCATGCCCCGCTCGAGCGCGACCCGAAGGGTGGGAAGCGCCACGGAGAGCCAAAGGCCGAGCTTCCGCTGGAGCTCGTCCTGGAGGGCGTCGGAGGAGAGGGCGGTGGCGTACGTGCCGTCGACACGGACATCGAGGGCTTTGCCGGCGAAAGGCGTTGAGGCGGAGACGAAGCGCGAGGCTTCGCGGTTGTTGACGGCGCTGTCTCCGAGGGACGGGTTGTTCTTGACGTGCACGTCCCGCGCCTTGACGAGCTCCTGGTGCGCGAACCAGTCCTTGTATTCTTGATGGCAGCGAGCACCGCGGCGGCGCGCACCCGGATTTGTTTTGTTGGAGTTGGTACCTAGGTAGTCGCCCGGCTCCTGATCTTCTCCCAGAACCACCAGCCCGACGGGGGGCTCACTACCGCCGAAGTGACAAGCCGAACAAGCCGAACTGTGCTCTGCGACGCACGCAGATGCTGACTTCAGTATTTGCCTTTAACCACCACGCCAGACTGCCGCGCCCCGCTCACGGCGAACGAGGTGTACACAGTGCAGTGCTTTTGCCGCGTTCGTCGCGGCCGGCGATGGCGGTCGATGGCTTTGACGCCGCCTCTTTTGAGACGGACCGATTGGCCAAGGATGCAGACGCGATGGAGGCCATGGCGGCTGAGGAGGCCACGTTCGCAAAGCTGCGGACGCCGTGGAAGTGGGCGGTCCGCAGGAGGATCTGGGACATGATGGAGGCCGAGGACTATGCCGAGTGGCCTCGGCCGGTTCACCACCGCATCCCCAACTTTGTTGGCGCGGAGGCGGCGGCCATGAGGCTGGCCGATCTGCCGGAGTTCCAGAGCGCAAGCTTGGTCAAGGTGAACCCGGACACGCCTCAGCGGCCTGTGCGCCGCCTCGTGCTCTCGGAGGGCAAGACCCTGCTCACGCCGCAGCCGCGGCTGCGCACCGGCTTCTTCTCGACGCTCAGCGTGGACGAGAACCTCGAGCCGGGCATGCGGGTGGATCAGCTGACCAACTCCAAGGGCGTGGCGCAGCACGGCACGCAGGTGACGCTCGATGCGCAGTACACAGTCGACTTGGTCGTGGTCGGCTCGACGGCGGTGTGCCCGGCCACCGGCGCTCGAGTCGGCAAGGGCGAGGGCTTTGCGGAGCTGGAGTGGGGCATCCTCTCGGGGCAGGGCAACCTCGACCCGCAGACCACGCTCGTCGTGACGACCGTGCACGACTGCCAGGTGGTGAGCGACATGCCGGCAGGCCAGCTGACCAAGCACGACGTCCCCGTCGACGTCATCGTGACGCCCACCCGCGTGCTGCGTGTGGGCCAGGGGCGCGCGCCCAAGCCGAGCGGCGTGATGTGGGACCTCCTCTCGCCGCAGAAGCTCTCGCAGATCAAGGCGCGCGCTTTCGAGGCTCCTCCCGTCCGCATCGCATGTGTGCACGACAGTCTCCAATGCACGTCCACGACACGTCCACGACAGGTGCTGCGCGACCTGAAGCGGCGCATCGAGGGGGAGACGGGGATGCCACTGCCTCAGGGGCCGGACGAGACGCTGCCGCCCACAGCTGGCCGGCAGGGCAGGTCCGGGGGCGGGCGAGGGCGCGGCCGCGGTGGCAGAGGCGCACCCCGCCGCGCCAACGTCGCGCTCGCGCTGAGCGAGGAGGAGAGGCGGCGAGCCTAGGTCGTGACTCGCGCTCCTGCACTACTAGGGCTACACATACTAGGGCTACACATTCACCGGTACTAGGGCTACACACTCCCATCGCATCCAGCGTGTGCATTTCGGGGGGGCGATTGCTCACCCGCGCCCGGGCCGCTCTGCATGCCATGGGGCTCCTGTCTCACAGATTGTGTGGTGGAGAGATAACATCCATGCCCATGTGACTCGTCTGACCTCACCCGCAGGCAGCAGGCCTACGAGGAGGCGTGCCGGCGCGCAGAGGCGCTCGCGGCCGAAGCTAAGGCGGAGAAGGAGCGCGAGCGCAAGCAGGCGGTCCCTCTCGACGTGCAGGCCTGCCTCTCGGACCAAAGCTCTCAGGCTCCCACGCTCGGCCCCTTCTCGGCTGCGTTCCGAGGCCGCCCCTCCCTGGGTTGCGCAGGCCGGCAATTGGCTCGCCGGACTGGTGAAGCCGAAGGTGACACCACCGGAAGAACCGGCAGCCGCCGCGACGGACGGCTTCGGCGCCTCCTTCAAACAAGCGGCCGCAGGCTGGACGGCGCAGGTGGAGCGGCAGAGGCGCATGAATCGAGGCGAGGCGCCGCAGCCGGCCGACGCGGGCGGGCGGGCGGACTCCGCGGCGGAGGGGGGGGAGGGCGCGTCGGACGAGGCTCAGCGACGAATCAGCGCGCTCGAGGCCGAGATCAACGCTCTCAAGCGGCAGCAGCGCATCGAGACCATCGAGGCGGAGATCAGCGCGATGAAGCGGGATGCGGATGGAGCTGGGAGCGGATGATAGAAGCCGCTGAACATGAATCGACGCCCTGTGTTCCTTCTACTTCTATGTAGAGCGCACGCGGACGCAACATGCGCATGCACACGATCGGATTTGGAACGGGCGGCAGCCGCTTGATATCGATTGCCGATGAGTTTTTCGTATGGAACCCTCTACCAGTAGTATCGGAGTTTTGCGCTATTGAAGAGGTGTGAACGTGAACAGAGTCATACCAATACCGTGGCTCGTTACGGCACGCACGGGGGGCCTCCCGGACGTATGACCCTAGTCCAATAAGTCCCACAGAGCACATTTCGATTTTTGACAGAATTAAATCGTGCACTGCCCCCGCACGGTACTATCGATCAGCAAAGTAGCACAGGCGGCACCCGACTCCAAGGATACACTGACGACGCTGAGGATAGCGCATGTCGCTGCGCTGAAGGGCTCACGCTATAGGGTGCTGGAGGACGGGTACGATGCACTAGCCCCTGCAGTCGGGGGGTTGTTGCCAGCACTGGTAGATGACCTCTCGGAGAAGAGCCGGAGGGACCTTGGCGCCGGGGTCACGAGGAACTTGCAAGTCGTGGCCGAGGCGGCGACGGGAGCGGTGCAGAGGTGGATCCAGCTCAACGATGAGGCTACAGCGCGCATAATGAAGAGAGAGGAACACATTGAGTGGCTCAGGAAGCTCTTCGCTGGGTGGAAGGAGGCCCGGCCAGCCTTGAGGGAGTCGCGGAGGAGGAGGGATAACGGAGGTAACGTGCAGACAGGTCAGCAGCCAGTGGGACGAACGAGGGCCGCGACGGCGGCCCAAGCGGGAGGGAGCGGAGACAGTGGGCAGCGAGCGAAGTGGGTGAGACTGATGATGCTCCTTCAACTTAGGGAGCGGTTCAGCTGCTGGGCGGGCTTCTCAGGCTGGTGCTCACGCGAAAAGGAATCGACGCGATGTACAAAGCATACAACAAGAGGAGAAAGAAGAGGACGGACATCAGTGATGACGAAACAGAAGCTAGCGCAGAAGAGAGCAGGGCAGACCCGGGGACTGGGGAGCCGGAGCGGACGGCATCGGCCGCCGAGGGAACGTTGGGAAGAGGCACGAGGAGGGCGGCGACCTCAACCGACTATGGAGGACCCGTCACCAGACGACGCAGAGCAGACGACGGTGAGGCGGAGCAGACGCGCAGGGCGAGACGAGGGAGGGAGCAGGATGTTGCGGAGATCAGCAGGAGGATGTACGACGAGATTAGGAGCAGCAGGGACCCGAGGGACCATGTGGAAGACGGCTTCTCTGGTAGGACGGGAACGGGATGATAGTAGGGAGTAGAAGAAAGCAAGAGGAGCCCTGCGCACGCACGACTCCGCAGGAGAAGCCCCTCCCCAGACAAAACACAAGGGAGAGGTGGGTGGGTCACAGAAAACTGCGGCCGCCAGCGACAGAGCGTCTCGCTGGCGGACGACGAGAGGAACACAAAGGGACGTCCGGACGTCCATCCACTGGGATGAGAATACTGGAGATCTAAGGTCGAATCTGCCGATTCCACAGCCGCCCACAGGAGCGCCGCCTCAACGCGGGGTCTCGGCTCTACCGAGCCATGCTAGCTCCAGCCGCAGCCCCACCCGGCCGCCCGAGGGTGTTCCCGCATGCAGAGAAGACCAATCCTGGGGGAAGTAACCTTCTCTGGTAGGACGGGAACGGGATGATAGTAGGGAGTAGAAGAAAGCAAAGAGGAGCCTTGCGCACGCACGACTCCGCAGGAGAAGCCCCTCCCGCCCGTGCTTGCGCAGCGCAGCCTCCTCCTCCCTACTCGCAAGCCGGGTAGCACGTGTGGTGATTGTAATGGGTTCCACCCTGTGTGGTGATTATGATGGGTTCCACCCTGTGTGGTGATTGTAATGGGTTCCACCCTGTGTGGTGATTATGATGGGTTCCACCCTGTGTGGTGATTGTAATGGGTTCCACCCTGTGTGGTGATTATGATGGGTTCCACCCTGTGTGGTGATTATGATGGGTTCCACCCTCTGGAGCACGCCTCATGCGGCCAGTTGTCGCGGAGGCAGCGGCCGCAGTTGGTTGAGCGGGACGCGCGCGTCCTCGTATGGTCGGCCATCGCGCGTCGTGGCAATCGTGAACCGTACGATTGCGGTGTGCTTGGAGCATCGCAACACGGTCGCCGCCCAGCCGGCTCCACCGAATTCTTTGCACGCGTACTGCGGCCAGAGGGCGCTTGCGACGAGGACCGGTCGCCCCGTGGCGTTTTCGGCGGTGATCGGTCGGGCGTCGATGGGCGAGCTTGGCGCCGCTTCGCGAGTTGGCGGTGGCGCGTTCGCCGCACTGCCTGCTCCCGCGTCGTTCGCTCCGCGAGGCGTGGCACCCTGTGCTTCAGCGTACGCCGCCCTATCAGCAGCGCACTGCCTCGAGCAGAAGTCGGCCACGTTTGCCATCCCCTGGTCCATGACTACGTTTGGAACATTGGCGGCCTGGATGTTGCTGACGTCTGCACGTGTGGCTGCCCAAAAGTTCGCTTCGTGAGCGACGGCACCCGATCGGCGGTAGACGTGTAGTGACGCTTCGCACATCCAGCGGCACATTAGCATGATGACGGCATCCGGGACTCCGCTCCCGCGGCGTGGAGCGCCGTAGCGAGGCCGGAGCGGTAGGAGTGCCAGGTGTAGATCTTCGCTGCCGCTTCTCCGCAGGCGCGAAGGAGAACGGCTTTGAGGAGCGCGTCGAGGGTCCGCTTGATCCCTTCGACCTCCTGCGAGCACAAGGCTCACAGGCGCAGTCTGGGTTAGAATCCTTTCCACCTGCGGGGATGAACCCACAGGTCCCATGCTTCCCGGGCGAACACCCAAGCGCGGGAGTGCTCTCAGCCCTTTTCAGACTGCCGATCACATGGGCACAGCTCGCTTTCGTCACCGTCGCGTTTCCGCAGCAGGTGCCGTGCATCAATACAGGGCTTGCTGTGGCCTGACTGTACATTGAGCCACCATGCCCATCCCCGCGGCTGTGCTCTGCTCGCGGCGAGGTGAGCGCATGCTCATTGAGTCGCGATGACGCCTCTGTGCGGCTCGGCTTTGCTTTGGTTCTGAGAGGTTTAGGTGACCGGCCGACGACCCAGTCGATAGCGACCGCCTCGTGACTGCATCACGCCGAAGCGCTCAGCAACGAGCCGCCCGAGGGTTGCGCCCCGGGTCGGAACAGGGCTTTCGTCCCTGTCGCAGCCGACGGTCTCTGCCATGCGCCCCTGCCGGAGCCGCATGACGGTTGACCGTTTTCATCAGCCTTGCCTGTTCACCAATGTATGCCATCGTGGAACACATTGGCTAGGTGGGGACCGTCGTCCCCGTACCACGTGTCACCACTTGCTCACAAGTGAGTAGCCCGATGAACACGCCGACTAGGAGGTGCCACTGCATCCTGTTGATTCAGGATTCCCAAAGGTGGCCGCATGCGACTCACCCCGGGGGCCTTGCGACCCCGCAGCCTCCTGTTGCACCCCGGAGTTGGAGGTTCCCAGGCCTCCTCCAGAGTGCGTGAGTGGCGAGCCGTCCTCGTCCGCGAATAGAGGCGTTGTCTCCCGCTCGTCGTCAGGGCACAAGCCGCTCGAGCGGTCCGCACACCCGCTTGCGGGTTCGAGTGGCGGGCTGCCGCCTGGCTTCCGCCCTTCACCCGCACGCACAGTAAATGGTGAGATGAGCTCAGATCGGCCGAGATGTGCTCTCCTCCGCCGGAGGGAGGCAGGAACACTCGAGCCACCGGCGCCTCGTGGAGCGGCCTCGGCGGCTCGCGTGTCGAGTGTGTCGTCCCCCGCGCGCTCCACGCGCGACATCCGAGTCGCCGCCCGTGAACACGAAGTAGTCCCGTGATGAAGGCTGCACAGCCGCTTATTACGCAGCCTTTTGATAAAGAATCGCACAAGCTTTACCCCGGGCCAAGGGACAGCCCCCCCCCCCCCACACACACACACACCGGCCTGCCCGCACCGCCTTCCGCCCCTTAGCAGACCGGCCGGGCACGCCTCCCGTGAGCGGGGAGGAAGCGGGGAGAGGGCTTCTCTCGACATCGCATCGCGGGACTCGCCACGAGCCACGAGGACCCGATACGCGGCAGTGGGGCGGGACCGTGTCAGCCCTTCATGCCGCGTGTCCTTCACTTCTTGGGCATGATTCAACCCATGAGGGTGGGCATGTCCTCCTTCATCTTCTCGAGCAGCTCCATCATCGCCTCGTCGACTGTGACGTCTTCGCCAAACCCATTCGAGTAGGCGAACGATCCAATCACGAAGCAGAACCACTCGGCGTCAATCATGTCGTCGTCCTTCTCGCCCCCGTCAAACGCCCCAAACACGTCGTCCATGTCCTCTGTCAGCGCTTCGCACGGCTCCGCTTCCGATTTGGACTTCTTGTAGATCTCGGCGACCTTCCAAATGATACCCGAAGAGCACGCATTCTTCAACTGCTCCTTGGATACGGACTTGTCGTCCTCGTCTCCCGGCTCAACACTGTCCTCAACTTTCATCCAGTCGCCGTAGCACTCCTTCAAAGTGTAGACGTAGGGATTTTTGGGGGCAAAGCTGCTGGCCAGACCGCACATCGAGAGCACCAGAAGGCGCTTCCAGCCGCCCTCCATGGTTCGCGATGTTGGGCTTGCGAAGGGGGGTTTGCGAGGCAGGAGCTCAAAAAGAAAAAGAAAAACCGCGGTTTCTTCGTGCCCAGTGTTGTGCGAGGGAGTTGCATTCTAAAATTCTCTCTTTCCCGATTGCGAGCTGCCGGCGGAGGAATGCTCTCCTCGGCGCTCGCCGCGCTCGCCCTGCTCCCGTCCGTCTCCCACCGGGTTGAGCCGGCCAGCAGCATCTCCGCTGCCGTCGGCCGCCGTGCAGCGCTCGCCGCGGCCGCTCGCGCAGCTCGATGTCTCGGAGGGCGTCGCACGGGTCACCTTCCCTCGCGCTCAGTCCGATGAAGATGGTGAAGGGGCAGTGCGTCTCGCCCCACTGGTCGGGCTTGGCGAGGGGGCGTAACGAGGCAGCCGTCTCGGCCAGGCACCATCGAACGCAGAAGGGCCCGCGAAGGGTTGGAGTGGAGTATCCCGTTGATCCTCCACACCACGCTGGATCGCGTGAGGTACATGATCTCGCCGGACGCGTGTCCACAGATCTCACCGAGACGGAAGGCGGTGCGGAAAAGGAACCGGCTGAGCCGCCTGAACGTGAAGACACGATGCACGGAGTCGTCCCACGCGTACCCGCCGATTATCCGGCCGCCGAGCGGCAAGCGATCCATCTTGATGACCATTCCCCACCGCATGGGTTCCGCCCGCGTTGGCATGAGCGAGTACGGGCCATGGTACATCAGGTAGAGGCGCATAAGGCCATTGAGCTCGGCCACGAGGGCTTTGTAGGCTGGCATCTTGACGCCCCACCGCCCAAAGACTCGCACGATCGCCAGCGGGTAGGCCAGTGCGGAGCGCGGCTTGATGAAGACGGCGCCCGGCGTGCTGGGTTTGCAGGTCGCAAAGGCGTGTAGCAACCATGAGGCACGAGACCGGCGTTTTGCGCCTCAAGTGTGCCCTCCAAGTGGCTGCCGTCTCTGGTCTTAGCTTCTCTGTTCGCATCCCCCACAACGGGCGGTTCAGCGTCGCCAAAACTGCAATTGAGACTTGACCCACCTCTCGTTTCCTGCTCTATGTCGTGTTCTTACAACCCAAGGTGATAGAGGGCAAAAAGATCGATTGCGCTCTTGCCGATCCGCACCTACCTAGGCTCTTGGGTGGCGCGCCCCAGCTCTTCACAACGAACCTGGTTATCTGCACGGCGGCCGCCGCGCGCCGGTCGTGGCGCTTGCGAATCACGAGCACATGCGAGTTGTGGTTGACGCGGTCTTTCGTGTACAGTTGTCCTGAGATGGCACGGAACTGGTCGAAACTGCGATGTCCCACGAGAGAGTCGGCGAAGAAAACGTGATTCTCGCGGAGCACCGTCTGCGTGAAGTTGGACGCCGACGTCGGGTCGTGCACGATTGGCACCGTGCCAGTACGCGCGAGGCTGCCCATGAAGACGCCGTGCTTGCCACCACCTGTGATGAGGTCCTCAATCACATACCAGCCGCCTGGCCGGAGTAGCGGCCACATAGTGGCGAGCGTCTTGTCCATCACTACTGTTGGAGCATGGTTGCTTTCGTCGATGATATATCCATTGAGCCTGGCGACATCCCATTGAGCTCGAAAACCTTTGGCTTCGTGGACGAGCCATGAATCAGTCGCAGGCGGTTCCGTGAGAGGAGCTTTGCTGTGATGGCGGGGTTTTGGCATTGCAACATCGACGCCCCATATCTGAGCATTGCGGAAATAGGAGTGCCACATCAGCAGTGTTTGACCGGTCTGCACGCCAATCTCGGTAACATTTTGCACGGAGTACCGCACACCATCGAACAGCATAGCATAAAGGTCTGTATATTTGTGGTCGTCCCGCGCTTTATCTGTCCCGTAGCGCGCAGCAAGGAGCTCGAGACTCTCCTCCACCTGGGGATACTTCGAGCACAAGCACATGCACAAGGAGCTCGAGCATCTCCTCCACCTGGGGATACCTCGAAGTGCTAAAACCGCTAAATCCAGAGCTTGAGTCAGAGTGAGTTTTTTTCGCTGGAAGGTCCAGTCCCCGGCTGGAGCTTGGTTTAAAAAAAGAGAGATAAAGTTAAACAAACTGTCAGATTAAATACGGACCCGCAGACATGGGACACAGCACGTGGACGTGTTCGGCAAGACAGAGCCCATTGGTCAACCCCCACCGATTGGTTTCATGCGGGGCGAACGTCTTGGGATGCCTATGTGCCACTGCTTGCACATCGGTCATCATCGCAAACTGAGATCGGATCCGAGCACATGCGCGACGGTCGAGTTCACACCAAATTTAGAAATTCCCAAAATTAGAACCTTCCAAATTAGATATACAAAAATTTTCGTAGGAAACGCATGGAGACCACTTTGTCACCGAAGTGTTAGGTCGTAGCTGGCCTCGCTGCGAGGTAGTCGTCCGCCAGACGCGCCAGAGACGGAACGCACGCAGGCACTAGTAACATTGACCACGCACATTGGCCCTGACCCCAGGCCTATAAGTGGCCTGGGGTTTGGGGGTAGGGGTCAAGGTGCCAGGCCCCTCCGCAGGGAGGGAGGCAGAGTTCGAAGCGCCTGGTGCCCCCTCTACTAATCACATCTTACCCCAATCTCCCAAACTTGATGAACATGTTCGTCGTAGATGTGCGGGATGGTGCATCCGCCATCGGCCACACACACATGTTCTCCGAGTTCCAGTTCGCTCTTCCCGGTCTGAGGCGGTCTTCGAGTGGACGGAAAAAAATAAATCGTCACGTCGCGTGGCACGTGCGACGTGGGGTCGCGTGGCACGTGGGGTCGCGTGCGGCGTTGGCACGTGGGGTCGCGTGGCACGTGGGGTCGCGTGGCACGTGGGGTCGCGCGCGCCGTGCCTCTATCGTACTTCGTCCTAGCAGTAGCCACCTGGGAGAGACGTCTGGGGGCCTGCGGTCTGGGAGGGGTGCGTCCCCCCGCGTGGGGGCGCGGCGGCCTGGCGCAAACC